GCATTAAGCTTACTCTCGAGCCTTTTACCTGCACATCATATCAGTGACACTAGCAACCTACTGAGATCTCCGGCCAATGCCCCAACAGTACCATGAGAACCTGGGTAATGGACGTAATGGAGTTTAAAGGTTCAGGGAGATTCACACACGAAAACGAGGGCACTGTCACTGTCACTGCCACTGTCAATGTCAATGTCTGCATACGTACGCGTACTTCGTTTCGGCCTACTGCAGCCATGGGGGTGTGGGAGGAAGCAGAAAAACCAGTGCAAAATTGCACAGCCCTTTTCTCTCTTCCCCTTCAAAGGCCAAGACTGGTGAACCCTTCCTCGAGGATTGATTGACTTTTCCATATTGTCACTCGTTCGTTCGTCCTGTCTTTCCCCCGTAGAGTTAGTTGAACTAGCGCTGGGACTTCTTGACTGCTGCTGTCGGCCAGCCCGTCATGTAAGAAATCCATCTGACCTTTTTCTACGACAGTAGTGTCGAACATATGTCGAACTAGTCCCACCATTCGTGGGAACCAATCGCTTTCGAGACACCACGAAGTAAGCAGTTCTCGTGAGAATCCGACCACGTGTCTTTGTCTCTGTCCAACACGTCGTCCTGAGTCTCTGGTGTTCGGCCCCTTGAGATATGGGGTCGCGACTTCTTACCTTCGCTACAGACGACAAACCTGCCATGTGAACCACTGACGGGGGTTTGACGTCTCCCTTGCAAGAAAATGTTTGTGGTCGTCGAGTTTCACTCCTTTCTCGGTTTTATGGTTGTTCATCATTTGTTTGATGATCCGGGGATCTAGCACAGGAGGCAAAACACAACAAACACTTTATGGAGTGCACTGCAAAAAAAGCCCCTCCAATATTGGGTAATGGTTATGGAGTAATGTCTCGTCACATGGGATGTTAGGGTAGGGGGGCTAGCACGGAGGGTGAGGAAGCTCGGCCTGTGTTTGAGCCGGCCGGGGTTGTCTTCTCTCTCTTGGAGTCAGCCCATACGTCTTGATCTTCTCTTTAAGCTTGGTGCCACTCTATTAAGCCCTATGCCCTGTCCTTCCTCCGCTGATATGCATCATCGGAAGTGAAGATCCCCCTCTTCATTAACTTTACAAAAGTTTGCATTGACCATTTCAGGAGGATTGACAGCCCGAACATGATCGACCACTTTTAGGGATTCAAGATCTTGGGATAACTGTCAAACGTAAAAAGAATTGCTCACAGAACGGGCGCAACACACCCAAGAATCCGAACCTTGCGACGTCGAGTGGCAAAATCGGCACTATATACTCGGTGTGCGCGAAAGCGGCCGTGAGGTATTCGGGCTGTGCTGTACAGCCTGTGCTGGTGAGCACGTTTGGAAAAGGTTGTGCACATTCTCTCATATCGATATCCGAGACGTCGCCAACTCGACGACACCTTGTACATGGCAGTAGAGGGAACAACTTTACCCGTTTCCCGGCTGCTGCTTGGAAAGTTGGGGCAAAACGGCGTGCAAAATATCTGTACACTAACACGGGTCACAGTCAGACACTTTGCCATGTTTTCCCAGGGGATACCCGTGTCAATTGATCGACCGACTAGCCCCTGGGGTGTTTGACGTCTCGGTGGCTAGTGACCACCCCCGTGCAGCGTGCCTCGCCAATGGGTAGGCTGTAGCCTGTAGCCGTGTGCAGTTGCGGGCAAGACGGGCCAAGACCATGAAAAGAGTGCAAAGAGTCTCTTGGAAACGGCTTGCGGGGTGGTCTTCGCTTTCGTGGTCCAGTCTGGGAAGAGCCTGCGGGACTGCCATCTCAAGCGCCCACTTTGGGTGGTTATGCCACGAGGTCACGGGGACCAGGGGGCTTGCTTGCAACCTATGGACACAACAGACTTAATTCACCTGTGACCAGAAACCTTGAAAAGCTAGTCAAGACTGAGCAATGGTGCGGTCTTGGCGGACATGATGTTGAGGAGTAAGAAGTGTAGATGGCAAAGGGTCCTGAGTCTGAGAGGGTTCAGTCTTGCTTTGATAGTCCAAGTGCACAAAAGACCGAGCAGAGAGTCCCTTCGGACCTCTGTCTGCCTGTGACATTCATGCTCGCAATATGAGGTGAATCGATGAAAGTCGGGGTTTGGCCGAAGGAGGGACGGAATTTGAAGTTTGGTTGAAAGGGCCTTTGCAAGAGACGGCCAACCACGACGTGAGGATGGGAGTGGTAGATGCGTAGTAATATGTCCGCAGTTCGGTCGAAGCGTACCTAGACGACGACGACGACGACGACGACGACGACAATGATTACGACTCCGCTTCTCTTAAAGCAACTCAATGAGGCGATGCGTCGTGCATGGTGTTTCTTGTTTCCTGCAGGCTGGTGGGCACAGGAGCGTTGGATAGTGTCTCATGCAGCCGAAAAGGGAGCGAGTTGCAATTGGGAGTCTGGGAACCAGTAAGAAGGAGCAGGAGTCGCGAATGCCACGGCGGTGGCAGCCGCGGCAGGCCTTCTCCGGATGTGCACGACAGGCGAGAAGGGCGGGCCACTGCCCTGGGCCAGGCCAGCGGTGAGTGCGGGCCGCATATTTGTTTGAGAGATCATGGCCGAGAGGGCGTACGGAGTAGGGTAGACTGGATTCTATTTACGGACGGCTTTTTGACGCTGACGAGGGGGGAACTTTCGGAGAATGAGGAATGAGGGGCCAACGGAGCAGTGGGCGAGGGGGAAGGCCAAGAATGTTCCGAAGCAGCGTTGTGCGGCGTGCCGGGGTAGAGAAGTTTCGCGATGACTTCTTGGTGGTATCCGCAGGCAGGAGAATAAACTCGAGATAAATTAATTAAATGGAGGGGTTGAAGACGCACGCACCTGATCTGGCCTGACTTGATCGTTGCCGTTGCCCAGCCATGATTCATCTACACGTGTATTCGTTTACGTATGTGGGCTCTTAGTCAGATATAGCCCAAGTATCTCGAGTTTATTGCGCATATATTGATTGCGTGTATGTGTGGTGGTGATGTGCTGCCGCTTCTGGTGCATGACGGCAGACAGACGAGCATGGACGTTGAAGAGCTCGGTGTTGCTGGAGACGGAGAGGCGTCGTTCCGACTCTTGTTCGAAATGCAACAGTCCATAAACAAGAAGGGAGGTTCGTCGGGTTACACCCGAACAATGGCGAGAAGGACTCGCTGGCATTCGAAGTGTGCAGCAGATGGATCATGGAATTCGACAGAGCATGGAAAATGCCAATGCTACCGGCAAGAAGTGAAGTGTTCCCTTTCCCAGTCGGGTGCGCTGCGACTGCAACGGGAAGGCCCCACCCACCACAGGGCACCTGCCACCAGGGTGTCTTGCAGTTGCGGCGTTTCCAAGGCAGGCGCGCAGTTGGCCGATTCGGCGCCACAGACAAGACTTATGCAGGGGTAATGGCCGGTACGTAGACACGTACTGACACCAAGGTACCTACCTAAGGTACCTAGGGTAGTGACCACCCCGTACCATCATCAACCAAGGTGAGAACTACCGGTAAGCTTGTCAGTTGTAGCGCTAGTCGACAAATGGTTCTGGCATGTCTGGCATGAGATTTCGAGTGAAGCAACGAAAACAAGGTGTGGAGGGGCCGCCAACCAACGTGTTTAGCGTTAGACTGTCACAGGCAAGCCGCAGACCGCAGACCGCAGACCGCAAAGGAACGGTGGACGGTGAACCCAACCACCAGTCCAATGAAGAATGTAGAGTCGAGAGCTTGTTGTCCATACATTTTCTGTAGGTACTATCTTACAGTTACTCCCTTCACACACAGGAACACCGCGAAAGAGAATACCTTACCGTATTCCCTGGTACTGGCACTCTCTAAGCAGTAAAGTCGTTGGACAGGAACTTGTAGGTCGGTAGTGATTACTAGTGTGCTGCGTCGTGAGGCTGGGGACCCCTGGTCTGGAACGTGCCTGGGGTTGCTTGGAGGCGGGTTCTCGTGCTTCAGGTGTGTTACAGACAGGGGGGTCGCCGTTTTTGGACTGGACACTCCATCTCTTCCTCTTCTTCCTCCTCCCTCTTTTCCCAATCCCATTCCTGTCGCTGCTTCACCCTTCACAGCCGTTATTGGACAACGGTCAAGTATCTCTATTTCTCTTTCTCTCTGTCTCTCAAGGTCAGACCCCATCCCTGCAGCATCGGTTCCCATCTTGATGCGCCTACGCTTCCACTCTCATCATGATTCGTCCACCAATACCCGGGTCCCAGCGCTGCAGCAACTACATCCTGTCACTCTCTTCCCAAAGGAACCTTCTCAGACACGGCCACCAATGCCCGTTGGATCAATCCCGCGATGCGCCCGAGAAAGAGATGTGTGTGAGACTGTGAGAGGAGAGATCCATCAAACATTGATCAATCCTTTCATGCTGCGACAGACACCATCGATGCCCGTGCTTTGCTGCTGCCGCCGCCGCTTCCCTCCCTGTTAGGAGAAAGATAGAGAGTCCGTTCCACGAGTCGGTTCAAGTCGAGTCAAACAACCAACTTCAGGGAGGCTGCGTCTAGAATCGTACTAGTGTACGGATGGATACCAAAGGCCAAGGACGCAAAGCCATCGTTCAAGTTCCTGATCTTGCGAGCTTGCGGCATGCCTTGCATTTGCAGCTGGAGCGGCTGCAGACTTGCATGCCCGTCCTCGGCGCCCTGTCATGGGTTTAGTACCTTACTTGGGTTTGGTGACTTTGGTTTGGCCTGGTCTGGAGTCTGTTCTGGTCTAGTTCTGCCTCTGGTCCAGTCATGGTCTAGGGTCTGTCACTTTGGTCGTCCTCGATTAGAGTAAGGAGACGTACCCGAAGTAACGCTGTCGCTCGGCGCCTACCGCTCTTTTGCTGCTCCTCCTCCTCCTTCTCCTCCTCCTTCTCCTCTCTGTAAGGAGTATGGAGTTCCTCACTGTGAGGTACGGATAGCCTGTACGGTCCACGGATAACCCTACTCCCTCAAGAGCCAACGGTGCTCACCTCCCCCGGTTGATGGGATACACATCGGTCCTTGATACCACAGTACACACGCCTGTGGTCCATGCTATATCATGTAACACGCAAGTGCCTGCTTGCATGTTGCAAACTGGTGCCCGTCTCTGTTTGTGAGAGGTCCAGAAAGAGGTGTGTGTGGTCCCTGTCCCGCACGATCGGAGAGACATCCCGCGAGCCTCAGTCAAGACTCAGACCCTGCCGTACCAGTCCAAACCGGTCCATACCAAACCACTCCCGACCAGGCCCTGGCTGGTCCTCTCTTAGTCTTCCCTACCATACCTAACCATAACCTTGCCCGACCATACCTTACCCTGCCATACCCTCCTTTAGTCTCTTACACTCCCTTTACCCCGATCACCCTCCTCGTCTTCTTCCTTACCACCACCACCTTCGATTCTCTCCGTGACACCCTTCTCACGCCTTTTTCGACTTTTCATCTTCTTCGTCTCCCAACTAGCTTGGTGATTGCTTCTTTTCTATTCTCAGCGTCTTGTTTATTCGCTTGCTTCGATACCGAGGACGACTACTTCGACGACATCGACGACTTGCATCTTCGACGACACAGTCTCACCCTTTAGACTGTCTCTGCGCGCAGTGTTCTCTGCTTACACGTGTATTCGTCCACGGAAGAACTCACTTTCTCACGGCTCTCACGCCGTTTATGCTTCAGAAGGAACCGGTTCCTGATGAGCTTTTGCGAATCGACCTAGATGGCCGGCTAGGCTTCTCCTAGTATCAGTCTATTTTCTTCAAACCCGACTCGGGGTCCTTGTTCGATTCTCGAAACCATTCAGGTTTTTGCGACTGGAATCGCAACATATTGCAGCAATGTCGAGTCCAAATCGGAACGCGAACCTCCCGGATGGGGCTTTCATCACGACTTTCAATGGCAAGAGGTGTACGGCGAGGCCGAGGAATGGGAACAAGTCAAAGTCGAACAACCAGCAACGTGCCTCGACGAGTACGTCTCACTCGACATCGACAACACGCTCGACGACGCGATCGACACCCCCTCCGCAAGTGAGCTCATCACCGCCTCCGCCTCCAGCAGTAGCAACGCTTGCTCCTGCTCCTCCGCCGCCGCCTCCTCCACCACCGCAAACAACACCACCGCCGCCGCCACCACCACCACCACCAGCTGTTTTGACCACTAGTTCAGCGAGTACGACGAGCTCCTCATTACCTCCTCCTCCTCCCCCTCCCCCTCCTCCAGTAGTGAACACTCCCTCTTCAAATCCACTGCCTCTACAGCAGACACAAGCGCCGCCTGCTCCAGTCGTATCGAGTCCTCCTCCACCTCCGCCGCCGCCGCCGGTTCCAGCAGTATCAACGTCTTCTTCTTCTCAGCCTCCAATCGTTGACGCTGAACCGCCGGCGACGATTCCTACTTTCCAAAACATTCCCGCTATTCCTGCGCAGAGTTCTCCTCCTACTCCCGCCCAGATCTTCCCCCCCGCCTCATCTTTTTCTTCTTCTTCTTCTTCTTCTTCTTCAATACCTGCCCCAGTCGTGTTGCCACCTGTTCCAGTAGCCAGCCAGACTGATGCCAAAGCAGTCCCAACACCAACTCCTTCTCAAGCGCCCCCCGCGTTTTTCAGCAATATCAGCCCATCACCCTCACCCACGAGCAGCGCAGGAGCAGGCGCTGGGGCTATTGCGCCTTCGCCACCCCTGAACCCGGGTACTGCCGCAGGCGAGGCAGGAACAGGGAACGATGCGCCTACGACCAGTCAAGCTCCTGCTTCGAGCAGCAGATCTGGGGGCGTGGCTACCCCTGTTGTGATTGCTTCGAGTGTTGTTGGCGCTGTGGCGGTAATTGGCTTGCTTGGGTTCCTGCTTTGGTTCTGGCGGAAGAGGTTGCTGAAGAAGCGTCGGAGCACGCTTCTTACTCCGTTGTCCACGGACCCCAGCTTCAGGGAAAAGTCGTCATACGTCATTGACAGAGGATCTTTGGGCCCAACACCGCGCTCAGCCAAGCTCAAGGCCGCGCTTGGCTATAACTTCCAGAGATTCCGCGGCCAGTTCGGTGGATTGGTCTCACGCAACCGGGACAGCGGCTCGACAAATGACCGCGCTCAGTTTATGAATATCTCCCAGCACAGCCGAAACAGCTCGTCTCTATCAAACCATGGTGGACCGCGAGACGTCGTTACAACAAAGGATCGGGTCAAGGACTGGTGGGAACGGTTGACGGCGGATATGAAATTCAATTGGCGACTCCGCGGCGACAGGAATGTCGAAAAGGATCCGTTCGCCTCGGCTCGTAACATGAGCGATCGGAAAGCGGCCACGCCAGGACAACCCGACTTCTTGACGCTTTTGGGTATGGACGACAGGGAGGTTGAACGGGAAGCGCAGAGGAGGCGAGTGAGCCGGAACCAAGGTAGCGCCGGCTCCGCCGATCACTTCCTCGGTGGCCTGGGACTGAACTTCGACAATGCTTCCGCCGACCCCTTTTCAGATATCAACGCGTTACCCCATAACTCGGCCAAGCCGGCACCACTCGCCGTGGCCAACCCGGGCAATGGCAATGACAACAATCCCTTCTCTGATGCCAATGCCATATCGGCACCTGCGGCCGCAAGAAAACCGTCATCAACGTATGTCGCTGATGTACGCCGGTCAAGAGGAACCTCTGTTGGCGGCACCACCACCAGGCCGCCAAGCGGCTCAACCTACTCTCCGCGCCTGGACTCCATGTACCGAGACTCGATGCAGAGCGTGGAGAGCTTCGCAACGAGGCGGAACAAGTTCCGATCTGATCCGTTTGATCTGGAAAGACCTGAGCTACTGGGCAGCAGTCTCGGTAGCAGTAGCGGCGGCCGGTTGACGCAGGCCAGCAGCAACTACAGTCAGGCCGGCGGGGGCGCACCCCGGGTACCCGGCAATGCTCACACGCGCGCGGACAGCTTCAGCTCAAAGTACAGCAGTGGTGTGAGCATGGACGGCTGGAGTGATCCAGGGCCAGATGTCGGGCCTTCAAGCGGACCTGGCTATCGCAACGAGGGCGCCGAGAGCCCGGTTGCAGGGTACCGTGCCGGAGAGCAGAAGAAGAATGTCGTGAGGAGGCCCAGTGGAGGAAGCCAGAACAGCGTTGGCAAGGCGTTGTAAGGGGAGAGAGATTTCTTTATCATGTATTACCAAACACATCTTTCACTACTTGTACAAACGTTGGAGATGAAGAGGGTTGAGAGGGATGGGTCAAGGTCAACCACTAGGGGAAGGAAACGATTTCACGCGATATGGGTGGGGGCATTTGAGCAACAGCCACGGCTGGGTGATATGGTTGATATGGTTATGAGAGAGATTGAGATGAGAGGGTACGATGAAGGATACCGACCAAAAAATGAAGGGACCCTTTTTATTCCATTTGGGGACCGACTTTGGTGTGTTTGGTGTTTTTGAGGAGACATATCACAATACCCGTGTTCATGTCTTCTGAGCTTACTTTTTTTTTTTGTTCCTGTTCTCTTCCATTCTCACGAAGCAAAAGTCAAAACTTCTTGACCATGAGACACCCCATACTCATTCCCGGCTTCACTGCCCAGCTTCTTATAAGCGGGTTGCGACGGCCGGGGCAGGAGCAGCACAAAGCCTGTTCTACTGTAATGGTTTTGTTAGATGAATACCACAAAGCGAAAACTTATCCCGTTGAAGTATGTACGTTTAAAACAACCATCCGCAACATGATGTACTGTGAGATTTACTGTGACATGACTGGTTCCTGATTCTTCGTTCGCCTTCGAAGTGTGGTAACCGTAAGGAATCAGCAGTGCCTGCGTGTACTCTGTGCCCATTCCATCAAGTAGTGCTAGGGTAAGACGACATGAATGGCTGCGACTTGTACGTAACCGGAGACGAGACCGGCCGTCCGGGCGCCCGGCCGGGGGTGGCCGGCAGGAAAAAGAAGCATGAATTTGGGATGCAAATGGGCTTCTACGTACCGCCTTACCTTAGGTACCTAGGTACCTTAATGCACCTGCCTTACCCAGTCACGCCAGTCTGATTATGACTAATAAGGAACCTTTCGGTCCCGTGATGAACAGCTGGCAGGAAGTGGCGCCGGCAGCTGCACCGTTGGTTACGACCCCCTGTCGAATCACACCACTCGCACTTCTCGTCTCGGGACATCTGTCATAGTTACGTACCTTGCCATCTTAACGTCTGCCAGGTCAGGTAATACACAGCTAATGTGCGGTTGGTGTTGTGTATGGTGCTGACACATGGCAAGAAAAGCAGCCAAAGTCAAGGAACAAGACGTAAAAGCAACCTCGCTGTGCATTGGGTTGGATTACTTGCGTACTCCCTCAGGTAGTCCAGAGAGGTCAAACACCTAATTACCCCTCATTCGGCAGCGGCCACTCAGCTGTCGACAGCTTCCAACGACGTCAAGCCCGGGGGGGCAAGCCAATGCACCGTGCCCGCACACACCACACCGAGGTAGCTTGGGCGTTACGTCAAAGGGTCGGTCCACCGCTGTCTACCTACCTTGGGCACCTCCAGGTAAGGTAGGGAGCCTACCTAGGCACAGCTCAAGGTAAGGTACCCCAAGATAAAGGTACCAGGCAAAGAGAAGATATCTACTGCCCGCCTTCTGTACAAGAAATCCAACCTCGAACCAACGGCACTGGCCTAGTGATCGTGAAGTGACAGAATCTCTCGCTCCTCCCCGTTGCATCAACATCCCAATAAACGACCCCATCACGCAACAAACGACAAACTGGAAAATATCCTCCGACTCCTCGTCCCGTCCTGCTTATGGAAATTCCTATCCACAAATACTTCCATATATCTACAGATAGACCTCAGTGTGTATCCTGCCGGCCAACCCAGTCCCTCTGCGGCGGGACCGATCCGAACTCACCACCGTTGGCCGAAAGCTAAAAGTTGCACCGGCGACAAGCCCCGTTGTCCAACGACCTAGCTTACTCTCGGATTACCCTACTCAACCTCCTTACCGGCCACTTTCTACTCGCCTTGCCTAATCAATACGACACCAAATCGAACAGCCCAAGCCATTCAGCCCATCTTGCTTTTTTTGCTTACAAGCTGCCGCCCTTATAAACCCACTGTCGTTTTCGTTCAGCACATACATACCCTTAGCTCGAAGGGAGAGAGAGGAATAGAGAGAGCGAGCACCAAATTGCCCTCCGTCGCTCCCCCGCCGCCTCGACTACTCTCACATAGCGCCCGTCTACTCGATGAGAAGCCCCTGTCCGGCCACCGCAACCGACCTGTTCCCATATATGCCACGCTATCTTCTCCACGCCCACCCTTGAAAACCGGACCTAGCCACCCCACCACGTCCGACCACCCACTGCCGGCCTCGACATCATATGCTGGCTTGACCCGGACGTCAAGACACACACACACAGAGAGAGAGAGAGATGGCTTACCAGAGTCCTCCAGAAACACCATCCTCCTCCGGCGCCCACACGCCAACCCACTCCTCCTCTGCAGCACCGTCGTTATCGAACTCTGTCATCACAACAATGTGGTCCGGTCTGATACGCCGCTTCTCCTCCGACCTTCCAGAGTCCTACGGTCACAACGGGCACCCGCCCGAGCCTTCACACCTCTCCCACGCGCATACCGAGCCCGCCGGCGGCGGTGGAGAGAGCTTCCAGGATGGCATCAACGGCGTCTTTTTCCCAAGCCACCAACCCATTCGAACTGCGAGCCCGTTCCGTCCACCGCCTCTCGATCCCATTGTTCTGCACGGCTATAAGGAGAGCACCTCGCAGAGTGCCAGGCTTCTGAGTCACGGCGTGGCCGAGGAGATCCGGATCATGCTCCCAGAAAGGCTTAGGATCAAGGAGGATTGGAGGTTGATATACAGCTTGGAGCAGGACGGTGCTAGCTTGGCAACGCTATATCAAAAGGCAGCTGAATTCCAGGGCCAGCGAGTCGGTTTTGTTCTAGTCGTGAGGGACGACCTAGGCGGCGTAAGTGGAAACCTCTTTTTTGGCTGCTCTTCTCTTTGCCCGACATGTCGCCGTAGTCGAAGACCTCAATATTGCAATAAGCTAATCCTCTGCCCCCCCATGACCAGACTTTCGGCGCCTACCTCTCCGAATATCCACACCCCGCGTCCAAGTACTTTGGCAACGGCGAATGCTTCCTCTGGCGCGCCTCAACCCTCACGCCCCTCCCGCCGCCACCCTCCGCCGATACGACGAACCTAACGCGCATCACCACGGTCGCCAGCCCGACACGCTCAACCTTTGGCGACCGCAACAACGCACCGTCTCCGGCGCCGAGCGAGTCAATCCGCTTCAAGGCGTTCCCGTACTCGGGCATCAACGACTACTACATCAACTGCGAGACGGGCTTCCTCAGCGTCGGCGCCGGCGACGGTCACTACGGCCTGTGGCTCGACGACAGCCTCGATCGCGGGCACAGCGGGCGCAGCCACACCTTTGGCAACGAGCCTCTGAGCGACGAGGGAGAAAAGTTTGGCGTGTTGGGTGTGGAGCTTTGGGTGCTTGGCGCCTGAAAGATGGCCCCGGGTGATTACCAGAGAATAGAATTAAAAAGAAACCCCCAAGTTGGCGGAGATGGGGCCTGACATGACGACCGAAAAGGTCGCCGGAACAACAGTACGCTGATCTACGCAGCACAGATACGAAGCGCGTTCGACAACCGCGGACTCTCGTGTTTTTCTGTGGAAGGGGAAAAGGATATGAAAATATACCACACACAAAAAAGACAAATACACCGCACAGATATACGACTGGGACTGGAGACTGGGACTAGGCGTTGGAACAAAGGGGGGCGTAAAGGCGACGGGTTATTTGCGAAAATCACAGCTGACAGAGGTTTCTGCGGCACTCACTCCAATGGCAATACTGATGCCGTGAGAAGCTGCTTTTTCTGAGGACTGGATCGAGTCGATCAGGGGTACGAGCGGAATCGTCAGTTTCACCGCTCCTTTCTCTCCTTTGGAAGAGCTCTTTTGAGAGTCTGGGAGCCTTGCGATCGATCTTGGCTTGACACACCTTCAAGTCAACGCTCGCTTCGAGGGACAACGGAGTGAGAGCGCTGACTGGACGGACTGGATTGGACTGTACGGGCAAACGAGGATTCAAGACATTTTTAATTTTAGCAATACCCCCTTATCAAGTCAAAGAAACATGTCTCTTTACACATTCCGCTCCGAAGAATATTGATTGTAATCCCTCGGCTGTTATTCTGACTCCGAAGCTCATCTTTCTATGAGGTAGAATCTATCGAATCCTCCAATTGGCTGTAGTATAGAGTCCCCTGAAACTTGATACATTGTTCTCTCTCTCTCTCATGTCTATATACGCACCTACACCTACCTTCCAGCTGATCATGAAACCCACAACAACCTAGAAAATGGCGATCATTACATCCGCCCATCGAAAGCAATTGGGCCCTTCCGGAGATATAGACAAAAAGAACACGGAGGTGACTTCACCAGTACACGAGTCACTTGAGAATTCCTTTGACCAAGAATCCCTATTCTCGTCCATCATCCAGAGTTTGTTTCCCTTCTCAATACTTGAGCCGACGACGACTTTGTCACTCATTTCTATTCAGCTCTGCTCATTGAAACGCTCAGCACAGGTCGGGCTTTTCCACCGACAATCCACGTTTACCACATGAAGAAATGTTTAACGATTAAATAGTTTGCTGCGGGTTTACAATGTTGTCATGTTCCTTCAAGCTTGTATCAGTGACGTTGTCGACAAATGGGCGATTGGAGATCTCTACACGGACGGGCTCACGAAATGTCAAGTAGCCAAGTAAGCAACGGAAAAGAAGAGGAAATTAGACGAGAAAAGTATTTGCCTATCCATCATTCACTCGACTGATTCTAGTCGAAATTGATTCGCCTCACATATGTTCCTTTGTATCCCCTAATCACCACGGGCTGCACGGCCTTGACTCTCCTATCCGTCCCGTATGGTTTGTCTATAATCGTTTCCCCCACCCTCAGGCTCAGCAGCCACGCTGTGATTTTCTCATTGTCATCGTCCCGCAGGATCATGTCTCTCTGGCCCACATCATGCACTTGCTGTGGATCGCGTTTTCCTCTCTCGCTTGCTTCTGTTCTTGCCTGAAAACCCTGTATCATTGCTCACCGCATGATCTCCTGGTAGATCAACTGCTTCAGTTGCTCCTTGCTCAGGTTGTCCTTGTGCTTGTCGAAGTCGAAGAACTCCTCGGGAATGGGAGGCGCAGTAGGCTCATCATCCGGGTCGTGGTACGGTTCGAGGTAAGGGTGCTTAAGTGCGTCCTCTACGGTGATGCGCTTGACAGGGTTGAAAGCAAGGAGCTTCTCGAGGAGGTCGAGAGCCAGGTCGGACGTCTTGGGGAACAGGGTGCGGAAAGGAACCTTCTTCTTGAAGGGAAGCGAGCGAATGTACTCTCTCGCACGGCGGGACTTGATGCCATAGTAGTCCTCCATCGTCGGGGTACCAAGAACATCCAAAATCAGAGTGAGCTGATGGTGGTCTGTCATGTACGCGGTCAGCTTTGCATCTTTGATAGGGCCGAATGATAGTCCAACTTACAGTCCTTGCCCGGGAACAGAGGCTTTCCGCTCAGCATCTCGGCCAGAATACAGCCAACAGACCACACGTCAATGGCCTTGGTGTACTCCTTGAACGTCAACATGATCTCGGGAGCACGGTACCAACGGGTCGCCACGTATTCCGTCATGAAACCCGAGTTATCCTCCTGGGATGCAGCGGAACGCGCCAGACCAAAGTCACAGACTTTCAGATCGCAGTTGGCGTTCAGAAGCAAGTTGGAGGGCTTCAAGTCACGGTGAAGGACATTGGCCGAGTGCATAGCCTTGAGAGCGCGAAGGGTTTGGTAGATGAAGTATTGGCAGTGGTCGTCGGACAGGTCTTGGGTTCGAATGACACGGTGCATGTCCGTCTCCATGAGCTCCTGCAAAGGGAATAATGTCAGTAAATGGCCTGTTCCATCGGTGTAGCACACGAGGATGTCTTCCTCACCTGGATGAGGTAAACCTCGTTGAATGTCTCATAGCTGCGGGGTTTCTGGATGTCGAGGATGGAGATGATGTTCTCATGGTTGAAGTATCTAAGAAGCTTCATCTCACGCAGAGTTCTCAGACAGAACATGGAGTGATCGAAGGGTGTGATCTTCTTGATGGCGACCTTCTGGCCAGAAGGCTTGTGTATCGCCGAGCTATAGAGTAATCAGTGAGCAACCCGGTCTTTCTCGAACTGTGATTGAGACGAAAGATAACGCACCAGACAACTCCGTATGCACCCTCGCCGACGACATCCTGAATGTCATACTGCTCGCTGACGTTGAACGAGATCTTTCGGGAGCCCGAAGCGTTGGGGGGATTCGCGCGCGACATTGTGAGCGATGTGCGACGATGGTGTCGATGTGGAGAGGAAGTTGCCGGAGCAGTTGGCCGACGGAGTAATACCACACAGGCGGGTCCTCGCGAACGAGATGCAACCTTGGGCGGAGAAGAAAAAAGGGGGGGGGGGGGGATGAGGAGAGAATTAAGTCGTCCTAATAAGGCCGTCTTGCAGAACCACAATTGCTGGTTTGCGCGGTGGTTCAGGAAGGAGGCGAAAGGATTCCGGTATTTGGTTCTGCGGGGGGTATAATTATTGGCGGGCAGGCCGTTTGTGACTTGTCGAAAGGAAGGGTGGGATCGACCGACGGCGGCTGTCAAAAAAAAAAAAAAAAGATGGGCGTCGCAGACACACACACAAAGCTTGAGGTCGCAAACCGGCCGTACTTTGTTCTTTGGTTGGATTGGAAGAAAGAACACGCAACCAGGTCGGTCCAGTCAATGAACAGACAACAGGCGGATCGGCTGTAGAGTATCTCGAGAGGGGGGAAGGATGGGACAGAGAGATGCGGACGGGAGGGTGGAAGGGGACGAGTGTCGTCGGAGGTTCGAAAGTGGGCGAGGGCCGTGTTTCTTTGATCCGCTCGGGCCTTGGGTGCTGGGTGAGGTCCGCTTGTCACAGGCCGGGATCGTGTTTGGATTTCTTGCCTACGTCTCGGATGTCGGTCACTTTTTTTTCGTTCTTTTTCTTCTTGTTCTTTTCTGTCGTCTAGTACCACAAAGTGGTTGTTGTTGTTCTTGTTGTTGCGTGTGTATTGTGTGGTCTTTGCTAGATAGCAAAGATGTGTTTGAGGAAGGTACGGTACGCAGGTAATTTGTCGGTTGAGGATAGGGTGCAGTGTGATGGCTTGCAAGTGTCCGTGAGAGAGGACTGACTGCTTTAGGCGGGAACTGCAGGCTGAGAACTGGTGTTAGCTGAATCGTGTTAGCTGGAAGGAGCTCCAACGGGTCAAGTGACAAAACAGGCAGGTATCCCGGAAGGCACAAGGTTAAGCAAGGTGAAGAGGCACTGGGGAGGGGAGGGTCCTGAACCAGAATGGAACCAGCTGGGTCGTTGGTCGGGTACGGATAAAGGAGCGCTGGACCCAGGAACTGAAATCAGGTGCTAGCCAGGCTGGACTCAGAGCATCCAGAGAATAGAGGGGAGCAAGCGCAGACAGGCAGATGTAGCGGGTGTCCGAACCTATTCTCTTTGCCTTCTTCTGTGGCTTCTCGAAAAGCAATCGATCTTCCGGAAGAGTTTGGTGCGACAGCCTAGATGCAGCGCAGACAAGCTTCCAGAAGATAGCGATAGCACAGCGCGAAGCACAGAAGAAAAAGGGAGCCTGCGTGGCTTGGAAGGTGAGGTGAGGTGAGGTGAGGGCAAGCGGGTTGCGGGTCGCGACGCAACGAAACGAGGCAAAAGGTAAGGGGAACGGGCGATGAACCGAGCACCCCCTGCGACTGCGACGGGACTTCAGACGAGATACGTCTAAGATGCGCAAACGAGGGACAAGATAGGTACCACGAGGTAGGCGGGCCCGGAAGAGAACAACGCGGTTGAGCTTCACGAACTCCTACTCCTGGGCCGGGGCCGAGAGATAGAGATATAGCTGCTGCCGCTTGGGTGTATCCTTCCCCTCTTTCTCTCTATCTGGCTCCGTGATTCTCGCTTGGAGTTGGCCCACCTAGGTAGATGTGTCTGCCGGTATGATCTTCGGGGTGTGAGGGTGAAGGGGAAGCGAGGCGAACGGGACAGAAGGAAGGACGGCCAGGGAAAGTTGAATTGCGAGAGGGTAAGAAAGGCAAGGAACGGGCAATGAGGTCGCCGAGGATTGCGGCGACGACGATCTCAGGGTGCCGGAGGGTTGACGGGGGATGGAATGCAAATACACAGGTCAAGACAGGAGGACAAAGACTCCAAAGCAAAGTATACGTACCAGAGACTTGCGACGAAGCGAGAATATGCTAAGTGACTGTCGAGGAAGTATGGGGTTAGGTCAGGTCAGGTCAGGTCGGTATGAGGTTGAGGTAAATCGACCCTCGATATTCTGGTGAATAACGTCCAGGTGAAAGGAGGGGGCGGAGAGAGTGTGAGAGTGAGAGTAAGAGTGAAAGAAGGTGATGAGGCGGCTGTAAGGCTGGAGAAGGAGGAGGAGGAGGAGGAGAAGGAAAAGTCGCAAACGTGCGATGGTTAAGCTAAGGGTAATAAAGTGAGGTGACGGGTGCAATGGGTACGCATTAGAGGTACTGTGGGAAGGTATCCGTAGGTAAAGGCAAGGTAGGTAGGTAAAAAGGTAGGGTGAGAGAGTTGTGTGGACAAGGCCTGGTCAAATAATCTTACCCCGCTGCAGATTTGTCTTTGTAGAGATGTCACAGTGTCTTGTCTCTCGATGTGATGTGGTGGATAGGCAGACGGGCGTTTAATGAGACCTTGGACGCTTATCCGTAGGGTAAAGCACTAGGTATCACCTCCTTATTTTTGGTCTTGTCTTGCACCAACAGTATGGAGTAGAGGGAGACGGCAAAGTAGAGGCGTAATGTGTATGTATTCCTAAGTGGATGAGATAGGTACCTCAGAGAGCGAGACTGAGGGACCCGGGAATGGGATCGAGAAAGGCGGCGCAAGCGGAGGAGAGGGGGAGGGGGAGGGGGAGGGGGTCCAGAGGAGGGGGAGAAAGCGGGACCTGGCCCTGGACTAGGTAGCTGGTGGTGTCGGATGGTTCCTAAGGATAGCCAAGTACCCAAGGTAAGGTAAGATACCTAGTTACAGGCGTAACAATGGGAGAAAGACAAAGTATCTTATCTGCTTAAGCACCAATTCGTACCTGAGGGAATAAGGTAAGGCATGTTGTCTAGCCCGGCTTGCAAACGTTCTCGACCCTCGCTCGAGTGCTTTGAAATTGGTTGGCTCTCAAGATATCATATGGCCACAACGTGTGGTCAGGCTCTGGGTATCGCGAACCACAGCTTGGCAAATCTGATGGATTGCGCAATAAGTAACAGGCGGGAACATCATCGCAGAGGTACTTGGTATTACCTGCTCTTGAGTCTCTCACACTTGGTACGCCACTACTTATTTCCCCGTAGGGAGGGCTACCTAAGTACCTACCTTACTCTGTAATGGAATCTGTGGACGCCAGAAGGGAGGTGCGCAGCGGCAGTCAAGTTCAGAGACAAAAGCAAGGCAGGTACTTCGTACTGCACGAGGTGACGAGGTACCTGCTTATACCTGCATGTATGGATACCTGAGCTTGAGCCCACCAAGGGACGTCGATCCAGGTCAAGATACCTTGCCTTGGAAACGTGCTTGCTTCAGGAGACCCCCAAACCCCCAGGCAAGGGCCACTTAGAAGTTAGACCCAGCCCATCCATTATCGTGCCCGTTATTTGAACCAGGGCCCAAGCAATGGGAAACACGCGACGCCGCTTCTGCAACCTGGGGGGAACCGCATCCTGCCCCGTACCTACGTATCTGCTCGAGTACGTACGGATACCGTACACTAGCTTCCCAGTAATCAGTATCCATACCTTACCGCATAACGTTGTATCCATGGTTACGCAAGTATCCCTCATTACTCTTCCTGGTTCCGCTCTGTATAAGGTAGGTAATCCTGATTTTCACGGACTAGTCCTTCACAGCCTTTTACCACCTTAACCTTTGCCTCCATCAAGCATGCCAAACTACAAACACAATTGACGTCAATGGACCTGTTCTAGCCGAACAACACAATGAATCAAGACGGCTGACTGATGGATGAATGATCTACCTCACGTGCTCAAGGAACCCCAGCCTGTTTCCATGTGTGACGGGAGAGGGAGCTCCAAAGACTCGCTATCAGGGCTATCCCAGCATCACCGCCCAGCCAATTGCTGAGCAGACAAAAGAAAGAGAAAAGCCAATGTGGTACGTGACTGAGCCCGGGCACCAGATTCAAAATGGGCCATCACAATGAGACCGCGTCTCGGCGAAGAAGGACAACCCTCGATCGACACGAAAAAAACATGAGACCGATGTCAATGTTTGACCAACAGGCACAGCCTACGCCACACCCATCCAAGCATCCATAGTCGCCCTTCCGCGTCTACACAACCGCAAGCCAAGGGGAACACCAGACTGACTACCAAGTACCTATCCGCACCTTAGACTTTCTCACCAACTACTAGGCCGCGTCCGTTCAGGGACTAATTAATCTCTGATTCAGATAAAGTCTAGGCAAGCTCCGCCCCTCCCGCCGACCCGTCAGCCCGAGAGCAATCAAAAAACAATCCGAACTTGAACCTTCCATCACTGTAGCATCGAGCCAAAGGTCTCACGATGACCACAGAAGTACGCCCCTGTGGATCCGTCTCAGTCTTTAGGAACCAAAATCAGTCAAAGTCCAGAACAAAAAACAAAGCATCAGATAGACGATGCCGTCACCCAATCTCAAGTCAATGGAAGCAAACCGACTCGCCCTTTGAGAGCTTCGACAGCGGCTAGGCATCAATGCCTCTTCCCTGCCAGCTTTCAGTCCACGTTGTTGCGGTCTTGAACGGTTACACTTTTCTTTGGTCTAGACTCCGGATCCTCTCCAGTCTCTCCATTCTTCTTCCCTGTCTCCCTGGGTGGGAACAGACGATCCACAATACGGCTGATGAGCTCAACTTCGGGATGGTGAACCATGCTGTTTGAGGTTTTTCTCCTAGCTTGATTAGATCTTCCAAGTTCTGGAAATCCAAGGTATCTTCTGCTCGTGACGGCACCAGCTAAGCAACATACGGGGAAAGGGGACCTGGGACGGCGCTAGCGGAACGAGCTTGATACATGCATATCCCCGGTATTCCACCCTTCTCGCCAGGGGCACAGGCTCCTTTGCGATGGACCAAGGGGAACTCCTGCTCACACCATAGAGGGTCTCTAACCATTAGGTACGAGTACCTACGGAAGATTCGCATAGCTAATTAGGTACTTCGCTGAGCTGCCGGGGCGTCAGTCAAAAGGTCTGCCGCATTATTACTCACCTCGCTCTTTGCACCACCACCATCACCACCACAACCTCTTCCAACAAAACTTCAACGATCAACAAAGCCAGCTGGACACAATCCAACTCGTTCAAGTGACAGGCGTGCTAATTATACCAGTAACTAATGTGATGAAGAAATGCCAAAATCGTCTTCTGGACAGTCAATTGGCCAGCACGCCTGAAAGCCACGGCACACGTACAGCCGGCGCCTAGCACCGCCCGCCATTGGCCCCCGAGCCGGCCCCCTCTGTACCCTCGGCGCGTGTGTTTCACCTCTTACTGGTGCCAGTTTCATACAAGCCCACCCAATCAATCAGCCCGTAGCTGAGGTGCCAGATTTCACCTTTTCCCTGCTGCCCCTCACCCCATTCCCATAAGGTACCCATCGAAGGAGAGTACAGGACGGTTGGGGCGGTTGCGATACAAGCGGCCGACTACCACCCGGTTTCTCGGTTTTGACAAGTATCACTCAGTCTTTTTTTTCTCTCTCCGGCAATCTGTAAGTGTAGCATGGATGGTCATATTTGGACTTACGGCGGTTGTCATCACCTATTCGTGTGGTAGGACCGCTGGGCATCCCAACTGACTGCGCTTACCTACGCCTAGCACCAACGACCAAGTGCGACACAAACCAACCCCACAAGCCTCTCGACGTCCCGAGACAAGCTCATTTCCCTAGAGACCAAAGGTTCCGAGAGACTAGTTAACTCTCCTACGGGCTACCGGTACACACGCAAGGTTTCCTATCACGGTCTCGCACTCACGAGTCACGAGTCACTGGTATCGTCTATTACCGGAACCACATACCGGAGCTATCCACATTTGTGCTCGTCCATCGTCTCCCCAGTCACATGCAGATGCTTGGGTTGCGGCGTGTAAAACTCATTCGGCCAATATTGTTTTGCGTATTGATCTCTAGTTTTGATAGAGACATTGGTCTAAATAAACCTAGTTACCACATGCTACCACCTTTCCACTTGCAAGTGCCCCCTTAGTACCGCTTCTCCAATCATGTAACAACCTACATTGTCTTGTTAGCAATACTATCCTGACGACGAACTGCCACTTTACGGTGGGTTGAGTGAACGGTGGGGGGAAGAGCAGAAACTTACCTTTTCTCTAAGAATACCAAGCCACTGTGCCGCGCTCATGCCCTGGTCCGCTCTGTCCTCCACGAGTAGTGTCTGCGCCCACAACTTAAGGCTCGGCTCTCCGTCTTCTCGGACAATGTAGAGATGGGGCAGGATGATGCTGCCGACTCCCTTGGACTTGTGGTCCCGGCTCTTGTGAACGACTGCCCGTACCCGCTCGTTGAAATCGTTATCCAGCTCCGGAAGAGCACCCTTGCCCACCCGCAGCTGGGTCCTGTCCTCAACTCCAAACACATCGGCCAACAGCTGCGGCACGGCATCCCGGCCAGCCCAGAGGAACTGCGTTTGGCCGTCGTCGATGAGATACAGACCGTACGGTGCAAATCTTTCTGACGAGAGATTCGCCGGCGGCGGGAGCACAATTTGGCTCGTCTCCGAGTCAGGCACGCCTGCGTTGTCGGGCATGTCGTGCAACGAGTAGAGACGGGGGTAGATGTATTGCATGAGGAGAGGGACAGGAAGCGTCGAAAGCAGACAGAGGGCTGCCGATCGCAAGTCTGACGGGATTTGAGCCGACTTGCGGAGGCCGACATTCTTCATGAGACCCAAGAAGAGGATGGGAAGGCCGCGCAGGTTGGAGGGGAACTGTAGCCCGCCGCCCATGCTGCCGCCGGCGAGCTCCTTTCTGAAGGTTTGCAAGAGCTCAATCAACTTGTTCTGGAGAGAGTCACGAGCAGCTTCCAACCCGCCACTCAAGGCACGCTCGACTGCCTTGTGACTGAAGTAGGTGGTAATTGCCTGCTGATCAGCCGAGGCATAGATATCGGCGAGGTTTGTAGTCGTCGGAAGAGCCAACGTCATGACGCGGATGCGACGCTCTCCATTGCAGGTTGTGTGAAGAACGGCAGTCTGCAAGCACACCACGTTCTTCGTGAGGTTCTCGTCAATGGCAACCTCAACGACGTAGCATTGATCGCGAGGGAAGGCGGGGAAGGCGCAAAGATCAGAGCTTCTGTTGAAGAAGTTACCGTAGAAGGCGTTCATACGCAGGCCAGTGGTGGCACGGACACGGAGCACTGCTTCCAGTCCGATCTCTGATGACAAGTAGTCACTGAACTCGGAGGCAAACTTGATGGCGTCTTCCGGACGGCCGGCGTTCCAGCCCGGATAAAACCAAGTCTGTCCACCAGTGTACCTGGGCAAGTTGCTCAAAGAGGCAACATCCTGGTATTGCGAGGAGAACAGGAACATGTCGATGGAGACCTGGTTCTTTGAGCATTCTACAGCAAAGCTCTTGTAGAAACTGTTGGCAGTTTGAAGCAGACTACTTTCCTTGCTTGTACCCAGCAACTTCTTGTCTTCGCGCATGTCCAGCTTACCAACGCCAACATTGGGCAGCGAAGCGCTGAGCACTACGATCTTTCCGCCGAGAGCCGAAATCAGCTTGTGGCCAGCTCGAAGGGCCGATCCCATGGCAGATCCGTTGTTCTGGTTGCTCTGGTACATTTCGGGCAGCTTGGTCAGGAAGCTCTCAATGCTCTGGCGGCTCTCAGTCAGGGGCACCAAAAGGTCTTGAGGCACCGGCAGGAATGGCTCGTCCAAGTCGCTGACGACTAACATGCTGGTCTCCGTATTCTCTTCTCCATCCTTGGGGACCGAGAAGTAGTGCAGGCTGGAGTCTACGGCAATGAATCCCAGGCGAGTTCGGCGATCAGCATTAGGTATTCTGTCGAGGCTATCCAGGATGGTTCGGGCACTGGTCGCGAGGAGGCCGGTTGAGACAGCAGCATAGCTCACGTCGAAGAGGAACAGGTAGACCAGCGGCTGAGGCGGGCGCACCATGTACTCCTGAGGCGCGACAAACTCGACGACGGAATAGTTGAGCTCGTAGCGTCCCCAGCGATCAGTGCTCCTTTGCGAAGCAGCATCCCAGTCGAAAGCTTGAGGAACATCATTCGTCAGGTTGCACATGTTGCAACGCCAACGGTGTCCATGGTCCAGGAAGGTAACAAAAGGGTTGATGTATGTTCTGCAGCGTCGGCAACGCGCGATGACCTGGTCCTGCACCACGGGAATCGGGTCCTCACTATCGTGGAGAGCTCCGTAAGGCTGGATAACCAGCGCAAAGGGTAACCTCGACTTCTTGAGAAGGGAGTGTGTTGTCGGGACGGCGTTGAGGGTGGAGCGTACGTATTTAGGACCGCAGTTCGCATCTGGGGAGGGGGTTACGCTAGTCTAGAGGTCTAGTTGTCAGAATAGAGCTCCAGGATTACAGGCATAAGTGGTGACGTACGTTGGGAGGCAGGATAATGGGAGGAGGGGGCAAGTCTAGCTCGGACACGTTAAACGGCTGATTCATCAAGTCGGTAGGGTAGAGCTGGTTAAGGGCCACGGGACGAGCGGCCTGGCCAGGAGGAGGTTGCTGCTGGGCTTGTTGGCCGCCGAGGTTCATACCGGCCATCTGCTGGTTGAGGCCGCCAACGCCGGGAGCCGCAGGGGCAAGGCCGGACGCAGGATATCCGGCATCGGGGGCCGCATACGCGCCGTAGCCTCCGGGTTGAGCAGCTGGAGGCTGGGGCATGCCGTACTGCTGGGGTTGAGGCGAGCCATAGGCGGCGGCAGCAGGCTGAGCATCCTGTGCGGGATAGCCACCATAAGCCGCGGCCTGGGGCTGGGGCATGCCATATTGCTGTCCTTGAGCAGGTGCGCCGCCCGTGTTGGAGTTGGCGCCGGCTCCGAACTCATAAGCTTGGGTGGCATAGCCTCTCTTCTTCTTCTTGCCTTGGTCGGCTACAGCTGGCTGGGCAGCTTGAGCTCCCTGTGCATCATAGCCGTCCTGAGGCTGGTCGGAGTAAGGTTGTTGCTGCGGGGGATATTGGCCGTAGCCGTCGTTCGGCGCCGACATGGTGGGCGGTCGGGGCAAGGACGAGGTTGCGCTCGATAGTCTTTGGGTGGGCTAGGATCCAAGCTGTGGCTTTGCGATGGATGGGAAAGATTGATGTTGGGAATGCGATTTGGTCGAGCGTGGCCAATGCCGGCTTTTTGGATGTACGCAACAGGTGGCGTGGCGTTAGGTAGCGAGGGGTTCAAGGACAGCAAATGTTGGTCAATGGAAATGTGTCCACATGAACTAGATGACGAAGGGTGTTGGAGATACGTCAAGGCGAGGCTACCTTGAGCTAGAAACCCGAGCCGCGCTGCGATTGAGAAAGGGAGGGCAAAGTTGCAGTAGACAGCCTCGGGCAGAGTCGAATGGACAGGTGGTTCAACCCACTGAATCCAGCTCCAAGTCGACTAGGTATGCACCTCTATCGCAAGCAAGGGCTTAACTGGCGGGCTTAGCTGGAGTGTCCCATCATGGCAGCGGTCAAGGACATGTGGCGGGGAGCTTCAGTGCACAGGCCAAGTGAGGCTGAGGCAGACGGAGCACGGAATAATGGTCAGTCCGGAGAAGGCCCCGCGCCGGACCCCGTTCGGCAGATTTCCGGCAAAGGCCACACTTACACAGCCAGGTGCCGCGTACCTTATTGTGCAGGTCCTGAGAGGCATCCCACCAAAGAGCCAAACTCTCAGTTGTGTAACGTAACCCTTTTTTTTTTTTACCATTGATATACGTTCCTCGTCTTTTCATATATGATAAGAAACGTCGTGGGGCAGAGATGCATCCAGCAAGGCACAATGCTCCCCTCAGCAGCGTCTCAGTTCCACGCAAGTGACTGGGGACCTACTTACAAAGCAGGCACTTGAGAATGGGGATGGAAGACCTTGACTGAACCAGGCTGTGGGGTATGATGCATTGTCACGTTTTCCAAGAACGAGCTCTATCTAGTATGAAAAGATCCGGCAGCATAGTTGACAATGTTTCAAAGCTGGCAGTATTACAACTAGGCTTAGAACTACACAGACAAGATTTATGAGCCTTTACTCGCAGTCGACTTAGTGGAAATCTTTAACTCATTGTAGGCACTACCGGACAACCTGATGAAGTTATCTTGAACAAAGTCAGGGTGCGCACTCGATGCTTTCCCACGACCACCACTAAGAAAAAAGAAGACGGAAACATTAAAAAGGGGGAGGCCGCGGCCGCGAACTACGGAGTACGGAGTACGGATACTCTGGTGAGCAAGGCCTAAGACCTCCACTCTCTTTCTATGTATATGTACCTCAAGTGGATATCTTGCCTCTCTGGGCAAGACGGTTGATGGCCCCTCCCGCTCTCTTGGTCGCCCATTGGGTTCTTCTTCTCAGCCTCTCAGGGCCCTGAATCTCCACTAACTAGCCCCTTGCCCCTCCCCTCCAAGATCCAAGTCCCCTGCGCCGAGGACTGGGCCGTCGCTCGATTGCGTGTCGGGGCGACGCGATTCAACTTTGTCGCGCTGGGATGCGCCGTCCGCTGCCCTTGTGTAATCTGCGCATAGATCGGACTGGCCGTCTGTATCCGTATGGCTTGGAATAGCTCCTTACTCCGACAGAGTACATAGGCACGTACCAGGTAGCCAAGGTAGGTAGACACGGATAGCGGGACGGGAAGGTGGGTGGTGGGGAGGGGAGAGGGTGGTACTGCAATACAAAATATGCTGCTTGTGCGGCCTGCAGCTTGCGACGTGCCACGGTCATATCCATCTTTGTCTCTTTCAACAGCCAGGTATCGGTATAAGGTAGAGAGGTATCTGTTCTGTCGGTTGGTAGACCGAGTTGTACGACTAATTTCATCCCGATTTTCCTCCAGTACTTAGGTTCTCATTGCTTGCTCGTGCTTGCCCTTTCCTTTCCAGATCTGACCGAGCACCAGAGCTACCTTCCTTACCTTACCTTGCTTTAGCTCCCACCCCTCCCTCCTCGATCTGCAGCCCGGCTCCCTCTTCATCCAACGTCCGGCACCTGTTCTTCTTTTTCTTCCCTCTCCATTTCTTCTATCCAACCTGCCTCTGTGTAGCCTCTCGCCTCTTATTCACTTTAGCTTCCACACCATTCTACCTAGACCGCCATCTCTTTATCCTCACGCAAACCCACAAGCTACCCCTTCGAGATCGACATCGCCCTACCTGTTTAAGTAGCCCTTCATCGGACGGCGACTCGCTCACTCTTGCGCATTTTCTGCACTTCTTTTGCCTTCTGGCAGCGCAACTTTTCCTTGCTTTCGTTTCAAACTGTTTCCATTTCTTCAAGAAGTGAACACGATAGGACCAAAACCCTTCCCCGGATCTCTTAAACACAAATCTCGAGTATACCCGCAACAATGGCTTGGGGCAAGAAAGCGCAACCGCCGCCTCCTTCGGCCTTGAGGTTAGTAAGATTCCTTCCTCGGACAACACTCACCAGGGTGCACTTCTTGGCATTTCGAGGCTGGTCGCCTTTGCGCCTCAACCTTATATTCTACCTCACGCGACTATTACAAGAACGAAAGGACCTGTTCTCTAGTTCTTGATAGAATACAGAAATCACGCTGACTCTTCGCGCGCAACCCCATAGGCAAATTATACCCCTCATCATTACCCTTCTCTTCCTCGCCGGCGTAGCCTGGGTGCTTTGGCAGGTGTACCTCTCCGTGAACAAAATCCAAGAGTCCGCCTCGGAGCGCATGGGCAAGAAGAACGTCGTCTTCACAAAGGACGGCGTTCGCGTTGGCGTCAAGCACACCTCGAACGAGAACTACGTCGATAAAACCCAGAGTTGGGTCGTCAAGGCTTGGAATTTGAGCGGGAATACTGTCGGTCAGATCAAGAAGACCAAATAATGGGCGCGCATCACCAAACATGTTGCGAGCAATGTCTAAGCGGGGCGGGACGTTAGGACGCAGGAAACCGATGCGAAAAAAAAAAAACCAGGCAATACGGTACACTGGGAGCGGGCAGCTGGTCCAGCGGTTGTTGAGATACCCAAAAACAGGCCCTGGGATGGTCAGTACAGTGATGGCTAAGAGGAGAAATGGTCAGCGGGCGCCGCCTGAGCGCCGAGCGGACAAAGGTTGGGATGACATCTCAACGGGACTTGTTCGATGCAGTAGTGTCTGGCTCGGCGCAGTTGGAGAACATGCGCCCTGCAGCTAGTCACGGCCAGAGCGCTTTTCAGTTTGAGTTTTTCGAAAGTCTTGAACGGGGTCGACGAGATTTCCAAAGTCTCATTTGCAATCTAGCATAGATGCGCAACACGAGGAACAGAGGATACTACCTTTCATTCACGTAAGCTATTCATTCTAAGCAGGAGACATATGACAAGACAAGGCGATGGACAAATCGATTTGGATGCAATTTTTAATAAGGAATGTGCGTGTATACGTAGTACTGCATGATGCATGAGATATCAACTTTGAAGCCAAAGCCAACTGAAAACAACAACAAATGTCTTCCTTCCGGGAAAACGCCGTGGTATCAAAATCCCTTTCTCCAGGCCGAGACCCATGCTCTGCTGCCTTTTACACGGTTACGAAGCTGAGCGACCTGCGACCCTATTTTTGTGCTTCTCCATCGTCACTACCAAGTGATGCGCAACATCAAATCCGCATTTTTTCCGCTCCGCATATCCCAAACGAATCTCTCCTGGTACCTCATAGACAAAGAATACACAAGTTTGTGCGTGTTTGTATCCTCAGGTAGGAGATGCCAGGAAGATGATGGTTATAGATAAAAGCGTAAACTCGTTTCTAACCTCATTCGCGACCCAGGACTTCAACAAAGAACTCACTGAGCGCCTGGACGCACCGTCAACCAATTTTGCGCTACCCACTGGCCGGCCTGGCCTGCGGTGCCTGTGGCTTTCGCGAGCAGCTCGGCCTTGTGCTTTTCGACAAACTCCTTTTGCATAGCCTCGCGCTGCTGCAGAGGGTTCATGGAATAGCCCGCGGACGGCGGCGCAAAGCGCGCCGAGAGCAGCTTCTCAAAGTTGTGAGCCTGCGGGTACGGCTGGGCCATGAGGCCATCTCTCCTGATGAGCATGGAGGGAATGCGAACTTGCATCTATGAGAATACGTCAGTATCGATGAAAATTCTGGGACCTTGGGTTGAATGTGAAAGAGGGATGTGGCTGGCTTACCTGTGACAGAATATGGGCGTACTTGACACCGAGCTCATCACCAATAAACTTCAACCGTCCAACCACCCAGGCTCGTTGGGCGTCTGTCGTGTAGTCCTGCCCATGCAAGCACGCCAGAGGCCAGGTGAGGAAGTATCCGGGAAGACCCTTTTGTGATTCCTCCAAACCACAGGCAAAGCCTGAGATGTTTGCCCGTTCGAGCAATTCGGGCCTCTTGAGATGCCATCCGAGATGGTACGGTACTGAGGCGATGATATCGCTGATGGTGTCTACACACGTGCGTGCCGCCGTGGCGTATTCGGGTGTTGTGCGGTAGTCCACTGGTGAGCAGACCCAAGCCGCACAGCGTACAATGACGGACGCGAGAATGAGGCGAGAGACTCTTGCCATGTTCCATACACTCGCGATCCAGAAGTCTTGATAGACATCCACACGACCAGGGAACACTTCCGCCTTTGCATAGTCTCCGTTGGGGACGTTGTCCTCCCACGCTACCGTCGTGTACTGGAAGTAATCCGGCGTGTTTCTCATCCAGCTCATGAGTTCTTGGTCGACAGTCTGAGCCCGGCGTATCATGTCGAGCATAATGTCGATGTTCTCTGGGCTTCGAGCCACCGTTGACATCAATCTTGTGACCTCGGCACGCAGCTCAGCCGTCTTGATGTTTAGTCTCTGGCACTGGGCGGCTGACTCGTCCTTGACGGCATCGCTAAGCCACCATTCCACGCCCATGATTGGTGCTGTGCCCGTGCTGAGCGTGTGGATGATCATCTGCGTCCGGACGGCGATGAAGAGAAGGAGGCCCGTTTTGGTTCTGAGTTGCTTGCGACCACGAGCCTTGACTAATTGAATGGCACCTTCAATATGTGAGCCCCAGGCAAACATGCCCATCTGTCGAGCAGTCATGTTTTCGAAAAGACCCAACATAAGAACGGAAGCGAGCGTGGCGTCTGATTTCGACTGGTCGGGATCCTTAAGCGCGATGTGTGTCTCTGCGAGTGCCTTGGTGTAGTGACCAAGAGCTTTCTCGCTCAGTTGTGTCGCCGCAGCGTTCGGTCGGTTTCCTAGTGATGCCAGCGCACACGCGTTGAATGCATGTTGCAGGTGGTGGTTCCCTTGGTCGACCTTCAACAGCGGCAGAAGGTACTCCATGAACCCGCGTGTGCTACCCTGCCTCGGTAGCAAGACGTAGTTGGCGACGAAGTGGCAGCTAGCCATTTGTTCGACGGGGACATTCAGACCAGGGCTGACGGCTGCGGGCGAATCAATCTCCTTCTTGAATGTTGGTGAGATACTCTTGTCTGAGCCTGATGTCGGCGAGTCGAGATCCTTTTCTTTCTGGGCGAGGGCCTTTCGGTTCGCCTTTTGCGCTCTCCTCTCTGTTGCTTTGGTCTCATTCCGGAAGACAAGATCGAACTCGTCCTTGTAGCCGGGACACTGACGGCGGGACTTGGCGCATTGGTTACATGTTGGCTTCGTCTCGTCGCACTATAGCGGGAAAAGGCGCCGTCAGTATACACTTCCAACCTGATTTTTTGAACATTGCTCTCCGGGATGCCTCCATCTCAGATCTTACCTTTATCCTTCGAGTACGACACATCTGACAGCCCCTAGAGGGCTTTCCGCAGTAGACCATGATGACGTTTTGTTCCGAGGTACTGTAGTGAGATAGTTGTGTTGGTGTTTGCAACTATGTGGCAGCGTTGAGTAGGTAGGAAGACTACCCAGTGACTATAAGACACTGCTTCTCGGAGATGATTCGTGTTACAATAACCGCAACGTTCGTCCGGTTACTTTAATCGTAGGATTATTCAAGGGTGATTCAGCGTATGATGATCACGCTGACGGGCGATCAGGGTGAGCGTGAAAGATCGACTGTTGATGTCTGGACCAAAAATTGCTGCGACATGAAACTCGCAGACAGGCGAGGCGGTGTCTTTTGGTGGGCGGAGGGTGATGACTCTCTAAGCTAGAGGGGATAATCAGCCGGTGGGCGACTTGATGTGGGCGTTTGGAACCAAGTGCCGGGGACAAGCCGGGTCCGGGAGCGCGTGTTCGTGTTGAGATGATAGAAGGGCGTAGTATGTGGCAAGAGACGGTGAGAGGCCAATGGCGGGACCAAATGAGAACCGAAGGTATGGATGGGAGACGGACAGTTGAATATGTCAAATCGGTCTCGCGTTTCTAAGGATGCCAATTGGGTTGTGAAGTATTCGTATTGAGCGGGAAGAGCACCGAGTAAGGTAGCTGAGCAAGCAAGACGGTTCTAAGCGTGGCCCGAGGCGTGAGTGGAAGCAGGTTGTTGTGAGGGGAGTGAGAGCGGTAGACGACGTGGTAGAAGAATAGCAGGCGAGCGCATGGATGGAAGACTTCCAAGCCACGCGGGTGGTGTTTGAGAACCGGCGCAGTTGCGAGTCTCACTGGGCCTGTTTCCCTGCTACGTCCGGGGGTGGCCGTGGTTAGGATGATCTGGGGTGTGCCTGGTCCGGCCACGACAAGTAAAGAGTGTCAAGATGGGATTGATGTTGCAGGATGCGCCGATGAGGCCGTGTGCGTAGGGTTCGGCTAGGGAAGCGGGAGTACAAGAAAGAGTGTCGTGTGTTGGGGGCCAGAGTTGGCTTCTTGACTCTTTGTATACGAATATGTCGGGTCGAGACTTTTGAGTACGGATACCTCTGGCTCTGGGACAAGGTAACAACGGACAAGCTAAGGTCAGGTCGGGTAAGGTAGGGCGGGTAGGAGATGCAGTTATAATAAGTCGGGTCTAAGGTGTTGTCGAATGTTCCGCGTTGCCAACGTGCTAGGTAGTGGAGGCATGCACATGTGGCCAAATATTCGCATCGGCAGAGAGATTAAGACATGCGGAAGAGACGGGAAATGCCGTTCAAAAGGGGGGGGGCCTCTCCCAGTTTCTACTGTATTAATTTAGCAGTCTCTGAGTCCTCTGTGAAGCCGTGTCAGGCAAATAGCAGTCCCTGGTCGAGAGATTCTCCTCTTGAGTGCAGATACGCACTAGACCAAGGAAACGCCAGATACATGCTGCGTACTGTAGGCCCCACGGAGAACTTCCATGCTGTAAGTATCATAGAAGTACCTTTTCCTTACAAACGCTGGCTAGCTGGTCATGAAGAGAGTCTGCAGTGAACTACAAAAGACATGACTCCCTTCCTCTCCATCTTCTCTTCCCCCTCTCCCCGACCTTGGATTAGAGGTACCTTGCCTCTCGTTATGGCGCATGTAGCTAGCCTGTAGCAGGGCGATGCGTTGCATGGGGAGGGGTAAGGGGGGAATATGATGGCGATGGGGTTTTTCATTGTGGGTGGGGGCAAAGGACAAGCAAGCAGGGGATACAAACGGGCTACTATTACGGATACGTATGCATACGGTAGCCAAGTATGGATACCTTGCTTTGTATGGAGAGGTTAGCTCAGAACTAACGGGCTGGCAGGGCAGAAGCCAGAGGGCAGAAGTCGGTCGGAAAGCAGAATTGCGTCCGTCAAAGGAAAGGAAACAGGGGAGCCCGCTGTGACAACAAGCTGGAGCTGCAGACGTTGCTGATCTGAGCTGGCGGCACACTCAGTCTCTATAGCAGAGGTCAGTGGCCGAGGGGGAATGTAACTCTCCTGAGAACCCAAACCAGGGAGAGGCGCTTTTGGTTGCACACCATGGCACTGTCGACCTGTCATTGGGGGCCCTGTTCTTCCCCTGGGCAATATTCCGTCCACCTTGTTACAACCGTACCGTACCATCGTCCATACGACTCTCGCGTACTTCATACGCACTGCGTACTGTAGAGTGCTGGAGCAAGATTCCCGTTGTCAGTGGTGGAGAAGAGCCTCGAGACTCGGAGGACCCCTGCCAACGGTGGCTGTCGCAGAAAGCGTGACAGTGAGGGGATGTGAAGCTGGCTTGGCTCGTCCGCCGTCCAGGATACGCCCGGGATCTTGGTGATACAGCATCGAGTATCGGGGAGTCGGGCCAGCTGGATCGGTGACCTGCCACTAGCAGTAGCAACTAAGCATCTCTGACTGGCTTTCTGCCATGCCGCTGGTTGGCCTTTTGCATCTAGCCCCCCCATGATTTGGTTCATTGTTGTGTACCCTTCAGCTGGACCCGAGTCTAGGGACGGGGGCTGCTGACGGGCGGACGCTTATACTGCTGGACGGTGATGGGATCGACTCTGGAAGACGACATCGAGCAGAAAGACCAACACAATGGCGGTGGGATGCCGTTGTCTCTGTCCGCATTCATCATATGGGACTCTGGGGCTCTGGGTTCTGGAATCTGATTGAGACGGCGCGGAGGAGTCGGCAAAGTTGAGTTTCGACGGCAGAAACCACGAAGACCCACACAGTACAAGATATAAAGTACCGTAAAAAGTCCTGAGGTGTCCGTACCTACAGCTAGCGCTGCCGTATTTGGACGGTTTCACTGCACACTCAAAATTCGCAGCCATTCAGGTCTGGACGGCTACTTCCGGAACGGACGCCGGTGTTGTCTTGGCACGATACGTACTCTTCTAGGGCACAATTCTCTCTCGTCACCTAGGTGCCTGCCTACCTTACAGATCTAAGGAGTACCTTAGTACATTTTGGCAGAGTCAGAAACTCGCTGGTGCTCTTTTCTCGAACACTTGAGCCTCTTCCTCATAGTCTATGTTAGACTTCAAGCTCAAGTTTGCCTTGCTATCAAAGTGAGGCAGGCACCTTTGAAGACACAGCACAGAACGTCCGTACATGATGTCGACTTCCGCTTGAAGGAACAACTCAGCGTCCCCTTGGCCCCTCGATGATCTTCCAAATTCCCACGAGACGACGGCGTGAAGCCGAGACAGTATACTGAGACATTGGCAAAGTGTCCCGTATTCCTCCTGCTTGAGGAAACATGTGCCAGCAAGACAGCTTGTTGGTGACTTAGATGCAGGAAACAGGTGAGCGGCGCGGCCCCCAAAAGAAGAGCAACAACCAAGACAAGATAAAACAAGACAAAGCTGGGCCATGAGTATCTGTTTCGAGCGCATGACTGGCGGGAAAAGCAAACATGCCCTGAATGGATCCCCCAAATGCACATCACCCTCTGCCCTGTCTTGTCTGACTCTGACTCTCTAGTCTCGAGTCTCCTGTCTCTACTATCTGCGCATGGACGGCTTTGATAGACTCGACCACAACCGTAAGGATACCTATTTTGTCAGCCAACCTACCAATCTGACATTTCCGGATCGGACCGTTGGCAAACCTTCTGCCCCAACGCAAGTTGCAACTATCGTCTCGTCGGTGCAGAAATACTGCATCCGCCCACTAGCAAAAAGTGAAAATCGCGTCACGCCAAGCCGTTGACAGAAATCCCGTCATCTCAGACAACCAACAACAGTCGACAAGTTCAAACTCGAACCCACAATCCAATCCAACGGACCAACGCACAGTTACAACTTATCCAGCCTAGTTGACTCGACTCGGACAAACAAAGTGAGGTGTCACTGCACTGTCTCCCGCTCACGGACCTCGTACGGCGGCCGCTGTGAAGCACAGTCAAAGTCTTGTTTCTTTTGCTTCCATTCTCCGCTCCGATCCATCGACCGATGTATCCCCAAGGTATGCTACCGTATGACAAGACAAGACAAGAGTTCCGACTGTAGACAACATGTTACGATCGCCAGTGGAAGCTAAGCTACCTTTCACGCTAGAAGCCCCCATCAGCTGCAGATAGAGTGGCATGGAAGGAATCCTGCACTGAACCATTCCCTGTCAGCTGGCTAGGTCAACAAGACCATCACGCCAGCCAGTGCGTCCGATGCTTTGCGCAGCCTCAATGTCTCATTCACAGACTCACAGTCGACCACTTCTTGGGACCCCCTCATCCCCTCTTGGTGCGACGACGGCGGCGATGGATTACGGAAACCTTCCTTGGCCATCCAATTGTATCTTGATTACCATTGACCCAGTGATCCAACAACGTTGCCTGTCACTTGCCCATCAACCCCTTCTGACATCTATCGTATGGCGCGGCACAATCATCAGAGCCTGATCAGTTCAGACGCACAGTCGAACAAGATCAAGACGACAACGGCTTCCAGTCTTTCAACGGACTTCTGTGTACATCATAGCGGAACCGCGCCGGGTGCTCCGATACTTTGCTCGCCTCCCCAGCAAAGCGCAGGATCTATCAAAGGCTGTGAAGGCATATTGGGTCAGGCCAGCAGCGAAACCTACATGGGAGCCCCTCTCTCCAAATCATCCTATCCCGAGCTACAAGTGTCGTTTCCACCCATTACTGAGGCTTTATCAGGCCGACGCTGGCAAATGAACACGTTCGTCAGGCCAGGCCGGAAGAGATTCAACCACACGCCCAGTATCAAAGGCTTCCGCAGCCAGCCCAGGCCTCCAAGGCCCCTTGACTATCTTCGCAGTCTCCGGAAATAGCCAGGCATGGTCGGTCGATCACAGCGAACCGCGCTGCTTCTCTCAGATCTCCAGATTTCGTTCTGACGGCAGCGCGGGGCCTACCACTCGTACCTAGCACGCCCACACCACCACCCGATGCATTCAAGTCCACCCTGAAGCGGCACAGAGGTGTGTGAGGATACATCCTCGATTCGGCTCCAGAACCCTACCCTGGGCTCACGCATTAGGAGATGGCAAAGGTGGACTGCATGTTACCAGTCATTTATGACAACGTCCCAGCCTCCTCTTCAATTGTGGGGTCACCAAAGTCGTCGTGCGTGGTGCGACTTGAGTATCCATGTGAATGGATGTACTAAACCAAAACCAACGGCTCCAGCGTATCAAGCTCGACCGATACCTCGCATATACTGCGTAATGTCTTGTACAGTGTATCTGTGCCAGGGATACATGCTATCTACATGTTGTGAACCATTGAGAGGGGCTTAACAGCAGCAGCACAAGACATCCCCATGTACAGGAAAGCCTATCCGTTGCGGATATAAGCTGGATCATCCAAGAACTTACTCGACGAATAAATCTTGAGTTTAAGCAAGTCATCCCACTTATCTTACTCGCGGCTCCGGGATTTCGCATTGCACAGACCGCGTCTACTTATCTTTTCAGGCCGGCCGAATGCTGTCATCTCTCAGGCGTCTCTCCGCCATCCACGCATAGACAATCGATGAGGCAGCAGGCTATACTCCTCGCCGGCTTGTGTAACAAACTCCTCGCTTTTTGTCTCAACTTCTCGAAAGCCGCTGACCAAGCCTACTTCATACGCTCGTCGTCGGTTGAGTTCACGGTCAGGCTGCTTAGCCGGAAAACAAGGGAACCTTGCTTTGCCAAGGTAAATAAACTCACGATCAATTGACGACAACGAGGGATGAGGTAATCTGCAAAGTCAAGACGCAACGAGCTTTCAACGTTAGATGGGACTTTGCCATATCCCAGTCTCGTTGAATAAGCAGCTCCATCGGCCGAGTGGTTCAGTGCTTCTTCCATGGTTTGCTATTGACTACCGGTACAGCCCTAGGTCGTGCTTCGTCCCATTAGTAAATCATGCCGCATGATGCTCTTCAAACCACGTCTATCGGGAGACGGGATCTCTAGAACGCGCCGTCGGACCTTTCCAATGTTCCTCGCATTCTCGCACACCTACTTGGGCCTTTGTCCGTTTTTTCTGTATCATTCTGGTTTCTTCACTGGAAGTGCCACGGCGCGGATATTCAAACTACTCCATCTAGCTCTTTACATCTCTCGCACACCGGCTTGTGTACCCAAATCCGCAATAAAATAACAAGGGATGTCTACTCATTGAAATTATTTGTCACCTCTTTCTATGGGTAAGAGCGCCCCGAAACGCATCGGTGGTCTACCCGAGGTAAGACCCGCCAATACGGCTCCGGGCATCGGTCGTGTGTTACTGCATACAGCAACGAAAAGCCGACGGCATGGTACACACAAACACTTTACAAGACAAGGCTATGTTTCTCGTTTTGCAAAACACTATCGCCCCCAATTCTCGATGCCTGTATCCGTGTATGCCGTCTGCCGCCGCCGATCTACTATCTGAGGATACCATATGTGGGTAAGCTTACGGGGTAGATCCTTTCCCACCCCCTACCCCAAACTTCAAGGTTTGGACCCAAATCGATGGGACAGGAACATGAACTACTTACTCGTCTCCCGGAGCTCCGCGACGCCATCTTGCCGAGGCAAATCACACAAACACAAACAACGAAATGCCGCTTCAGCTCAACGATGGCAAATTCAAGTAGGGTTCCAAACAGATTGATAGTAGATCTAGCCGCTGGGGCTGGAGGCGGGATGGTGTGTCTGTATGTGTGCGCGTGTGTGGCAAGCCAGTGCCGTTGAATCTTTTTCCCCTCCTCGTCTCACAACTTCATCTCTTCAATGCCTCGGCCGAAGACAGGTAGTGGGAGGGATTTCAGGGAATCCAAGACAATTCACTTCCGCCCCTCTCTCCTGATGAACACGTGGTGACCTGGCGTGCCTGGAAATTAATTAACATGGTAGGTTAGTGGATGATTGGAGTTGCTCAATATCCATAAGGTGGTGATGATGATGATGACTCTTGTATCGCCTCGGCATCTTCCATCTACTGTGCACTTGATGGTCAGGGAAACCATTCCACGACGAGAGGGGCGCAAATCTCCCCGAGAACAAGAAATCTTGTCTTCCCACCGCCGTTTCTAATTGACGACAATGTGGTTCATGGAATAATACCAACGATTCGACGAACCCCACCGTCATACAGCTCATGCGTGCCAATGTTCCTCGCCTTTGAGTCTCCCTCCATCTTTGAGAAAATAAACAAGAAAGACCCGACTAAATCCAGAACAGGGGATGCAATCACGCAATGTACGAAGAGAGAGAAAAAGAACAACGGCCGTGTAGCACCAATTCTAGCTTCCATGCAATGTGATGCGATGCGATCGCCGAGGTTGATCGTCGGGTTACCCGCCGCTCCTCTTGCCAAGTTGCTGCTCCTCACAGCCACGGCCCTGGTCCTGGGCCCTTGGGGCCCCTGTCTCTACGGATCTTCGTGCCCTTTGATTCCCGTCCCGAAGTCCCGGCTGCGGATACAACAAAGAAAGCGTAGTAAGGTTAATAGCAGAGATGGACAGATGCACCTACTATTGACCTCCCATTTTAGACGACGGGATCTTTCTCCCTTCCAAACCATGTTCTCGGGGCTTCAAGCACGGGAACATCTGTCGCCCAAAAGTTACGAATCGGCCGTGCAGCGATGACCATTCGCCCCGGGGGGTTTCCCCGTCCAGTCTCCTACCGGTTTCCTTGGGTGAATCGACCTCCCTCGTGTCTGAGTCCCTCAGCACCCAAGTCCTCCTGTACCATGTATCCAGTCCCAGTAGTGTAAAAAAAACCTGTTCAGTCCTGCACGGCGAGGGGAGGGAAGGGCAGCACACGGGGAGGGTCCTTTCTTCCGGATCCCGGGATGAGAAGCTATCTCAGTTTGGAAATGCTTGCGGACTACATACGACCACCTGCACCTGCAGCACTGCAGCCGCATCCCACCCACCGACCATCTCAACTCCCGACGCTGCCAAATGTACGCCATGGCGGGCTTTTCTGCTCTGGGGGTAGGCCTGAGCAGACTCTGCCAACGTGCCTGTTAAGCCTCCAAGCAAGTACGTTGTATGTTGATGCGCGTCACTTTTCGATCTGGGTCATTGTAGTCTCACCGTTGCTGTATCCGTAACTCTTCATACTATCAGCTCAACGGTACGGCAAACTCTAAAGCGGGGAGAAGGAAGACTGCGCTTCTTGGGAAAAAACTGGTATCTTTTCAATCCTCCAAAGCATGACTGGAATCCTAGTCCTTCCCATCACCCCATGACATGTCTATACTCTGTTTTTTTTTCTAGTTATCCAGCCCAGGTGGTATTTTGAGCCCACCTCAAAACCCATCCAATCACTCTCGGCTCGGCCAGATCATTGGACGCCCGTCCTTCAACTGCTAGCCAGATGGCCGGGTCGAGACGGGGCACATGTTTGCACATACTGTGTAGTCATTGCCGGATAATGGTGCATTTCCATCCCCAAGGTAGGTTCCCGTTGGTTTCTCAGCCCTCGAAAAGGCCGGCCACTCCCTCCAAAGCGTCTGGTGTGGCACGTCCCCCATCAGCAACCCCACCGCCCCGAGTTCTCGACTCGTTGGCCGGTGTCATGAACTCCTGAGCCATCTTGCTCCGATTTGACCTCTTGCTGCGCCCGAAGCCGCTGTTCTTGGGGAGCTTTCCCATCTCGGCAATACTGACTCCTTTGAGGTCCTTGAGCAAGTCAAGCACGAGTGCTCTCTGCTGCCGCGTGTGTGAGGCTGGCTTGGCCACAAAGTCATTGAGTCTGTCAAGGTCTGCTTGCCTGATGTTAGGCAGAGACATGAGGATGTCGCGCGGGGTGCTGGTGACAGGGCTATAGTAAACCACTATGGCAGCGATCAGAGACGCCAAGTCTTTTTGTAGATCTACAAAGTAGGGCTCGTGGAAGGAGGTAATGCAAGCCCGGAGCACGTCCGAGGCTATGTATTCCCTGATGGCAGTAGCTGCTTCCGCAGACACTGGCGAGGTATCGAGGTAAGGGTCCCTGCTGGACGGTGCTGCCTCAGCACCATCTTGGGGTAAAGACTTCGGCGACAATGGCTCAGCCACGGTGAAGTCTGGAACGATGGAACGGAACACTCGCAGAATTATGCTGCAGCAACGGGTGTCTCGCATGCGGATGGCGTGCGTGCAGAAGAGGAGCAATGGCTCAACTACGGTCGACTGCATCAGGCAAAACTTCCTAAGTGATGGATACTTCCGTGATTGCTCTTGACCGTTCTGAGATCTCAAAGGCGGGGGGTCTAGATTTCCATGTCAGCTTAGTCGCCATATAGACCGTCTCTCCAAAAACCTCGAACCAGCACTGCCATCCCCACCAGCGTCTGCTCCCAGCCGAGGCACACGGGGAAATGACGAGGATGAGGAGCGGGGTAGCAGACGGATACTCTACTACAGGGCGACCCTAAGGGATCCTAGAGTAGGAAATGGTTGGAGGGAGACTGCGACAATCTAACCGAGGAAGATAGAAGAGATGGGCGAGGATTGAGTCTGGGAAGAAAAGAGAGGAAAAATCACTTACTCCTTTTCGTAGGGTCCAAGAAATCCGCCACCATAATGACTGCGGTGTAGGTGACTTGGCGCAAGATACTCTCTGATTTCATTTCCTCCGTCAGAGCATCGGCAGCTGCCTGTATCGCCTGCTGACGTTCCAAGTTCTCCCATTCGGCATTGATCTTGGCGTCCATTTGCTGAAAACAGGCAGCTAGAAGTGGAGGTAGGAAATGCTCTCGCTGCTCGAGGGGACAATCATCCACAAGATACCTGACGAGGTTGAGCAGATTAATTTGCTGATGTGCTGACAGGTGAAATGAGTTTTGGAAGAGTGCCTGTGCAAGCGGACCGGGCAGTTCGCTGAAGCCGTAAAACTGCATCTCCAAACGACTCATGCAGTAGATGATCGCGTAGCAAGTTTCCCTTACAAACCTTACGGTTCCGCGGATCGTCGATGCAAGACCTTCGAGTGTGTTCTTCTTATCCATGACCCTTGCGTAGAACTCATCTTTGCTGCCCTCTGAAATGCCTGCTTGCCAGAAACGGTCACTGAGCACATTGCCAACAACAGACTTCATCTCGTTGGGCAGTTCTGTCCAATTATCCGGGTTGTGGGAGGCGTGGGCATGGCTACAACGCTTGTCAGTCCACGAACACCACGAGTGATCAAGCGGAATTTACCTGAGGAACTGCAAAAGATCCGGAAGGATCAGCGGAAAGCTGTCATTCCACAGCTGATACGAGATCTGGAATGGCGTTGACGTCTTCTCAAGCTTCTCGACAGAGAATGATAAGAAAGACTTGGTAGGGCGGAGTGGCAACATCTGTAGACAAGTAAGCATAACACCACATTGGACGTGTCTTGGCTCTACCAACCTTTTGCCTTTCCTCCAATTCAGCCTGCAGAGCCAAACCCTCCGCATCCAACTCGCAGGAACCCCATTCCTTGACTTCATGTACGCGATGGCTCACCAGGTACCTCTTTGCCTTGTCCAAGTCCATCAATTCACAAAAGCCAGAGTACGATGACAATGCGTTCTTCAGCTCTTGGTTCTGCCATGAGGATGTGACAGGCTTGATGAATTGCTGGAGTCGTTCAACCTGTTTGGCCGGATCGATGTTGGATGCTCGGTGAATGATGATGAAAAGGAAGCTTTGATAAGCGATTTGGCGTTTCTCATCCAGAGTACCAGACGAGATCATGTCGTTGACCTTTGCCTCGATTTGGTCATAAACCGCGAGCAAATGGTCAGGAACCTTGGACGCTAGCCTCTGCAACTCTACCATGCTCTCAGACTGGAAGTCCTTGATCGCTTCATTGAAAGCGCGATGTTCCGGCTGGGGCGCCGGCCAGGTCATCAAAATGTGCTCGAGAACCTTGAGCATGAAGCCTGGGTTCTTGTCAAGTGCAGTTGTTGAGAAGGCGACCAACAGCTGTAAAACTCTTTTGCGAATCAGAGGATCCTCGAACTTCATCTCCAGAAGTTTGGTGCACCACGACTCCAAATCCCTCTCTAGTGCAGCACGCTGTTGCTCCTAGAAGCAAGTCAGCATTGATTCGAATATCAGAGTCTTCATCACCTACGTAGTCTGGTAAGCTCTGCTGGGTGGTGCTTGCTCTCCATTTCATGTAGCCCTTGAGTGCGGCTTCGATGACTGTGAACTGAGCATCGACACGAAGAACAGGCATAGAGTGTTTGAAATACGTCGCGACTGGAAGGTCAGTTTTTGCTCATTGGCTTCCGCTCAGGGATTGTCTGTCAACTCACCATCCATTGGGGGGCTCTCGTCATACAGATGCTGCAAAACGTGTTCCGCTTGACCAAGAACGTGGTATACTGCGTCGGATAGCTTGAGCTGGACGATGGTCTCAATGACTTGAGTGCTGTATCTTCGGTAGTTGCCGAGAAACGCGTGACGCTCGGGAACGGTGTCAGTATCCTCCATGAGGAACATAAAGGTCTGGTCTTGGGTGTCTTCAGGCAAATTCTCGTAGCGTATCAGGCGAGAGCCGCATACTTCAAGAAGAGGCCCAACGAGATGGCTGTTGGCTGGGCTTTGTCCAATCAGCCTGTTGTTGAGGAGACGTGTCCAGGTTGCCAGGACTGGAATCGCGACGATGAGACTCTGGCTCTGAACGGTAAGTAGCAGCAGGTTGAGGAAACCGCTGACATCCGAGTTTGTAGATATGGCAGAGAACCGCCGGTCGAGGTAGTTGCCGAGAAGGGACAGCATCTGCTAGCAATTAGTAACTTGGCGCGCTCCCTACACCATGATAGACGCACCTCTGAGAACTTTTTGCCGAATTGGTACTTGTCCTCGTCAATGTCCTCCACATCCACAGCAGACCACTGAAAGAGCCTCTTCAGGAGGTCTACTTGGCTAGCATCATACATGGGCGCGACAAGGTCCTTGAACTCTTGTTCTGAGAAATTGGAACGGGAGTAGAGTGCGTGCAGAGCTTCCAGCGAGGCCTAGTCGACGTTAGCTTTTGGCCCCTTTTCAACGGCCGAACGAGCACAAGACGGACTGCTTGGTACCTTTTGAATGGACACCTCGGGAGTGGCAAGAGCCCTGCACATGACCGGAATGCAGTTTGCAACGGCAACAGACTTTGGGATGGCCCATGGCATGAGGGAATAGAACACAGTCAAGGACTTCACGGCGCAGGAGCGGATTTGGTCGTTGTTTGGTGCGTCACCGTCGAGACATTGACTGAGAAACTCGGATACCCTGCTTAGCCAACCTTCTTCCCCAGAGCGCACTTCGGGGCCTGCAACTCTGTTGGGGAATGCCTCTCTGAGAACCGAAGCTGGAGTAAAGACTTCGACGCAGCTTCTGCTGAGGACGCCTTCGCGCATTGCAACAACAGCATCGTCGCCATTGAAGACCTCGTCGGACAGGGTCTCAAGCACGAAAAGGACGAGCTCTTTGTGGACAGGAGAATCAGGGATCTGCCAAATTCGTACCAAGAGCTCGTCCATATCCATCCACTCGGCGCCCCAGCATCTCTTTGCGACTTCTACCCACAGCTGAGCTGTCTTGTTCCTAATATATAGCGGGTCTTCCTTTGACAGGGTACGGCAGAGCTCCATAACCCATTCGCGCAGCATGGTAGACTGCTGCTCGTTGTATTCGGCCCATTTCTGCTTGATTGCGTATTCGAGCAAAGAGAGGGCATAGTGGCGCACGACGGGGGACTGCGACTTGTTGGATGCAAGGGTGAATCCGTGGAAGGGGGCCTCGTCTATGCCCTTGATATTCTCGAGGAAAAGCTGTGCGTCTCGGCGGGACTCGTTGGAGGAGTAAGGACTGTGTATGACCTCGAGGGCCTGGTGGATCTGGGAGATGATGTCGGGGTTTCCACCGTTGGTGGAAGTAGCGTTCTGAGCCATGCCGGCTGCGCCATTGGGCGTCCGGCTGTCCATGATAGGTTCTGTCGGTCGCAGTACACCGCAAAAGTGTCCAGCTATGGAAGCTGCTTGTCCAGCAGGTGACTTAATACTGGTTCATTCGTCGGGAGGTGGATTCGAGGGAACTCGACGGTGAGAGGAGCAGATAGGAGGAAAGATCGGAGTGCAAGCTCGGTGAGGAATGCTGCCCAAGAAGTCGAGATTAGAGTTAGCCACGGCTGCCGTCAAATGGGAAAGAAGGGAAAAAGGATAAGATTGCACTGGAAAGTGCATTATAGAACATGCATGTGCTGCGGTGCAAGGACGTACCGGAAGCTACGTACCTGCCACAAGATCTTGGTCAAGAATTATCAAGGTCGTTTGTTCTGACCTTGATGCGGTGTCGAGTGCAAGAAGGATATGCAAGACAAAGCTGAGCAGCGGAAAGTTTGTCGAGGGGGCAATAGGGAAGGAAGCAGAGAGATTAGACTGGGATTGGGTAAGAGGAGGTACGCAGACGCAAAAGCGAGTGTCGATCTTGAGAGCTTCGCGGAAATGGTATCCGTGTAGCAGCCGTGACAGAGGCAGAAGCTAAAGGACTAGCAACAGCAGCAGTAGCAAGAAGCAATATTGAATTGCATCGTCAGAGGCGGACAGAAAGTAAAGCTTAAAGGTGGGAATTGGCGCGGCGTTAAGGCAGGCAGGTGGTGAGGTGAGCCCAAGGTGTGAGGTGACCCACGCCCACGCCCCAGGTACCTCAGGTCCGACGCGCTCAGCAGTCCCACCCACCGCAGGGCAAGGTTCCATGTGGTTGCTGTCGGGTGCCCTGCTGCTTGCTGTGATGCGCTGTCCCCGGTGCTGTGCTGTTCGGGCCGGGGGGTGACCGTGTACCTGGGGCTGGGCCATCTCAGACTCACCTCACAGGTCCCAGGTCTGTACCTGACTTACTACCTGACGCAATGGAACCCTGCTTTGCCCTGCCTTGAGCCTTTACTTGACCGACTTGGAGGCAGGCAATAAAGCAGGAGACCACACGTCGTGATGCACACAGGACGGTTCTTCTCTTGCATCATTCATTCCTCCATTTCTCCAACCTCAAGTGAGGTATTGCATTCCAAAGAGCCCCCCCAATTATCTTCAAGTCTCATGTCACAAGTGTCCATGTGTTGTGAGTCGGACGAAAACATGGGAAATGCGGAGAGAACCTGTCACCCCACCTCAACTCACATCACCTCGCCTAGGCAGATGCGTTCTCGTGAATCTATATTGTTTAATTTCGGCATCTTCATACCTTGCCATGCTACCGGGTAGGCTGTAGCCAACTTAGCCTTGGTATGTGCATGCCTACCGTACCCAGGGAAATACCCCGCCATTTGGCAATCGAATACCTCTCCCCATGTTTTTAGGAAGTGGCTATCATCCAATGGCCGGAAAAGATGCATGAGGACCCCTTGACGCCGCAATGCGGTATCTGACACGTCTGTTTATAGAGTACGCAAGTTGCTTCAATGATGGAACCGCCTCATCGGAAATCACATCGGCCTAACAGTGCGAGTATGCATGGAAACTACGGGCAAATTCTGTCTCCAACATGGCAAACCCCTTGTCTAAGGCACTTGATCTTAAGCACAAACACCATCCCCCTGTTTGTCCCAGACATACCTAGTACGTCAAGCCGGCAATTGGTGTTGGAAGAAAAGACCAAGCATCAAAACTAGGCTGTCGCTTCTGCTTGCTTTGTATTCTTCCCCCTTGACCTAGGCTAGTTCTACCTCCCACAGGCACAAAAGCTTGTCGTAGAAGCTCGTCGATACACACTCAAGACGCTTGCTCTCCGGTGCCGGCACAAAATCGCTTCCGTAGTTCATACTCTTGTGTTCCTCGAATTGGGCCAGGACAGTCACGGCCCAGTCTTCGCCGCTTAGCGGCCCTTCGAGTTCGACGACTCTGGCGCCAGCATGCATGCACGATGCCAGGACGCGCAGGCGGCATCGATCAGCATTGCTTTTCATGTCGATCAACTTGAGCCTCCACACACCACCTCCTAGGTTCTCCTCTGCGAGACATCTGACCTTCCGCATACCGTACGTCTCGTGCGGCGGTTGTACTGAAAACACTCGTATTGTGTCGTCATAACTACCCGTAACTAGTAGTCTTGCGTTGTCTGCAAGAGTGAGTGGTATAGGGAGGATAGCCGTCACGCCGGCACCGTGGTCAGGGATGTTAAGGGGCGCATATAGAGCCTCGATACCCGCATCCTCGTTGCGAGAACACGATGTGTAGCGCAATGCCGAGTCATCTCCTCCGGAATAGAGGATGAATGGCGTGGTTTGGTCAGGTGGCGAGAAAGCGACTGTCCAGGCCTCGAGAGAATGTGTAATAATAGCTTCCGAGTCCTCTTCATTTACAATCTCCCATGAATCGCCGAGTTTTACAATGCGCACCTCCCCGGACGAGGTTGTCAACGCAATAGAGGCGGCATTGTTCGGGTCCCAAACCCCAGAGAGGAAGAGAACGCCTTCAGGTACATCGGAGATTCTGCTCGTGGCCAAATGCTTCAACGGCTCTGCGTCGTCGGTGTCCGGAGCCAAGTTGAAGATGGAAAGTGTTCCCGTGCTCGAAACTACAGCCAAGATGTCCTCCCGCCCAGACGATGAGCAGAAGTGCAGATCAAGAATTGCTGAAGGGTGCAAGAGTGTTTGCACATGTTGACTATGAATGAGTAAGTCAAACAGGAAAGAGGACAATCCTTCTTGGTACGCAAGTGCCAGACTTACACAAGACCGTCAACGAGCCGATATACGATCAAGCTACCGTTCCGGTTTTGAGGCTTCTTGGGAACAGCAACATCTGCGTTTCCAAACGACTCAGTATTCGCCTCCTCTTCTTTGACCAAGTTGTAGGTGCCGACTACGAAATAAGACGGATGTATTGAGCAGAATTCTATGCAGCTTGGGGGCAAGTCGAGGATGAGAGACTGCTTCGAAGTAATGGTTGGGGCTGAGTCACCCATTGTGGGTTGTGTGAGAGTTGTCTTCTCTTTTGGGGCCGGAAAGAAAAACTTCCAAACCCCAGCTTTCGAGTATTTGACGAAAGGTATTGCTAAATGCGGGGTGTCTCACCGAACTATGCTGTCTCGTCTCGGGTCTTCTATGATGGAATGGCTAGGTAGTTTTGGAGTCCGGGGAAGACGTGTGGGGGAAGTCGAATTTGAGATTTGACGTGTGGTGCTTAGATTCTGCACTCGCCAAAGAGTTCCGGGAGGGTTATCGGCCCCGGCGCAGGCGGAAGGATCCCGCAACCCCCGACCCCGGGATTGACAGCCGCTAATCGGTTCGGAAGTTGTAGTACTTTCCAAAAACAACGGGGTGTCTGTAGCATCCCCTTGTTCCTTCATTTCAATGGATTTAAACTTTATCAACACGTTATCCCCCGCCCGCACATCTACATAAGAGGATGACGTTACCCTCACATTGTCGATACTGAGGTACTTGTTTTTACAACAGTCGATGGTCATTGTTCTTTACTGGGGTGGTGCTTTCTTTTTCTGCTCCGAAACAACAAACGTTCACCGCACTTTCTTCACAGCTAGACAAGGCACTTTCCTTTTTGTTCGTGATCTCTGTGCATTGACTCCTGTGTTTCCTAGAGTTTGCATTGGGTAAACATGGATTCTGATGAATCCGACTTCTACGGTTTGCGTCCTTATGAGCTCAATTGATGTCGAACAAGACGAACTAATTCGTGCTCAGGGGACGATGAGATAGTCGCCGACCTAGAGTCTCGGGTTACGTCATTTGACGTTTCCCAGTGGTGGGAAGAGAGGAATGCGGCGGCGGCCTCCATCTCGGTGATGGACAGAAAAGTCAAGAAGGAGCCTCTCGACAGCACCAAACTCCACAACCCGTATGCCGGTGTTCCCTACGCGTGGCAGTTGACGGAGACCGTCAATGACTTCCTTGATCGTCTGCCTCCCGAGACGACGGAGCACAGCGAGCGGCTCCCGTGGATCTTTGTATGCAATCCGTACATTCGCAGGAAGGACAGGTTCAATGCCCAGAACCAGCGGAGCAGAGGGAATGAGGACGAAGCACCCGAGGAGGAGGGCTCGCGACTCGATACTCTTATCGAGGGGGGCTCGGAGAGATTGGAGATCCTACTCAACTACAAGCTAGGCCTCGAAAAGACCAACAAATCTAAGACAGTACAGGCAAAGTTGCTAAGGCAAGAACAAGAAGATGCTACCCGGGATATCATGGGCCTCGCGCACATGTGCAAGATCAAGGCCGGCAAGGCAGGTGATCACAACAAGGCCCGCGCGTACCAAATATGATAGCTGATTCTCGTCAAACAGTGGATGCTCTTCTGTCAGCCCAAGGATGTTAACGAAGTCTGGAACGTCATAGCAAGCGCCACAGCGAACAACGAACTAGGCATTGCCGCAAAAGTTGCCCCTTGGAATCCGTATACCGACCCTACCGGTCGAAAAGACCGGATTGTATGCGTTTATACGGCCGATTTCAGCGATATGGCAGATGTGACCCGGGTCTTGCGTCGGCTGAGAGAGCTCAAGCTCGTTGAGGCCATGGGACGCCCTATCTACTATAAACCAGGTTCGTAGAAGCCTCCTATCACGGAAGAAGATTTCGGTCTGACATGCCTAAGATGCGTTCACATATCTCGGTATCGCTTCCGGCAATCACTGGGGCTTGAAGGCGTCGATTTACAGTTCTAGGGATGTGCTATCCTAGACAATCATCCGCCTTGTGGTCTTCCACTTCCCGAGAGGAGCTCATATACGATTCACTTGATGACGCGGCGCTTTGCAGGTGTAGGCTTACGATGGCCGGAGAGACCGGTCATCCTCTCTCAGGGGCTGCATACTGTTCGGGATGAGGAAGAAAAGCTAGATCAATCGGTTCAAAGAAACGAGCGGAAAGAGTCGACGATTGTCACCAAGGCTAAGAGGACGGACTGCAGCTCATCTTTGCTTCTCTGATGTACATGAATAGTGATATGTACCTCTCATAGGCCGCCGTACCTGTAGAGTACTGCCACGAGCCTATGCCATGTGTGTGAATGCGAATCGCGACGTGCGCCCTGCCAAATAATGCCTCTGTCCTTTGTACAACGCTCAACCATCTGTCAGAATCGACGACGCAATAAACCACCAAGTCTGGTACCCATGCCCCTAGTGATGCTAACGTTTCTACCCACGCAAGATCCCCTTCTAAAGCAATGGCGATACTCTGCTAGCTCTCCTGTAACCCTAATCTAATCTTTCGGTGCGGTTGTTGTCAAATAACGCCGCACGTGTTATCAAGCATTCTCTTTGACTTGAGAAGCAGATCTTCTCCATACTCCCCTAGTCAGGGAGACTGGCCATCCGAATCATCAAACGCGGCATCCGGGTCGATAGGTTTGAGTAGCAGTACCAGCCTGTAGGCGCTGTTGCCGTTGAGATAATACCTGTGTAGCTTCTTGGAACGCAAGAACCCAAGACGCTCGTACAAACGCATGGCTTGTGTGTTGGTTTCCTCCGTCTCCAGGACCACCTCATCCGCGTTCCGTTGGGCCATGGCATCTATAGCCCTCTTCACGAGTGCCGTCGCAATGCCTTTACCGCGATATGGCGAGGCCACGGCGAGCATAGCGATGTAGCCCCGGCGCGTTGGCGGCGAGTGAGATGAGTGCACTTCCAGCTTGCAGATGATGACACCAATGAGAGACCCGTCGGCAGGATTCAAAGTCTGTGGTAAAGTAAGCAACGGCGATGGCACATACACAAAAGGGAATAGAGAGAAAGGTAACGCACCATGAAGCACAAGTGGCCCCACTGGTATAGGAAATACCGGTAGACATAGATGCTGTATGGCTCACTCAAGTCCTTTGCGATCAGAGAGCGTATAGCTGGAAGGTATTTCGCTTCGAGGCCGTGCTCGTACTGGATGTACTGCAGATCCGCGGGGAGGTGGGTGACCTTGGAAACGTCCATATTGCTGTCTCGCGGGGTATATATGCCTGAGGTCGGACTTCGTAGGCAAGATATGGCATGAAATCAAAGCTATGAGATTCGTGATGAGAGGTTGCACACAAGCCTATATCGGCACTTGAAATGGTCTCAAGGCATGACAATCTGTATAGCGCGCAAGAAGTGAAGTCTTGAGATGGCAGACGAGGCGGATGAGAGAAAGTGCGAGCAAATAGCCGGGTGTCGCCAACGTGACGCGCGGTTCGCTGTAGAGGAAGGCAAGACGAGAATGCAAAAGATGAAGAGGCGCGGCTCTGCCGCGGCTGGGGGTTATGAGACAAGGACGAGTGCAAATCGCCCGAATCAGGATCGTGAGATGTGCGTTTGCAGGTGCAAGCTGATGGGCGTAGTTGGAGGCGGAATCGGGGTCGGGGGACGCTGCATTCGACACCTAAAACTGAGTCGAATTGTTCTGGCTGCGGTGCTTCAGGTCAGTCAGCTCCGCTCAGGCCGTGTGGTGTTCAGTGTCCTACCAACTGCAGTACGGCAGGCCCCGCCCGGGGGCCCACCCCCTAGGTACGCCCATCGTCCCTGTCGGATTCGGAGGTCAAGGCAGTTTTGCGGGCAGGCCATTTAGTGGGGTCTACCGATGGGCGGCCTGTTGCCCTCAGGGCAGTGAGATTCCTTTTCCAGCCAAACGCCTTGAATTTCCTTCACTGTCACATGTCAAACGGCCGCCCTCGTGCTACCTCGACAGTCGTCTCATTGGATACCTAGAATGGCTTAAGCAGACACCCAAGAAAACTCGTCTAATCCAGACCTACTTTAGTTTTGGAAACTCGACTTGGCGGAGAGGTGAGGTCTCTACCAGGTGAGGTAAGCACATGGTAAGGTGAGGTGCATTAGGGTGAAGCCAGAGATGGCGGCGCCTCACGCTTGCCAGTGTGTGCTGGATGATGTTTGTGAGGGTTGTCAAACTTGGATATTCCAGGTAATCGAGAGAAGACTGTGATAAGGTTGGTAGGTAGGATTCACTTCATGTCTTACTCAAGGCGAGATCACTACCCCGTCAAATCTGCCAAGTTTGAATTCTTGCTTGCGTTCATGCAATGGGGTTCATCCAAGGTCCATCACATGCAAGTCGGTCCCCTTGGGTTGCTTGTCAGGGTCTGCTTTACAACCCATTACCTCTATTTAACTACTAGTCAGACCAAAAGAGAAAGGGAATGACTTGACCGCTTTCGGAACATTCCTGCGCAACAAGCATCGTCGGAACATAGGTAGAAAGAAAAAAAAAAAAAAAGGCCCATATTCTAGCACTTGAGGTATTACTTCGTGCTAAGTTACCAGTTACCTACTGCGTAAGGATTTACGATGGGACTGGTACCTTCAATCAGTGGGACCCCCCTGCCTCCCATGGCGGCATGGTGCCTGTGCATCTGCCGGGAGCACTCACGACAAGGTCAGATACATAACAACCATACCAAAATATGCACAATCTCCAAGTACCTTTTCTGGCGGAGAGCATGCTGGAAAAAGACGCTGCCCCCCTCGGAGATTGACGTCACGTCGGGCCGCACGGAGAAGTCAAGCAGCTCATGCATCTTTTTTTGCTCGTTCCTCGGCCGCCTCCAACATCCCACCCCCCGAGCTCCGGACTCCTTGGCTCTCAACATTGCCCGGCCAAGCACACCTGAATCCCGCATGCCTCGGGACTGCCTGTCAACATTCGTCCCTCTCTGTCTGTCCGACAAATCACAAAACAAGCTTTGCCTAGCTTTGGATCTGCCGTAGTCGCCCCCCCTTGCTCGCCGCTTAGCTCACACCGTCCTATCGCCCACTCGCCCACGTGCCTCTCAATAAGTACCAGGCCACGCCCAAGGAGGACGGCGCAGTTGACACCGTCCTCGCTTCCACTTCATCCCAAGCTCAGGTATGCGCCGCCTGGCCCCTACTTCCACGGAATAGCCTGGCCTCCTTGGGTTGTTACAATATCGACTTCAAGGGCTCACTTCGCTCTACTAACACATTTCCCCCGTGGTAGCAGCCCTTTGCGACAGCGACCATGTCTTCCTCGACTATTAGGCGCCGTGCCATCCCCACCGACAGCAACGTCGATAGCGATATTTCGACCCCTCGAGGCGAAAGCCCCGAGAAGCCCGAGACTGTAGCTCACGTTGTTCACCATGTAAAACCCAAGACACGGAAACGCCGGAATGGCGCCATCTTTTTACTTGGAAGTTTGTTTGGAATCATAGCCGCCGGCTTTTTCGCGAAAAGCAACGACCTCATAGATTTCCCCGAGCTTGGAGAGCTTAGCATGGACAGCTTCTTCGATGTTCTGCCAGCTGGCTTGGTTAAGGACATGCGGGAGCTTGTGGTCAGTAACAATTCAGGTGTCGTCCTTGGCGCGCGTGCGTCATCTAGCTGGCTAAAACTAACATGGCTGGCTGTGAAGCAAGGCGAGAGAGAATTCGTCGATAGCTACGATGCCTTCTCCGTAGGTTTGCAAGCCCGCGCCGAGGGTCTTCATGCCCATCACCCCATGATCATGGTCCCTGGCGTCATCTCAACAGGCCTCGAGTCGTGGGGCACGGCCAACGTTTCCCGCCAGTATTTCCGAAAACGCCTCTGGGGTAGTTGGAGCATGATGCGTGCGCTGGTCCTCGACAAGGAGAACTGGAAGAAACATATCATGCTGGATCAGGAGACCGGCCTTGACCCCCCTCATATCAAGTTACGAGCTGCTCAAGGCTTTGACGCAACCGACTTCTTTATCACCGGTTACTGGATCTGGAACAAGATTTTCGAGAATCTGGCATCGATAGGCTACGACCCGACTAATTCCTTCACTGCCGCGTACGACTGGCGTTTGGCGTACCCCAACCTCGAAACACGCGATCAGTACTTTTCGAGGCTCAAATCTTACATTGAAACTGCGCATGCGTTTTCGGGCAAGAAGGCCGTTCTCGTGTCCCACAGCATGGGAGGGCAAGTCCTTTTCTACTTCTTCCACTGGGTCGCATCCGAGAGTGGTGGACGAGGTGGCGATGATTGGGTCGAACAGCACGTCGAAGCTTGGATCAACGTGAGTGGCTGCATGCTTGGTGCTGTCAAGGACTTGACAGCTGTCTTGTCAGGTGAGATGAGAGACACAGCTCAGCTGAACGCCTTTGCCGTGTACGGCCTCGAGAAGTTCTTGAGCAAAGACGAAAGAGCCCAGCTCTTCCGAGCAATGCCTGGCATTTCTTCTATGCTTCCCATTGGAGGAGATGCTGTTTGGGGCAATGCGACATGGGCACCTGATGACAAGCCGGATCAGGAGCTGTCTTACGGTTCTCTCCTCAACTTCCGTAGCGGCATGAACTGGACAACTCCGGAACGGAATCTGACGGTGGAGTCAGCCATGAACTATCTCTTTAACACGACAGAGGAGTGGTACTCGAGGAATGTGAAGGGTGCCTATTCCCATGGTGTAGCACACACTCAAGCCGAGGTCGACGCCAACGAAAAAGACCCAAACAAATGGATCAACCCCCTGGAGACACGTCTGCCTCTGGCACCGAGCCTCAAGATCTACTGCTTCTACGGTGTAGGTAAGGCAACGGAGCGAGGCTACTACTATCGATCACCAGACGCACCGGCTCTCACGAACCTGAACATCACAATCGACACAACCCTCACGCAGGGAGAGGTGGATCATGGTGTCGTCATGGGAGAGGGCGACGGAACAGTAAATCTTCTCAGCACGGGATACATGTGTAACCGCGGGTGGAACTACAAAAGGTACAACCCAGCCGGTGTCAAGGTGACGGTTGTCGAGATGGAGCACGAACCCGAGCGATTCAATCCCCGCGGAGGACCCAAGACGGCAGACCACGTGGATATTCTCGGGCGGCAACATCTGAACGAGCTCATCTTGAGGATCGCGGCGGGCAAGGGAAATACGATTACCGACTATGTTGTTAGCAACATTAAGGAGTACGCCGACAAGGTTAAGGTGTATGACGACGGCCAAAGACCCGATGAGGAGCAGGACACCTGGGAGGAGACTTTGGAAAAACTGGTCGGCAACAGTTCATGAGCAGTCCGAGTAGAGGCGTTATATGGCGCAAGGGTACTGAGAGTATTTGGAGCATTTGGGAACGGTTACGACACGGATACAATACCCTCTTATTCAACGAATTTCTGTGTTTCCATTCCTTTAGCCTTCCTGTCTTAATAGGTAATTATTGAACGAGATATACGCTATACATAGAGCTCGCAGCATAGGTACTTTTACAAGACGAACCTTTGAGACTTTGACAGGTGACCACAGCCCGTCTTGTGCACTCCAGGACATTGATTCGCAAAGGTCCCAAATGTTTCTCTATGGTAGGCACGAGTCGCCATGAAGAGACAACAGGCAAGGAGGGGCATGCAAGAACTTTGAGGCGGCATGGGATCAGGTGCACGTTTGCGTTGTCACCGGAGCAGCGACTATGTACAGTGGAAGATCGGTATCCCCAACCCCTCCATTCCCACCCCTCCGCTTCACATTCCCCCCACCTTCACTCCAAAAGAACTAAAAAGAAAAAAAAGTCCCCTCGCTGCATGACAGCCACCAACCAACTCCCGTCCAGGACTCCGTGTGTTGTCGCTGCCGCTGCGGCTCAGTGGGCCTGTACAGTGCTTTAAGGGTGGGACGTCCTTACCTCATCCAGCTCGGGCCTGGACCCAGACTGCCCTGGCCCGACTAGGTACCTGAAGAGGGGGACCTTGTTGTCAAGCCATGTGGTGTATCAAATCCCAAAGAGTCGAAACTCCAGCCGGCCTCATCTTCATCCCACCGAGTATCCAACGCTTCTCTTCTTCTTCTACTCCTCTTCCCATATTTTAGCAGTCGCTGTTTGCACTGCGCCGGTGATGCAGACCATTCCACTCACGTATCAGCGGTGGCTCTAGCATCATGGCCGACTTCGATCTATACGAGTCTCTCGAGACCAAGCACCAATTTTGGGAAGGTCAGCCAAATTCGCCCCCAAATCCAACCCCTCGTTGCTTCTTCCATCCTTTCCCGCCTTACTGTTCATGATGTTGTCTACTTCGTCTCGTCCCAGACCCTACCTTTCCTACGTCGCACACTGCGCGCATCGTAAGATTTGTCGCTGACCAGAGTCTCGTCGTCAACTGCAGAGCTCGACGACGTCGTCACTACCCAATACCAGTCCCACGACTTAATCGACGAAACCCTGCGATCGTGGCTCTATCTTACTTCGAGGTTTAGAGACAAGTTCCCCGAGAACGAAAATGATGTCGCCACCTGCTGCGAGAAGCTGCTGCAATGCAAGCTGTTTCAAGACAACAAGGACTACATTCGCAACCAGATCGTCTACAGTCTTTTGCAGGAGGATGAACCCCCGTCGCTGCACGCCATTGTACTATTCCTTTTGCTCGACGGCCATGCCGACGAGGCCTTATACTCTCGTATGATCGAGGAGGCGTGCTTCCCTCGCCTCCTCGAGCTGATTAACGGACGTAAAGACCAGGATCTGAGGCTGCATCGCTTGCTTCTGGAGCTGATGTACGAAATGTCCCGGGTCGAAAGGTTGCGCACCGCCGACTTGCTCCAGGTCGACGATGGCTTCGTTGCATACCTCTTCCAGATTATCGAGGAGTTATCCAACGACGTTCACGACCCATATCACTATCCAATTATCCGAGTGCTGGTATAACTCTCCTCACCGTATTCTCTCCTGTCAGTTACTGGCGCTGATGAATATGGAAACAGTTGGTTCTCAACGAACAATACATGCTCGCATCCACCGACGTCGCCTCCGATCCGAACTCGCCCACAGCCCCTCTCACGAATAGGGTGATCAAGTGCCTTAGTCTCTACGGCGATTCGTTCCGCACATTCGGAGAGAACATCATTTTACTTTTGAATCGTGAGACGGAGACGTCTCTGCAACTCCTGATCCTGAAACTCCTTTATCTATTATTTACAACCAAAGCCACATATGAATACTTCTACACAAATGACCTCAAGGTTCTCCTTGACGTTATCATTAGGAACCTGATGGACTTGCCGGACGAAAAGATATCGCTTCGCCACACATACCTCCGAGTCCTGTACCCACTCCTGGCGCACACGCAACTTAGCCACCCGCCGCACTACAAGCGTGATGAGGTACTCAAGGTCTTGAGGATTCTGGGTGGTTACGGAAATTCTCACTTTGCCCCTGCGGACGAAACGACGGTGCGTCTAGTCGACCGAGTCTCGAAAGTGAAATGGCTTGTCGACCAGGAGGCTTCTGGAGAGGCAGAGGTGGCTCGGAAGTTCCTGGGAATCAGTCTCACACGTTCGGACACGGCGAGCAGCGTTAGTGTTGTCGACGTCGCCGCCGTCATGGAGAAACCGGGAGTCATCACTCCGAGTCGCAAGGCCGAGGCAGACGCGGAAGCCAAACAAGGGGAGGCAAAGGCCGGAGCAGGCACTGTGCGGCCGAAGAAGCCGTTGCCCGAGGTACCGAAACACCGACATGGCGTGCCGGTCGGACCGACGACGACGTTGCATTTGAATGGACATAAGAAGATACCACCAAAAGCACCGCCGCCACGGAGAAAGACGAAGCTCCAACCTTTGGAGCCCGTAGCGGATAGTGCCCCTATGCCAGAGGCTTGAAAAGAGATCTGGACGTGAGCTGGCCTGGTCCTGGCGGCTGGATCAAACGACGAAATGAATTGGGACAGGTGTTTGCTCGATTTGACGACATGGGCTGGAGTTGTGGACTTGGAAACCAGAGGAGGCATAGCAATCGCAACGTTGAGGATGGCGTCGAGCGTTCGGGTTACGGTCATAGCATATCATGGCGTTTGGGATCCCGAGGACTGCTACACTCAGTCCAAAGACGGTATTACCGCCACCTAGCAGCTGCAAAATTTACGCATTTTGAGTGGATGAGACGAAGATCGAGATCAAGCAAGCGTGTGTGCGTTTGTGCGTTAACGGATGTGTTGTTCACTATCAACATCTGTGCTGAATGCGAAAACTTGGTCGGAAGTCACTAGGAAGTATCGAAGGGTGAGATCGGAGTTAATTTAGATTCACTTCATCTGGAAGCAACATGAGATGAACGCTGTAGGTCCGCTACTTCCCAACTTCAACTTTACTCGTAAACCTAGAGGCACAGACTCGGCATCATGGACGACAACAGATAAACAACATTTAGGGTTCATCCGAGGCCAGGTTTCCGTACTTGGATTTTCCGCACACACGGAAGAAGTCTGCAAATGAATATCCCATGTACCGAAGTCGAGGAGGATCAGGTGTGAATATAGCGCAGAGTTGAGACCAATCCAATCAAGGATGACAGAAAATAGTAAAAGAAGAAGCACATTTTTATAACCCAGCAGAAGGTTTCACCAAAATGTCATAGATCGTCAGCATGCAGCAACCGCAGATTCGCGAACTTACACCACCGCGGAGTTTGACGATGTCTACAGCAAAACCTCAAAAAACATACAACACCAGGTATCCGCTGGTCGTCACCGACCCAACTACTAATCCGGCCCTCATTGGCTTATCTATGGGAGAGCGGACGGGATCCCGAGTTTTCCAATGGGTATGGTCGTATGTGGTTGCTTGAGGAAGTAAACTTGACTATATCGCGGGTGTTCGCTGGGGAGAATCTGATCTCAGTGACTTGGTGAGGTGCGGTGCCTTGCTGTGTCAAAAGAGTAGGCGATACAGACTATGCCACGCAGACCTCTAATCCACTAAAAAATCGCGTGACAATAGTGCTGATGTGTGTTGTTCGAGGTGTCCCTCCAGTACCTACATCAAAATTTCGTACGTCTGAAGAAACGGCTGCACTCGCCACTGTCGACCGTTGTTGAATCACAGCGGATGGAGGGGTTTCGTGAATGTCCGATGGGCAGGCTCTCACCCCACGCAGCCACACTCATGTCAGCACTCAGCTCAAAGTTGGAGGCACTGCCCGGGCATGCCGATGGAACTCGGCCCCGGGGGGCTCGGGGGATTGTTTGCGGCCAGAATGCGATAAACACGGGGAAACGAAACAGGAAAAAGAATGGTTGATTGATGAGGAAGCAAGCTGGGGTACTTGGCAATCGGCTACCTTTTTTTTGAAAACAACACTTGGCCGAGGGTGGGTGTGAGACGATCATGACCTCGATGAAGCTCGGGTGGGTTGTGTGTGCTGCGGCTGGGCGTTGATTGGGCCGTGAACTTCAGGTTCAGCTGGAGAGGTTCAGGGTGGTGTTGTTGGTTCGATGACTGATGTGGTGTTTCTCTGCATTGGAATACTGGACGGCCCGGCCGGGTGGGACGGATGCGTCACGTCCTTTCGAGATGGTAGGATCGTGCTGCTGCTTTGGTTGAGGTGTGTGATGGTGGTGACAGCATGTTCCATGGTGAAGATGATTTGACGCGGGCGACTAGTAACGGGTTGGCGGATATCCGTCGAGCTACGAGGATGCAGAGGCCAGAGGGAGAACTGGGAATCGGGAATGCCTATCCGTACTAAAGTAAGGTAGGTTAGGTGCCGTAGGAGAGTTCATACGGATAGATAGTGACACAGTAATTACCTTAGTGAGGTGGAATTTGGAAAGGAAACGGGTCCCCGGGTGTTTGATGGTCAGGTTGCAGCGAATGTCACCCGTTTGGTGGTGTTGGAGAGGGGCGGCTACGTCATCGACGGGGCCTGACGCGCAGCGCTGGGAGCTTTTCTTGGCCTTCGTCTTCTTCTTTTTTTTCGGTCTTTGCGACGACGGGAGTTTAAGAGGAAATGAGGCAATGTCACCGAGTGAGATGTATTACCAAGTCAAGTGTAAGAGGAAGAAACCCTTCTCAGCCCATCTGCCACCTTGAGTGTCTTTCACTCCTTTATGACCGTGTGAACATATTTGTCTTGATGAGATACGTATTGCAAGAGGGACCAGATGAGAAATACCGTGATGTGTTGGAATGATTGGTGACACGGTTCATGAGGTGCCCGTTGGTGTTTCGTGACGGTTCGCTCACCTGGATAAGGTAGCTGGAGGCAGGCCACTGTGAGTTCATACAGGTTCAATCTGATGTCTCAAGGTACCTACCTAGGTACCTAAGTAATAAGCAAAGTACTTCACCACTTACCCAAGGTGCCTTAGGGCGGACGATCCCAATCCCCCAAAGTAGACGCGCAATTCAGGGTCCAGCTGCGCTAGGTCGACGAGGGCACCCTGCACCTCACTCAGACCGCAGGCGCAGCTCCTTGTTCATCAGTCCGTGTTGCGCTGCGGCTTGTCCAGGTTCGTTCTTGCAGCGGCACCCGCGCGCACATTGCACAACACAGCAAAGCACAGTGATTGTCAGAATCATCTTAAGCTAAGGTACGAGGGAGTCGGGGGCGCAACGGGCCAGAGACAGGACGACGCTGCACGTTTGGCCATGACATGGAATGCTACTACAGTCAGCAGTGTAATCAGACTCCCCAGTAAGACATGCCATTTAGATAATGATTAGGACAGGTATGGAGTAAAAAGATGGAAAGAGAAAAGGCAAGAAGTTGGAAATGGAAACGCACATGGCAGTGGCCAGTGGGCACCCCGCTCGACTGCCCTCCCCCCTGTCCTGCAATGTCTGTATCCGTCGACGCGGTGCCTCAGAGACTGCGATACCCCGGGTCAAAGTGGGAAGCTGGCGTGCAAACATCCCCGGCCCAGGGAACCTAATTACCTGACTTTCGGGCTGTCTCCCACTCCTTCACAGTCACGCGTGACGCTTCACCCTCGATCCTCGTTCCCGCCCTGTCAAAAGGTTGCTTCCTTACCTTGCCTACCTTACCATTCCTAGGTACCTTACCCGTATACGTGCTTGTGCTTACCTCAACCTTGGTCACGACTTATTGGCATTGATAGCAATCCTGCGCAACACCAACAAACCCCATCTTGTTCATACAAACATCAATCGTGGTACCTGTATCTCTCTCTCTCTCTCTCTCTCTCTCTCCATATTTCTCTCCCTCTTCCTCTCCTTTCCCCCCTTCTTTCCCCCCTCTGTTCTTCACCTACGTGCCAATCTCAAGCCTGCAATGTCCGGCACGCTCCCGTCATCACCACCTAGAAGCAACTAGCAGTCGCGCAAATCACAAAGGTGCGCAACCAAACCTCCGAGACACATCAGCATTCCACCGACCCAAATCGGTAGCCGCCACCACGACTCAAACGCACTTGATGACGACATTGGTCTGAGCCCAAGACTACCCTCTCCTACTGCTATTGCGTCAAGCACACCGCAACTGGATACACTAACCACCTTTCCCATTATCGACCCGTCCGTTCCCCTCCTTCGTCGCGCTAAGGCTATCTAAACCCGTCTAAAAGTTCACCAGCGACACCTTCCGACGCCAGCATCACTGCTGATACCTTGCGCTAGTCTGAGTCGTAGCTGTCGTTCAGATTAACACCGGCCTCCCGGCCTGTCTCAGTCTCCCTACCTCACCTTACCACACAGACTGACAGAAATCCGACCGTGTATTCGTCCCAAGAATGCCAACAATGGCAGCCAGATCCCCGCCTCCATCTACACCCATGCCAAAGGCATACTCCAACCACGCGCCGCACATCGCTGATCCCGATTCCTATAGGGAACCAGCTACACAAGACATGGACAGAGCTGCCTACGGCACTGCTGCCGACAGGAACTCAAATCGCACCTCGTCCTATTTCCCTCAACAACCACCTCAGCTCTCGTCCTCCTCACCCTACAACTCTCCCGCTCCCGACGCATCTACATATCCTGCTCCTCAGAACACTGCTCCTCTGCCATACGACGGGGACCAAGAAACCCATTACAATACTCTTGCCAACGCGCAATCCGTTAGCCATCAAACACAACACCTCTCACAAGGAAGTGACGGTGCATACTACGATCCCCCAACTGCTGCTTCAAACTACGACAACAAGCTAGCCGTGCCCCCCGCTACCATCCAGGGCAAGTTTACAGAGGAATGGGATGCAAGTCAAAGAGGAAGCAGTATCATTGACGGTTCCAACATGCCTCGCTCCAACTCGTTCGTCTCTAACAATGGGGACGACCACCTGAGCCTCCCCTCACGCCATAATACCCTCAAGAAGAAGAGCTCGCTGCGCAGAAATGGCAGTCTGAAGCGCAGCGGTAGTCGTAGGAGCATGAAGGCTGGTAGCGTTCGGAGCCTGGCTCTGCAGTCTTCCAACGACGCAGATGAGGTGCACAGCGCTTTCCATTGCCCAGTTCCAATATCTGGGAACCCAACCGAGGCCCTAGCCAATCGATTCCAGTGTAAGTCCTTTCTGGTGCTGATGAGCTACGTGTACGCCAAAGACTAACATCATTTTGAAGCTTGGCGCAAGATTCTCAAGGATCTTATCGCATACTTTCGCGAGATCCAGACGCATTACGAGCACAAATCCAAGTCCTTGGTGAAGCTGGCCAATGTCGCCAACAACATCTCCAGCCCTCCTGGTTTCCTCAACTCGGGTGGCATCGACGATGCACTGCAAATACTGCGTGCTCATCACAAGGGCGCCATTCTAGAATCAAACAAGGCCAAGGAGATTGAGGAGGATGTTATCCTAGCGCTCACTGGGCTGAGGAACGATCTACACCAGAAGATCAAGGAGATCAAGAACCTGTCTGGAGATTTCAAGAATTCCGTGGAAAAGGAAATGGACGGCACCCGAAGGGCCGTCAAGGCCCTGCAAGAGACTCTGGGCCAGACCGACCTCGACCCATCGTTGACAACCGGAAAGCAAGATCCTTACCTCTTGCGACTTGCGGTGGATAGACAAGTTGAGCGCCAGATCGATGAGGAGAACTACTTGCATCAGGCTTACCTGAACCTGGAGAACTCGGGCCGAGAACTGGAAGCTATCGTGGTTGGTGAGATCCAGAAGGCCTACAACGCCTATGCTGGCATCCTCAAGCGCGAGTCTGATGCTGCGTACGGGGCAATTGAAGAGCTCCGTGTTGGCCCAATCTCTATGCCCAAGGACTTTGAATGGTCGCATTTCGTTCAGAAAGACGACCAGTTCGTGGACCCCAACATCCCGATTCGTTCTGCCGAACATATCCACTATCCCGGTCGGGAGCACGTTGGGTGCCAGGAGATTCGCGCCGGACTTCTCGAGCGCAAAAGCAAGTACCTCAAGAGCTATACAGCTGGCTGGTAAGTGATTTCCCAACTACGATAACACTGTCACCAAGATTGTTCTGCTGACTTTCGACCCCAGGTATGTACTTTCATCGACTCATCTTCATGAATTCAAGTCCGCGGACAAGGGCCAGGCCCCCGTCATGTCTTTATATCTTCCAGAGCAGAAACTAGGTTCGCACTCGAGCGAAGGAGGATCATCCAATAAGTTCATCCTCAAGGGTCGCCAGACAGGATCAATGCACCGTGGTCACACATGGGTCTTCCGCGCCGAGAGCCATGATACAATGATGGCTTGGTACGATGATATCAAAGTTCTCACCGAGAGGTCGCCGCAAGAAAGGAGCGAGTTTGTCCGTGGTCACGTTCGAAGTCTCAGCCAGTCTTCCCAGCGCTCCACTAGCAGCGACGGTGTTCTCGAAGATGACGACGACGAGCCGTTTTCGGCCGACACGGCGGTCGCAGCCAGCACGAGTTCGAGACAAGACGTCCGCCGTCCCGAAGCAGGTGGGCGATTCCCATCCGACATCCAAGTCAACGCACAGCGAGGCTTACAGGCACCCCTTTCGCCATCTAGTGTAAGCTCCGGATTTGACAACTCTGACCGTGAAGCCGCCGGGCAAGCATACGCTCTGCCAGGAAGCATGCTAGGCGTCTATCACGGGTCGAATGAACATCCCGAACATCCTACAGGTTACGGAGGGTCAGACCGGACCCCAATGGAAGAAATGCCTTCCCACGCAGCCGAATTGTCCCAGCAGGCTCAGGAAGATGGAGTCAACCCTTACACCAGCGAAGCGATTCGCCGATCTCAATCTGGTAGCCGTGGACACCAGGCAGTATTTGTACCTGGAGACGAGGAACAGCGAGTGCAGAGCCACCATGGCGCCATTGGCAACTACGACGATGAGTCTAGGCCTGTCTCCAATGTCAGCGAATATGATCGCGGCCTCGAGACCCCGGGTGGCAATAGCCAATACGGGCAGTGGATGAATGGCAATGGGAAGGCATCCTCAGGCCTTTCCAACAGCGGTATCGTCGACCAGCAAGAGACTAGCGAGTACTACGCGTCAGGTGAACGTGGTGCTGGTCACGTCAATGTGATTCCTATTGTTGGCATGGGCAATGGCCATGCCCAGCACAGGGAGGGTGATCAGAATGGATTCTCTGGCGCCGATAAAGCGTCAACACCTGCAAGCCACGATGTGCCTCGTCAGCATCAACAGTTGTCAGCTATTCGGCCGACCTCCGGCACCATCAGAACTGACAGCGTACCGACGATTTCCAACTTGCATATTCCAGGTGAATACCCCAAGGGTACACCCGGAGTCGAAGCTAGACGTTGAGGGGAAGACAAGAGACGGAGAAGGAAACTGGAGTAAGGATTGACTAGGAGGGGGGAAACGACTTGAATATGAGGGAGTGGCACTGGTTAAGAGATGGGGTCCTGTCCGTTTTCTATCTATACGATTGACCACAATGGCATGGGTCTCGTGTCGAATTTTCTTGTCTCCAGTGTGATCGAGAAGAGAATGTGTGTTCAAGGGAGCAAGGCGTGGAAAGAACAACGAGGGTGCCGACCCCTTTTTCCTTTTTCTTTTTGACAGTATTTCACTGATTTCCTTGGCGATTTCCAGCACAATGCAAATGATATCCAACCAACCCTTTCTTAGACGTGTCCCTTTGTATAGGATCTACTTCTAACCTTTACTGCTAATATAAGGAGTATCGTTGCAAATATTATTGCTAGGCCACCTAAACCAGTCCCAAAATATTGTGCCCCATGGAACCCGGACAGCTTGTCCGTTCCATGGGAATTGACTTGGACCTCTACGGTCCTCGCGATCCCCATAGCCAGCGACATGGCGTAGCTCGACACGACCAGAACAAGACCACTTGCGACTCCTTGGTGCCCCTCTGCCAGATTTTGTCTGAGCAGGATGGTGGCAAGAGGCATCGTCAGAACCATCCCAAGCGGAGCGAACAAGGTGCTGACGAACGTGTTTGCCCAATACGTCTGGTCGGATGGTGCCGTCGCCATGAGTATAGATGCCAGTAGAAAGGATAGGACGGCTGCGAGGAACGTCCAATATACCTCTTCTCCGGGCATAAGATACGCCAGCAGCAAGCCCACTGCTACGGCCTCGATGGCAACGGGTACGAAGCCCGCACTGGCAAGGAGCGGGTCCCAGCTGCGCAGGACCTCGAGGGCTTGGAAGCCATAAAATGCCCAGATGACGAAGCAGGCCCACGCCGCTGCCGTGCAGCCTAGGATTAAGTTCGACCTCGGAGTCATGGCGCGCAGCGGGAGGAGGGGGATCACAGCGGTGGACTCGTTGTAAAAGAAGGCGGCGAGGAGCATGGCGCCGATGATGAGGGTGAAGTAGGTGTATGGTGTGCGCCAACCTACGGCCGGTGCCTGGTTCCATGCGAAACTCAACAGGACGAGACCGCCGCTGCCGAGGAGAGTTCCGGATACGTCGAGCTGCACCCAGATAGTATGATCATACGGGCTTTTTCGACGGGCTTGTCGTGGGACGACCAAGAGGCTGAGACCCGCAGCGGAGATGTTGACTGCTGCGAGGACGAAAAAGGACCATTCCCAGGAATCGTTGTAGGCAAAAAGGGACGACATCACCGCGCCGACCACGAAGCCCAACGGTGCGGCGACGCTGAAGAACGCCAGTGCCATGTCTTTTTTCTGGCTCGCCGGTAGCGTCCTTTCGAGAACCGAGAAGCCGTTGGGTACGCAGAGCGCCGGTCCCAGGCCCTGCATGACACGGCAGAAGCAGAAGTAGGCGGTGCCGTCTGCCCCGCCGTTTTGGACGTTGATGGAGAAGCCGGCGAGGAGGCTCCAGAGCGCGAACCAGAGGCAGCCGGTGATGATGACGTGCTTGCGGCCAAAGGCGTCGCCCAGGCGTTCCGAGGGGAGGGCAAAGGCTCCGATCATGAGTGTATAGGCTGCGGTGAACCACGAGTGCTGGCCGCTCGGTATATCTGGAAACGACTCGGCGATGGCGAGGGCCGGTGCCATGGCCTGGGCGAGGCCGGCGAACATAAGGAATTGGTACAGACTGACGACAGCTACTAGGAAGGACTCCTTTGCGGACGACAGCGGCTCTGGCGGTACCTCTCGGAGGAGGGGATCTTCCTGATACGCTGTGGTTTGTAGAGCCCAGGAAATGCGCTCCTCATTTTCGGGGTACCTGGATCTCTCGCCGGGTCTGTTGAGGGGCGTTGCCTCCGTTGAGGACCTGAACCGTTGCGTGAAGACTATCCTCCTGGCGGCCTCGAATAAGTCCGGGTACTCTGAAGGATGTTCTAGTGCCTCTGGTCCCGACCCTCTTGGCAGTGTGGTGGTAGCCGTCGATTTTACCAACGGCGTCGAAGTCGATGGTTGTCGGGCCTGTGTTTCCGTGCCGTTGTGTGGGTCTGTGATATCTACAGTCGGAAGTCGAGGAGCGGACAACGCCCCTACCATCATGGTCCGTGAAAGTGGCGATGTCGTCTGATCACGAGAGGAAGTAGGCGATACAGGCAACACAGCATCATGCCTGGAGGCGTCGAGGGCCGAAGGAGCGGTACTCGGCCGAGAATAATGAGAGTTCGTTGGGCTCACGCCGTCGTCGTCGAGGATGGGAGAGACGAGAACCGGAGCCGAAGTTCGCCAGCTCAAGTTTCCTGGCCCGTTGGGCCCGAATGGTCTGCTGTCGTTCGCATTTTCTTCTCGAAACTGTTGTCGGAACGACTCTGTGACTGCTATCATGACATCCGCCACCCTCTGCATGGCCTCGTCCGCGTTTCGGGTCTCCCATGCTGTCGTCGGTGTGCGAGTAGTAGACGGTGAATGTGCAGTGCTTGAGTTGCTCATGTCGGTGTGTATCAGGTGCATGCATCTGTGAAGACCGCGGCTTGGTGAAATATCGATATTCAACGTCCAATCTTCGACTGAACGCTACCACAGAGGCAACAACGCAAAGCTAAGAGTCACACACGGGTAGATGAGGGCATGAGAATAGAAAGCAACGCCAATACAAATGAAATGGTAATATACAGGAGAAGGCGAGGAAGAGAATGGCAGAAGCCGGTTACCAGTACAAATCAGGTGCAGGCAGTGCCGTGATAGATGAACACTTGCTTGCAGGGGCACGCAGACCAGATACGGACTACACAGGATCGGGTATTGAACGAGAGACACTTGCCCAACCTTGCGACTCGACGAATTGGTGTCCACTTCAAGGCTTGAGCTACGAATCCCCGGTGGATGCTGACGATGGCTCTCGCAAGGGGGCTGGCGTAGGCAGTTATTATCCTTTCGGCCATGGTCATGGGCATGGGCCTTAATCAGGGCGCCGCAGCAGTCCACTGCCTCTCCGTGATTCCCCGTCTCGAAGGGCTGATTCGAAGCTACTCGAGCTTGTCTGAGAACAGTGTCAAGGGTGTCAACGCTTCTTAATCTGAGCTACCGTGTTTGCTGCTCGAGGCAGACACGTTTGGGGGGTCTTGATGCATGTCTCTCTTATTTCTGGGGTGGCCTTCGGTAAGCGACATGCAAGTTATGTATCTTGCCGGCGCGTTGAACTAGTTTGCCAAATCGACATTCGGTTTTGGATCACACGAACAGTCGACGGACACGCAAGTCTGGCGCTGCGATGTTGTACCATGTGACGATCTCCATCGGTTCGTCAGGACTATTGCTAGTGCCTAGGACCCACGATTACGGAAGAACGATCATAAAGAGAGACAGTATGCAGACCGTCTAATAGACTTTTGATGTCCAGCAATATTGCGACTGCTTGGGCACGTGTAGATAGACGGCGTTGTGACAGGGGTCCCTGTAAACAAGCAAGGCTGATGCGAAGGAGGATGGGGGATTGGCGCCAACGACGTAAACCAGACCCCACTTGTCAAAGAACCGCGCCACCAACAGAGATCCTTCGCAAACGCCCCAGGTCGTTCAAGGGAACTTTCGTGATGCTACAAGAATGAGACCAAACTCTTGGCCCAGTACAATAAGTGCCATCGTAATACCGGGTCTCAGATCAGAGCAAATGATTTCTATGCTAAGCTGACTTGAACGAACTCTGTCCTGACTTCGGGTCACAGTTTGAGAGAGCTGATGCGATATGAAGTTCGTGGCTGAGTCCCGAGAAAGCGAAGTGACCATGAGTAGGAGGATGAGCGTGGGAAAGAGGAGACAGAATGATCACGATATCCTGGAGGAAACATGTCATTAGGCTCAATCGTAATAGTCCAGAATGGCCAATGTCTTCGTCGATCGTGTGCTCGAATCTCGAATTACTCTATTGCATGTGGGATAACTGGAATGAAAGGCGTAGGGATATTTTTGGAAATGACATTCCGTCACAGACTCAGCCTCATTGCAGAAAAGTAACGGCGGGGCTGCGGAAGCCGCTTAGACTCTCCGTTTTCAACCGGGTGCCTAGATAGGAGCCAAGCTACTCTTTCTCTCATACTAACCAAGGTCTGTTCTTCTTTGCCCTGGCAAGTGAAACGCGCGGCAAAGACCGCGAGCATGTCAGAACTGACGGCGCATCCAGAGGCGAAGGATGCCATGTGTATCCACCGCTGATAACTGCGTAGTCTTATCATTTTCCCCATAGAAAACTTGATTTGGTCGCCTGCTTTTTTTTTTTTTTTTTTTTTTAAAAAACATACAATACGATCTCATTACACCGCCATTCAAGATTTCGATCGTTTCATATGTTGATTGACATGTTTAATCTTTAGTCTTTACTGTTTGCGCGGTCTGCTGTTGTTGTCGCATTGCAATGATAACTGAATTGAATTGAAAATAGTATTGATACGTATCCGACGCCAGCCGGCGAGGGCCAGAAAAGAAACCTGAAGAGATGCGCACTGGCCTTAATCATTCATTGACTTTGTTTTTCACGATGATGATCAAAACCCAGTGGCTCGCTCCCGAAACCTTGAAGAGAAAACACATCAGTGACCAGGATTAACAAACAGTCGTAGGCAAATGTTAGGCCATGATCATCCTGAACTGTCCAACACTTTCAGTCAAGACTTTTCTCTAATTTTTAGTTGACCACAGTGGATGATGTACATGTAGCCTCGAACCCCTATCGCCAGGCCCGATGAGAAAGCAAAGCAAACCCGAACGCCAGAGTCGTAGTCCAACAGATAAAACCCTCCCCTCCTCAGACTTTGAAGCTGAAAACTCCAGTCATGGCCTACCGGCCTCCTCTGCTGAAACCACCCCGGCCACGGCCGCCGCCGAAGCCACCACCTCCTCTCGGCGCGCCGCGGCCACCACCAAAGCCACCGCCGCCGCGACCGCCTCCACGGCCACCGAAACCACTGCCGCCACGGCCTCTGGGAGCACCTCCACGGCCGCCAAAGCCGCCACGGGGACCTCCACGACCGCCTCTTGCCGGGCCACCACGGCCGGCACGCTTGACCTTGGGGGCACCTGGGGGAGGCTTGGGCTTAGGCAGGAATTTCTCCAATGGCAGAAGCTTCTCGGATCCGATATAGAACTTGTCGCCCTCCTTGAAAGAAGTTGCCTGAATACCCTCGGAGGGCTTAATGGTGAAGTAAACCTGGTTGATGGGTCCGAGGACTTCGTCGACCTTGCCAACGGCAGTCTGTCAAAAAAGGAAAAAGTTAGTCAAGTTTTCTTTCCTCTGGCTTATTTCGATCGAGATATAAATCGACGAGGGGTAGGTCGCACCTTGTTCTCGAGGAAGATCTGAGCGTTGAAGTGAGGAACCTTGGGGTTGATGCTCTCGCAGATCATCTCGCCTTCGCAAGCGTGCATAAACTTGCCCATCTCTATACCAAAATTGCCGATTAGATTACTCTCGCGAGACAAAACAGCGGCAAGGTGAGAGAACATACCAAGGATTGTCGCGGGCGGGCCCATATCTCTGTTCTGGAAGCCACCACGGCCTTTGAAGTTATGTTAGTATCATACTGTGAATTCCGTCACCGAGCAGACCCAATCTGCAAGTGCATCGGAATAATGAAATGTAGAGTTATTTCATACCTCCAAAACCGCCGCCGCCGCGACCACCGAAACCACCACCACCGCGACCGCGTGGAGCTCCTCGTCCGAATGACATGTTGATATGTGAATTGGCGGGTTGTCGTTCGGAGCTGCTCCTGTACTGAGTGCTTCGTGCTGCTATTGAAAAAAACGAGGCCAATGGGTAGCCGACAGAAAATTTCCCAGCGACCAAATTGTGGTGCAGGCCAATCGAGCTCCCCCATTGGCCACGGCTGGCGGGTCGGAACAATCCCTTCCGGGTGACCCCGCCAAAATTTCCAATACCTGGCCAGCCACCAGCCCACCTGCCTGACTTGAGGGCCATTGGCGGGGTGGTGGGCTCCAATGCAGGGAGTGCGGGCCAGACACCACCAGAAAGTCGTCCGAACACCTTGTTTGACTCACCGTAGGCTTTGGCGGGGTTGCTTCGCTGTGTTTCGCCCAAATTTGTTGACTCCAAAATCGATCTTCGTGTGCCTTCACTTTTTCAACCCTCACCCTTCTTACGCCTACCACGACCGCTCAATTGGACGACACTATGGATTCCGCGAAGCAGGCTGTCGAGGCCGTCACCGAGGGCGTCAAGAAGGTCGCCCTCAACAAGGACAAGGCGCCAAAGAAGGAGAAGAAGGCCAAGGACACTGGCGATGCCTCGGCCGGACCCCTCGAGCTCAACCCTCCCCCCGATTTCCTCCAGAAGAGACTCGACCTTTTCGACAAGTTGAAGAAGGAGTACGATGAAGAGCTCGCCAGCAGGCCACGCGAGGCCATCACCATCACCATGCCTGACGGCTCTATCCGCCAGGGCACCAGCTACGAGACCACCCCCGGCGAAATCGCGAAGAGCATCTCCAACAGCCTGTACAAGCGCACCGTTGTCGCAAGACTCGATGGCGACCAGAACCAGTTGTGGGACTTGGATAGACCTTTGGAGAAGAGCTGCAAGTTGGAGTTGGTGAACTTTGACGACGAGCAGGGCAAGCAGGTCTTCTGGCACAGCTCCGCACATATCCTTGGTGAGGCTTGTGAGAGGAGATTCGGATGCTCTCTGTGCATCGGTCCTCCGGTCGATAACGGTTTTTACTACGAGATGGCGCTTCCCGGCGGCGCTTCTGTCCAGGCTAGCGACTGGAAGCCTCTCGAGTCTATTGTCGGATCGATTGTGAAGGAGAAGCAGAAGTTCGAGCGCCTCGAGCTTACCAAGGAGCAGCTGCTGGAGATGTTCAGCTACAACAAGTACAAGCAGCACATTATCAACGACAAGATCCCCGATGGTACGAAGACCACTGTTTACCGCAACGGTCCTCTGATCGATCTTTGCCGTGGACCCCACGTTCCTAGCACCGACCGTATTGAGGCTTTCAGCATCATGAAGAACAGTGCCTCCTACTTCCTCGGCAACCAGGAGAATGACTCTCTGCAGCGAGTTTACGGTGTCAGTTTCCCTAGCAAAAAGGAGCTGGCTGCGCACAAGAAGTGGCTTGAGGAGGCAGCTGCCCGTGATCACCGCAAGTTGGGCCAGGACCAGCAGCTCTTCTTTTTCCATGAGCTCTCCCCGGGCAGTGCCATGTGGCTGCCCCACGGTGCGCGTATCTACAATACCCTACTGGCTTACATCAAGGAGCAATACTTCAAGCGCGACTACCACGAGGTCATCTCGCCCAACATGTACAACGCAGAGTTGTGGAAGATTAGTGGTCACTGGGACCACTACAAGGATGATATGTTTGTCCTCGATGTCGACAAGGAGAAGTTCGGCTTGAAGCCCATGAATTGCCCTGGCCACTGCCTCATGTTCGCTCACACCCCCAAGGCGTATCACCAGCTGCCGTGGCGTGTTGCTGACTTTGGAGTCCTTCACCGCAACGAGGCCAGCGGTGCCTTGTCCGGTCTCACCCGTGTGCGCAGATTCCAGCAGGATGACGCCCACATCTTCTGCAGAGAGGATCAAATCAAGTCTGAGATCAGCAACTTGTTCGACTTCCTCAGTGAGATGTACGGCCTGCTGGGTTTCACCTTCAAGCTCCGTCTCTCCACTCGCCCAGACAAGTACTTGGGAGAGCTTGAGACATGGAACAGGGCTGAGGGCATGCTGAAGCAGGCACTCGACGAGTTTGCCGCCACAGAAGGCGGTGTGCCATGGACTATCAACGAGGGTGATGGCGCCTTCTACGGTCCCAAGATTGACATCAAGATCCTGGACGTCTTGAACCGTGAGTGGCAGTGCGCCACTATCCAGCTGGACTTCCAGCTTCCTCAGAGCTTTGGTCTTGAGTACGTCTCAGCGGAGGTCAACACTAAGCCGAAGGAAGAGGAGGCACCTGCCGCTCCCAAGGTCCCCGAGTTCAAGGCCAAGGACCCTCAGGCCATTATCGACTCGGCTGCCGGTACTGGCGAGGAGGAGAAGGAAAAGAAGCGCGTCATCAAGCCTTTGACGAACGGCTGCCAGCGCCCTGTCATTATCCACCGTGCCATGGCTGGATCCATTGAGAGATTCACAGGTTAGAATTGCACAGGGCATGTCGCTTGAGCATCGTTAACATTCGTGTCCCAGGTATCCTCATCGAGCACTTCGCCGGGAAGTGGCCCTTCTGGCTCAGCCCTAGGCAAATCATGGTCATCCCTGTTGGTAAGGGCTTCGTCGAGTACGCCGAGGAAGTCCAAGCTACCTTCAAGAAGCAGGGCATGTGGGTGTAAGTAGTCTTGCGCTACCCGTTTGGATCTGGAATAGGCTCGCTAACTCAGCCTCTCCAGTGATGTCGACCTGTCCGGGATCTGGAATAGGCTCGCTAACTCAGCCTCTCCAGTGATGTCGACCTGTCCGGCAACACGCTGCCTAAAAAGATTCGCAGCGCTCAGCTCAGGTACGTACAATGGACTGCGCTTCGGTTTGGTTTGAGAATGTGACTAACTCGCATAGCCAATACAACTTCATTTTCGTCGTTGGCGACGAGGAGATGAAGAACAAGCAGGTCAACATCCGCTACCGTGATGATACCTCGAGCCAGGACCGCGGCAAGCCCGTTGACGTCGCCGAGGCCGTTGAGAAGATCAAGAAGCTGCGCGAAGAGCGCGGCACCTATAACCCATTCCCCTCTGTGGTGAAGCCCAAGGAGGACAAGGCATAAACGTGAGAGATGTAACTGGCTTTCATGACACAATGAATTTTGAAGATGGTGTTTGGGAGGGTGGTGAAACATTTTGCAATTTGTAGCCTAGACTAGAGGCGCAAATCGTATCCATGGATGTGCGGGAACAAAATACGAAAAATCGAATTTCAAATGGTGCCAATGGACGACAATCGAGTGGCAATGACCAAGTGACAATAGAGGAAAATGTGTAAGTAGGGTATCATGCGTATTGTATTTCCGCGTGCGCGCTTAGATGTGTATCTCTGTGCTACAGACGTTCGTTCCCTCAGTGTAATTGACTGATAGTTCCCGCTCCGTATTGTTCGCCTCGTATAATTCTGCGGCGAAAGACTAGCTCGTGGCCCCAGTTCGTATGCTCGCTGCGCAGATAGATCTTACGAGACCACTCTTGTTTCTTTATTCTTGTGCTCGTAATAAGGCGCAAACACGTCTCCAGAACTAGGAACGACAGACTCTCGCCCGCTTAGCTCATGTATGACCGGAAACGTTAGGAGACACGCTCTAAGGCTTGGGGATATGAATGCTTTTGCTGGTCATCAGGCATCCATGAACCACGAACACAAGAGCAATGGGGTGGAATTCCAGTGCAGTCCCCGACAGCCACGTTCCGAGAGGAAGGTCCTGAAGAATCCAACGCTGAGATACCAAGTACGCCATCACAGCGTCAAGGCCAAGACTCGTAGGGATGGGAGTGCCTTCGAAGTATTTGCTTTTTCCAGTTGCGTCCTTGGGAAGAGCGGCGACAGTTACGTTGAAGCGAGCGAGACGAGTGAGGCCGCAGAGGACAAAGAAGGTCAGACAGAGGTGGTCGATGGGTGTGCGCAAGCCCAGGGCGAAGGCCACAGAGGCAGGTGCAACGCCGAAAGAGATCTGTGTTATATATCAGCCGGGCTTGCTCCAACTCAATCCCGCTCGTAGAGACTCTTTTAGTCCCTGCCAAGGATTATAGGTGTAGACCACCCAACCGGGATGAACGGAATTGTCGCTTGAAAACCTACCAGGTCAGCCAGAGAATCAAGCTCTTGGCCCATCATACCGCTCTTCTTTCTCCACCGTGCAACTTTACCGTCCATGAAGTCGAAGAAGAGGCCGAATGGCAGGAAGGAGAGGGCGAGGTACAGCGTGCTAGTGGACGAGGGATCGCCGAGACAGTAGCGCAGAGAGGTAAAAACTGACATGACACCACAAGCTCCTATTCCACAGCAAGTCAGCAGTGCTCTTGTTCTCGAACATCTCAATATGACTTTGCAGTGCATCCGGACTCAGAAGACGCATCTCGCTTGGGACAACAGGCGGAAGAAGCTGGGGATACGTGAGACCGTACCATTACAGAGGGTAATTGCGTCGGCGAGGTGAAGGGCGCGGATCAAAGAAAAGTGACCGGGATCGGCCGCGAGAAGGAGATTCTGCTTGTCGTGGGCTGCATTGAAGGCGACGTATTAGCTCGGATCGCATCTGGAGAGAGCGGTGCGTGCAACATACCAGGCTCGGCGAAGCTATCAGCAGCATCTTTGGCCGCCTTGCCATTGGTGGCTACGCTGCTTGTCCGTTTCGACATGTTTGGTTGGGGATTTCCCTGAGGCTAGCTGTGTGGACTGTGAAGACGTTGTCGGGGGAGAGAGACAGTGGATTCTTGTTGATATGCCCGTTCAATTTCGTGATTTTTTCCTTGTCCTTTTGGAAATCTCGATGGTAGGCGTCAAAAGGGACGAAGCAAGAGAAATGTGGAAGCGGAGAAGAGAGGTTGAGAGGATTGAGCTAGTTTTTGTACGGAGCAGCTTCGTGGAGTGGGAGGCAGGTGTAGGAAGAAATATGAATGGAGATGCTGGGCAAGCAAGGTCGGTAGGCATGAGGTAAGTCGGTCACACTCTTCCGCCTCAAAGCCAACTAGGATAGCTGGGGAAGGCACATGCCGTCATAGCCCTGTCGTTCTAGACCTGAAGCCGACTAGCGGGGAAGCTGGTCCAGCTCACGAGGTGCCGTGCACGTGATTTTCACCATGGCGTCCAACATCGCACGGTCCAGGCACCGCCAACAACCGGGAAATCTTGGCACGGGCACCATATTGGCATATGCCAGCCACATGGGGGCACCCACGCACCTTTCCTTGGGGTAAGCTACCCAGCTAAGGTACCTCAAGGGACAACACCTTTTGGCCAACGCATTTTTGGCAGGTTTCTTGCCTTACCTAAGGTACTTTATAGAAGGTTGCTGTCAATGTCGTACGTGCCACTTCGGGGTCTAAGCTTCATGTATGTAGCCGTGTATTCATTTCGTGTATTATTTACAACGACGAGGCAGATCACTTATTCATCTGCTGTAAAAACCACCTTTGTCGAAGTGGCCACCCAACCTAATTCACCGTGTCCCGTACGTAGTCTTGTCCATGTCCAAGGCGTCTCGTCTGCTAGGTATTCCGAGGCTGGTAACCCCCTAATCTGATGCTCGCCAACCAGGAGATAGCGTGCCATAATTTGGGATGTGATACTCCAGTATAAGGCGGATGTCTCGGCGTGCTTCGCCAGGAAGTTGGAGAAAAGACGTGCAATTTCCATCATTGATTTTGGACGAGCCAGAAACCCATGCCAAATGGATGATGGCACTGGTGCTCCAATTCTCCCTCCCGTTTCGTAAATACTATGAAGTTTTATCTCCAGCTGCCGCTCGCAAGAATGACACAAACCCCACGGGTTTCCTTTATCGAACAATGAGGATCGAAAATCCGTCGACCCAAGCTCCACAGGAGCCTGCCACACCGCAAATGGTGTATCCTCTTGGGGGTATCAAAGTATGTCTGTCGGGGTGGTCAGCAACAACTGACGGTTAAATGGAAACTGCGTTTTCTAGACTTACGTGGATCCGCCCTGAGCATTGCCAAATACAGGCGACCGTCTGCCCAAGCTCGTGAGGACCTGGATTGCATCAATCCAAGCGCCCGAGCGGACGTAAAAGCCTGAGATGTATTCACCCCGGCGAATATCTAATGGGCATCTGTTAGTACATGGGGCTTTACTTGACCCTGGCAGAAAGGACATACCAAAATCAAACGCATCTCCACCCTCTTTGCCTCCCCGTTTGCCAAATAATTGCGTTGTGTCGTCATCGTATACGAATTCCATGCCGTCTACTGCGTATCCATGGTAGAAGATGATGCGGGAGAGCACTCGATTCTGTTTTCCGCCGCTCTCAAAAATGATTTCCTGTGGTTCAGTGCCATCCATGGCTGAGTGGCCCAGAGGCTTGCCTCTGTAGGCTGTCTTGCCGAGCGGGCCAGGGGTTAATTTGAATGAAGACTCTTTGGAGCACAGCTTTTTGAAATCGTCGATGTCCAAGGAACCGCCGCCATGCGATTTGACCGACACCCTAAGCCGGCCCTTCCGCTTGTTCTCTGGAAGCTTCTCGCGTAGCTCGCGGTCGTTCAATGTCAGTTGACGTTGCACCGAATTATTTTCGAGTGGATATTCAATCCATTTTCGGCAGAGATCATCGTCCTCTGCGAATAGCTCGATGAATGCGATTCCAGTCGCTGCCATTACAACCACGTTTCCGCTCTCAACTGGGAAAGCATGGACGCTGCCGTCAGCGTTCATGGGGGGGTCGTTTGGCAACCTGAAGCAGGGATGGGCGCGGAAACGTAAACAGTCCAAGCGGTGCCAACCGCATTCGTCGTCTTGAAGGACCAGGCCTCCCTTGGACTTGGTCCTTGTGCAGAATGCCTCACGGGTCACGAAGCTGCGATTGAGTGTCAGGTAGTCGCGGAGCATCACGCCAGATTCCTGATGAGGACATCCAAAAAGGTGACCTGTCTCGTGGAGATGGGCACCAATTCCGATGTTCGCTGCCTCCCAGGAGCTGCCAGCCTGGTTGCAATCGTTGGCGACGTAGGTAAGGTCAGTCGGAGTGCAATCCGTAAATGCAGGGACGACTTCTTCGAAACTCGTGGGATAGCTTTGCAGGCAATGAGATCCGAAAATGGCCAAGTGCAGATCGCCTGCATTACCGCCCAGCGCTGCGTGACCCCTTACGACATTGGCCTCCTTATCCCATTGCGTATCGAGCATCAACACGGAAACGTATTGCTTCTGGCCACCTAGTGGCCTGAAGTATTGTTTCACCGCATCGGCAGCTATTTCGTATAGGTCCCCCTTCTTGCTCGCCTTCTCATTCTGTTGCGCTAGCTCGAGATCTCGAATTTCGGCGACTGTCTTGTCTGATCTGATGATATGGATCCTGGCCTCGGAGCGCAGATTTCCGTTTTCTCGATCCCGCTGGTTCGATGTGCCGGCGGTCCATTCCTCCTCAAACCTGAAGACGCGACGTCCAAGTTTGTTTCGCCACATTTGCTCAGCTGTAAAGGCTTGCCAGAGGTAGGCGGCCATTCGGAACTTGCGGACTGCCGTCTCCAAATCATTGCCCTCTCGCTCAATCCTTGTAGGTACCGCATCGAAGGTCTCGGGAGAATCCTTAGCAATCACGATAGCGAGCTGGAGTGGAGGTGCATTGTTCGCCGGCAACATGTGTATCGTCAGGTAAGATGCGTGAATCGGATTGGATGACGAGCTGTTGGGCAACTTTGGACTTGAGAAGTCGAAGCGGATCTTGTTTGGGCCTGGCTGTAGGTAGACGAGGGCCTTGAAATTGGAGTTGCATGCGGGCCAACATGTTGGTGGAAAGTTGTCGTCGAGTCGGGTTACCGAAACAGTGCCATCGAGAGAGTGCTGCAAGGAGTCGCCAATAGTCCCGTGTACGAGGAGAACCTTTTGGTATACCTTTTCAAATATTAGCAGAGCGCTCGGAAGCTGCAGCTAGAAGCTGGTGGCCGCGGTTGCGGATGTCTGTGGCTGGCCGTCTGAGCGAAGCCGCCGAGAGCGTGATTGGAGAAGCAAAGGTGACACCGCACGGGGCCACGACCCATGCATATGATTGAGATGACTTACCCAGGCATTGTCGGTGATATTTGCAACTCGGGGCGCATATTGAGAGACTGGCAACGCCGACTTCCCGCCCACGACAGGAGAACCAAGGCCAGCCATACCAGAGACGCTGTGCCGATGGGAATTGGGCACCGGTTGCAGCGGCGGACGAGCTTGAGGATTGCCCCCATTGGAGTCCTTTACTTGGAGATCGAGAGCAGAATCGGAGGCTTGAGCCATGGATGGTGGGGTCGAGGCACCGCTTGTGGCAGTGGGAGTGGTCATGTTACTGGCATCGCTAGACACGTCGGTGTTTGAGCGGTCGGTCTTGAAGCTGGCTTTCGAACGACGCCGAAGTCCTCTAAAGTTGAGAATGGACGGAGCCATTGTGCCTCATAGAGCATGCGATAGCTCAACCGCAAACGAGTGACAGCTTCAGCAGTAGATATTTTGGCATGTGCAGCGTTCTGGAGGAGCAGATGATGCAAGTCGGAAGAGTCGGGCTCGAGTCCGACGGAGGGAGGAGCAGAGCGCTGGATTGGGTTTGTCTTTACGAGCAGAGGTAGATAGGTAGGTAGGTTATTGAGGACAGGTAGAATCCCAACGACAGTAGAACCCGGACGGGGGGGAGGGTTTCTCAAATCGGGTCACTGATCAGCGAGTGGTATCTGCAACGAGTGTGTGCTTGGTGCGGGATGGTCGACGTTTGAAAGTAGGCGACGTGGACGGGTCCGCAGGAGTGCGGCTGTGATGAAGGACAATTGGCGAACAGCAGCAAATGCGAGAAGGTAGATTTGGCAGCGCAATAGGAAAGCAAGCAAGAAAGGAAGAAGAAAAAAAGGGCGCGAGTGGTCTGCAGGGAAAGTATGGGAACAGACCCAGGATGGGATGAGAGAGAGGACGGGATGAGAGATGGGATGGATGATGGGGGGAGCTTGGGAAGGAACTCCGGAGTGACCATAAAAAAAAGTTGTCCAACAATTACAAGTGTGCGAGTGTGCAATACCGGTATCCGTACTGCGTACCTATGCAATGTCCAAGGTCCGGACGCTTGCTCCAGAAGGAGTGAGGTGTGGTCCAGTTGGTGTCCACGTCTACGTCCACACTTCACATCTCACGGCCCGGCCTGACAAGCGTACCCGTAGTCTTGATGCCATCTCCATTTGAGAGCCGACAGATGCAGCTAGACATGGAGCGAAATCCAGATTTGCGCGGCCAAAGAGGGACAGCAAATGGATAATGGACAGGTCAGATAGGTACACTAGCATAGTACGAACGGGTGCGCAAATTGAGGTGCAGCACAACGGCAGGACCCATGTCGAGAATTGCGTGTGGATTCGTACATTTGCATAAGAGGCCTGCTAACAAACCAGGTAGACATGCTGGTCGGCAGATAACCGGCAGCGAGTTCGTCGATGACGTTGCTGTGTTTCGAGAGTGGGAAACATGAGTGCGGATTGAGATTGCGACCGGGGGGTTGGTTGACAAGGAAAATGGAGTAAGAAAAAACAAGACTGGGCAAGGAGATGGGCTTCAGCGTCCTGGCCTCGAAACTGCAAGATAACGAACGTTGAAACTCTGATTGACAGATCAGCGTACACTTTGCCTGCGCGCTTGATGTCCAGCTAGTAGCTAGCTACTTAGGTACGTCTGTTGAGGGATTGTAGATACCTAGATAGTCATGCTATTTCTCCTTGCTGATCCCGCCCAATTCCATGCGTCTTCCTTCATGTCGTTCTCGGTGTCCGTACAAAATATGCGTACAGCTGTCGCATCGTATTCAAGTTTCTCGCATCCACATTGATAAAGGCCCAGCCAACGGAAGTGGGGGCGACTTCCAATGAGATTTGTATGTGGAGGCTAGCGTCATGGTCTTCGTCAACACCACGCAAACAAGTGCGGCTAGCAAGAAACCAATAGTACATACCTACGGAGCACAGCCTACAGGTTAAGGTACCCAAGGTAATAGGTGTCTGTACTTTTACGCCAGGTTCCCGAACCTGACGGTGGCTGATTATCTGCAGGCGCAATGCTGTGGCTGTACAGGTACCGCTACCTTCCCACCTTCCAATACTCCGTACCTAAGGTACGTAGGTATCAGCATGGATGATGACAGGGCAGCCAGCCAGGCCCGGGCGGCAAGGACCGGGGGCTGAGGTATGGACGCAGAACCGGTGGATCCACCTGTCGAAATGGAAAGGTGCGATCGAGATGAGGAATTCAGTCACCACCACTCACCACTCACCACCATCGGCTTCGCGACATACCATGCTGCACACCTCTAGGCTCTAGCACGCAAGCACGGCAAGGTACGGGATGGGCGGCCACTGCAAGCTAACATGTCCAAATCTTATCTTGGCTCGGTGGTGGATGCCTTGTTCGACTTAGTTGGGGTTATAACAGTGTTTTTCTCGATCCGTGCCTTGGGTGCTTGGCAGCTCTTATTCTCAATAACAGGATAAGGTACAGCGTTTGTGTCTATATCTCGGTGGCCTCATGTCCGTTGCCCGCCGACCAACATGGTACTCCAGACTTTGCTTGTCGCCCTCTGCAGTGTAACTGTTCCATCCACCTTCCTTGTTCGCAGACTCCATCGCCTAGCAGCCAGTAAGGAGAACACTGGTTGCTTCTGCAGTCCTGGCAAGAACATACGGCTCCAATCTGTATCCGCGAGAGTTCCTCTTCCCTTTCATGCACCCCGATTCGGTTGGAACGATGGCAAAAATCAACGGTTGTGGTTGGTGGCGGCTTCGGGTACCTGACAATATCAACCCACTAGCCGTGCCGATTGCTATTGACTGTCGATTCCAACTCATGTCGCCTGTAAGCCCACTGTGTGGCCCATTAGTGTTATTTTTGGCCAAAGTGGGCGGCGCAGAAGAGTAGAGAGGGAGAGAGAGCGGCCTTGCTATAGTGGTTGTTTCCCCAATGCTAAGAAACCGGTTGAGAGTCTCTCCTGTTTGTCTGAAATATCTTGGAATTATCCCCCTGTCAGGCGCATGCTGCAGCTAGACTGCTTCCTCCCTGCATGTTCTGTACGTCTGCATAGTCGTATCTCCCAAGGGACAACAAGATCCGGATGGGCACTTTCCCATCCATGGATAGCTTCCACATCTAAGTATCCGTACTCCGTATTTACGTGTAATTGCTTGGCGACGACTATCCCTTTATCCATATTCTGCTCTCGGTATGATGCATAAGAATCACATGTAACTAGGAAGTATCCTCATCTGGTGGATAATCGCATAGAGAGGTCCGATTATCCGTCTTATTTGTAGAATGACACAGTAATTACGTATCCGTCCTGGATTACGGAGTACACATGCCTCGATCTCCAATTATCTGCACCAACAGGAAGACATACCATACGGAATCAGGTCCGTCGGGCATTCGTATTCTCATGGTCGACAGACGGCGTGCTGCTGCATGGGCATTCTACCTCTTGACCCTGCAAGCATGGGAAGGCCTTGTGCGTTTTCGGTCGCCAACGGCAGCATCCACCAAATACGATGGTGCCCTCGACGATTTGTACCATCAAGACCGACTTATGTTCTTGATGCTTTCTGCAGGTAGACTACGAGTTTCAAAGGTACTGAGTAATCGAACAAAATGTTGGCTAATATGGGTCCAGACATCAGTCTCGGTCGGAGAGAAGGAAACGCTGATGAGCTGAGACGGGCTTCTGGCGGTCGCTTTTCAGTGACATTCACCTCACCCTCCAAAACAAGGTAGCTTGCTCATTTACCTTACACCCCGCGAGGGGTGCTCGTTGGTCCCTCGAGGCTCGTACAACCAAGTACCTACGCATGTCTCAAGATGGTGTCGTAAACTGGGTGGCAGGGAGAGATTGACGAGCCCTTTGCGTAGGTTGCAGAGAGAACTAAGTCACTTCGCTAGCTTGCGCGTGGGTAGGCGCCCAAGGAGCTGTTAGCATCGACAGGGGTCTTAATTGATTTTTCCTTCAAGCCCCTGGACTTCGAGAGCACTGGGGGAAATGACCACCTACTTTGACCACGGGCACCTTACGAATAAGGTAGAGGATGCCCTCTTGCAGGTACCGCCCGCACGTATGATTGGTAGATGAGCCCCCTGCCAACGGTATCTAAAAGGAATCTCACGGGCTGGAATGCTGGACAGTGTCACGCCCATACAAGGTCTGGAACATATCGACGTTTCCAGTGACATCGATTTCAATGGCCACGGCTTGCGGATACTCAACTCTTACGGCCAACACGATACACCGAATCTCAAGTCCGCCGTAGTGCTCTTACATCAGTACGGATCAACACGCATACTGCCCGTCTCATTCAGTCAAGCCTTAGGTTGACGGTGATTGCGCGCTACGACGCACATGACCAATGCGTAAAAAAAAAAAAAAAAAGGTTGCAGCACAACAGCATTGGAACGAGCTCTTCGGTGAGGGGGGAAAAAAAAAAAGCGAGCATCAGTCAAGCCTCAAGAAACGAGAAGCATGAGGTCGGCAACGAGGACGAAAGATTCTTTGGTCCCGCCCTCGCCTCAGTTGCCGTGACAAGTGCAAGTTAGATGAGCAAACCCGCTGGTTGGGGAAGCTGGGATCCGTTTTTGGTAAGGCGTTTCTGATCCACGTCGTCGCTTCTGCCCGGGCCTCGACGAGGGTTACCTTAGTTGCTTGGGACAGTCTTAGAAACGCAGTATGTTAGTTGAGCATGACCCCCCCCCCCCCTCTGAAGAAGCCTACACCTCACTCCGGCTGGTCCTAAGGTAATAGCGGGTAGTGGAGGCTATCGGCACTCAGCTTGACGGGGGTCGGCGCTTGCCAAATGCGCACCATCAAAAGCCTTTCCCTTGCTTGAAGATCAAGATCGGATGCAAGAAGATATCAAGAGCAAGATAGGAATGAAATGCCTTCATACTCCATAAGACGCATTACCTGCGCTTACCTTGAGGTACCTTAGGATAGGAACGGGAAGGTCCGGGCGAGCTCTCGAAACAGGACAGTGGGTGGTACCTTCCAGAGCAAAAGTCGGGTGATGGCAGGTAAACGGTACAGCCTACGGAGTACCTAGAGGGGACAATTGGCGCTTCAGGTCGTTTCCACGTCAATGGGACGGGAAACCTGCCCGGACTGAGGTGAAGACTCAGAGGGGCCCTGCGGCAGGTGGCCCAGGAGTCTGGTTGGGTCCAGTGGACTGTAGGTGAATTTTGCTTCCCGTCTGGGTCCTCCATCCGCTGAGACCGGGCCACTCACTGCGCTACGTTTCCCAGCTGACCAGGTGGAAACACCACTCAATCTGAACTTTCCTCTTTCTCCCCGTTCAGCCAGGTCCTTTCGTTGTCACTCTCCTCCACAGCAAAATCTCGACAGCGCAGTGCACGACTTCGATTTGGGACAACTTCCTGCTCCTTACCTCGATTCTATCTTAAAAACACACACATACACCCCTTTCTTCTTCTGCGGTTGCATACACTCCCTCCTCCCACGCATTCCAGAAGAACAATCCAACCCCTCATCTACCATTCCTTTGACCATTGGTTGCTACGGGCTTCTCAAGGTCTCGACCCCCCCCCCCCCCTCAAGGTCAACGATCGGGCCCTTGGACTGGACTCCTGTCACCCAGTATCCTCCTTTCCTCCGCTTTCACTATAGCAGGTGACAGCCGACAGTTACGACGCTTCGTTTTTTCTACTCAGATCGCATTGACTAGAGACGAAGGGCCTGTTCCTCTCCAGCAACAGCATCAACATAATCCACGGGATACTGCATGCCCTACCTCCAAGCCATGTCTTCTGTGTGGAAGCAACAACCTGAAGAGGTGGCGGACAAGGTCTTGAAGAGGGTGGAAGTGAGCAAGGTATGTTGACAGAGGGCCACAGCCAAGGCCACAACGCACCTCACAAAGCAAAATGTCCCTGATCCTGACAATCTTACAGATAGCCCGAAGACTACAGAACCGACTCGCGCTCGCCCAATTCAAAACCAAGCATGGCTGGGAAGACCTAACACTCGATACCATCGAACCAAAGTATGAGGAGGAACTGCGACGGAAGCGTTTAGCCGAGGGAGACCTCTTGTCCGACTCCTCTTCGAGCGCCTCCGACCTTCCATATCCCACGAGAGCCCTCATGAGCTCTCCTCTGAAAGCCCCCCTCTTTTCCGACGCCATCGGCTCCAGCAACGGGAGCACCGGCCATCGCAAGCGCACCTACATGGCATCTTTCGACTGTCCATCGTCCAGCCCAAGCAAACGCTATCGCTCGTCCCCTACTCCCATCAAGTCGCTGCACGGCCATACTTCGTGGAAAGAGAGTCATCAGCTAGCGCAATCGTCTCCGATTAAGCCCAGAAGGCAGCAACACTTCACCACATCCACTGGCCCTGACGTTTCATTCTTTCAAGGGGCTCGAAGACTAGCAGACGACCTGGTGTCGCCAAACTTTGCGGCAGCCTCGGATGATGAAGACGATCTCTTGCCCGTACAGTCATTCAGGGCCACAAATATTCGGTCTTCACCCCCTACAACGCCACCAATGCGCAATCGAATGTTGCCCAATCGCCGTACTAAGGACCAAGGCGCCAACGGTGAACCCGTCAAATCCGGCCAAGAAGGCGCCGACCTTCTGCTGTACCTGGCTGCCTCTCCGTCACCCGCCGTCCCATCTACCAAGACAAGGATGGAGCCTCCTTCGACGCCTCCTTCCAAGGTCAGTCGCGATATGACTTTACCCTCTTCACACATGACCACCCCAGGTGGCCGCAACATGTTCCCCAACACGCCTGGACAAGGCTTCGACTTCGCAGATTTTGTCAACATCACGCCGAGTCCTGCTCAAAAGGCATGGAAGACACCCGTCGCTCTCTCCTCGGCGAGGACTCCCGTCAGTCTGGCTAGAAGACGATTGACATTCGACGAACCCCTGGCTTGATGAGAGATGCCCAACAGATGCGTCTTGTGGCTCTCTCCTCGTCGTCACTATCACCAACGCTATACTTTTGACTGATACCAAATGCTGGCTATGACGGCCCGGCATAATCTACACAAAAAGCGGAGATGTTACCCCGTCTTTTTCCGCAATTACTTTCACGAGGGACGAGAATAGCTTCATTGTGAGCAACGCCGCCATTACCTCGACAAGGAGACGGTACTACGAAAATATTTCTTTTGAGCCATTGATATTCATTTTATGCGTGGGGCCACGCAAGGAACCAGAGGCGTTGAGAGCGCCAAATCGGAATGAGTGTGAGGCAATTGTATGTTCCCGACTCAGCAAATGCTTCACATGTAGAAGCTTGTTTTTTTCTGTCTCTTTTGACCAATTCTTTTTGTCACTTCATCGTTTGATTAGGAAAGGATCCTAAAGGCTCCCAGTTGGGTCTCGTGGTCCGTGTGGCATTCAACGCGTCCCTGGTAGGCGACGCGCTGAAATTCGGAAGACTTGCGCGTAAGACGCGCGTGAGTCGCGTCTCGTTTTTAATGGACAAACAGCCAATCAAAACGTATTTCAGCCCCATACCGGCAAGGTCTCCTTCATCGCGCATGCCCGTGTAATGTCAAACGGTATAACAATGCACACAACGTGCATCCAAACTCTCAACATCGGTCGGGTCTCTAAGTAAGGTAGCGAGGTATACTGCAATCGCCAGGAAAGACGGGCCGAGGTCACGAAATGGTCACATATGGTCATGGGTAGGGCACAAACCCCCAGTGCTCCCTATGATCTCCTCGTCGTCTACTCATCGCTCGGGCGCTTTGAGGGATTCATTTCAAGGGTTATTCTTCTTGCATATTCTCAGAAAGACGTTATGTCTGCTTTCCCATGAAATCAAGGATTCCTCGCTGTACGCCTGTTGGGCTTGGCTCTTCAGCACAAACGTCTGGATCCAAATCGAACGTTCGTCTTAGATAGTCCCTCGTCGTTGGGCCGATCGTTGCAATGAACGTTTTGCGTCCCGTGAGCCCGTCCTTCTTGACCTTCCCCGTGGACTCGTCCAGCATCCCGAGCCCGCGCAACATGCCTTCGCAACCAGTCGGAGAGAAGACAACTACCCACCGCACCGGCAGGCCCTCAGTATCTTTCAGGTGTTTCTCAAAGTCTTGAGGAAAAGACTCCATGACACCCGTGCCGTAGACCACGACCTCGTCCACCTGGATCCTTTTCTCGCTGGGCAAAGTGGTGTTCATGAGGGTTTTCGGGATGATGTCCCGCCTCTGCTCGCCAACGAGGAAGAGCAGCGGTGGCTTCGTCTGCCGGTCTTGGTACCACTGGCCATAGTGGTCCAAAATGTACTTGGCCAAGGCATCGCCATTGCCCGTGTGCTCGCCGAATATTTGCAACGGGGCGTGCTTTGAGACGGACTGGAGAGCTCGTGTGGTAGCCGGACCAACGCTGTAGACTGGTATATTTTGGAGATGAGGCCACTCTTCTTCAGTGCCTATAAATCCGGTTAGCTCTGCTTTATTACGGTCGAGAGGCTTGAGTTGAAGCCCTTGATGCGGGTGCGAATGCGACGGACCCTTCTTCTCATCTACCAGGCTGGCAAACGCCTCGACCGCTCGCTGCGAGGTAAAAATGAGACCGCCGTAAGAGGCGTCATTGCTAGCATTGATTCCACATTGCTGCAAGACATGCCTGACCGTCGCCATGCCCTGTTTCTGAAAGGTGTGGTGCAGAACCGGGACAAAAGCTGGTTCGAAGGCACACCCGTCAGTTTCACCTGAGAGTAAGTCCTCGTACGAGTCGCCCGGAGTTGACTTTGTCTTGAGCAGCAGGATGGGCACCTTGGCTGCCAAAGCTGATGAGGGGTTCTGAGCCATGGCAAATGTCTTTGCGGCCCGCTGTGTCGTGATGAGTAAGGCGAATGAATTGAACTACTAGACGTCTCAAAGTCAATTGCTGGAGTACCTATCAAATCAACGGTGACGACTTGCCGCTCAGCTGCGCACTTTGGGGGTTGACTTCGCGGTCATAATGGTTATCGGATTCGCACTGAACGACGGTGCCCCGCCGCGGGCGATTCGGTGAATTTTGGCAGGCGGAGCTGGGTCGATGTAGAGTTACGTACTGTCTTAGGTAAGTCAGTGCCATTTCACTTACACGAATCTCCTCGACGGACTCGGCTTCTTCGCCGTTGTCAACTCCGAGGCGGAACACAAGTTTAAGGCATTGAGGTCAACAATCTGACGAAGCACCACAGCAGTGAACTCTTGAACGAATTCTTCGTATCAGACATGCGAAACAGCAGTGAAGTTCATCGAAGTTCTCGCTCGGGAGATATAAATGGGGGGGGGGGTTCGGAGAATACCAGACACATGGCCTGCTCCTGAGTCTCAATGAGTAGAGAGAGCACCCGATTGCTAGAACCAAGTGGAACTGCTCGCACCTTATTACGGATACATCTGCAAGAAACCCCCGGGTCACAGATGCACTTTGACGGTCCGAAAAGACAGCTGCCAGGTGGACAAATGGGTTGACCTTGAATGACTGCCATGCGGCTCAGAGACAAGAAACACCCCGCCTCATCTCTTCGGTACCTTGCGGATAGCGTGGGATCGATTAAGCAGCGGATCCCCCGGTAAGGCGCCGATCGCAGCATCCGTAAACCGCGAGACTCCCGCCTCACACCACACCAATCCAGCACGGTAGGTAGGTAGGCCAGGTCGGATCCCAATTGCAGGTTCTGGGTACGTCCAAGGTCTACCGGCGCTTGCCGACGGGAGCCGGCCACCCTTGGTTGGACCCGGCATTATCACTTTTGAATCTCAGGTGGAGAAAAGGTACGCAGTAGTGCTTTGCGATCCTTGTACCTTACCTTACCTGACCTCTACCTTAAGGTAGTGGCCGTGGTGGCTTATCGATAACGGTCCGCCATCGACATCATTTTCTTAGGTTGAGGTACTGACGAAGCTCTTCAGCTTACAAATTCCTCCCAACCAAAATTCGAACACTGTCCGACATTGCGCGCACTTGGGCAGATCACCCCATTCAAAGTCCCTTGTCGCATCCATTTTCTTTCTATAGGGCCCGTTGATATTAGTCTCGCTTCTCGCGACAAGGGCGAAACTCTCGCGCAGTATTATCGCCATGGCCGACGCCGAGCGAGACCCTCAATTAAGCAGCGTCATAGCTCCCGCGACGACGGCGGCAGCTGAGCAGCCCAAGCCTTTACCAAAGGGGATGGTCTTGGGCCCAGATGGCAAACCGTAAGTTCCCATAACTTTTTTGACGGTGATCTTTCGGTGGTGGTTCGATCCGTCGGTGCTTCCTTACCGGAGATCCAGCTGACATGGGTCATTCTCAGATGTCGGTCTTGCTCGTCCAAGAGTGCTTTTTCAAGCTGGGCTTCTCAGATGAACGGCTCGGTCAAAAAACCAACTTCGGTGGCCTCGGCGCCTGTCGACGACTGCCCCCCGGATGTCGAGGCCCTCGGACGAGGCACTTGGCAACTGCTACACTCGATCGCAGCAACGTACCCCGAAAAGCCCTCCCCTAGCCAGAAAGACGACCTTCGAGGTTTCATGAGACTGTTTTCCAAGCTTTACCCTTGCTGGGTGTGCGCCGAAGATTTCCAATCGTACATACAAAAAGAACAGATTCGAGTGGAGGGGCGGAGCGAGTTTGGAAACTGGCTGTGCGAGGCACACAACGAGGTCAATCGGAAGCTGGGCAAAAAGGAGTTTGACTGCAGCAAATGGGAAGAGCGATGGCGGACGGGTTGGAAAGACGGCCGTTGCGATTGAAAGCGACGCCGTTCGAGCTGTATAAATGTGTACAAAACAAGATGACCAACGGCGACAGGCACACGTGCCAGTATCGCGAGAAAAGCCACGGTCGTTGAACTTTGATAGATGATGCTACTCTTCCAGCGGCAGCAGAGCAAGACAGCATGCTGAACCGCATGTAGACTAAGGTACCTACCATACCCTCCACCTAGAATAGAATAATAGTGAAACAAGCGTACTACATTTCTGTAAAGTTTTGTGCAGATTGTGTTGCATGTAAGCATTTACTGCTTACCAAGGGTTGGGCGTTGTTGCTTGTAGCTGGTTGGGGTGAAGAATGACGGATTCCTATCTTTGTAGACCCTTATGCATACAGATCTTTGTGATGCTTTTCCGATTAGACATTGCTGATCTCCAGAACATGATCTGATATTTGCAGGATTCTATCCAGGCAGGTGAATGGGCCAATGGCAGAGCTGAACTGTCTAGTCGATGGTCGATCAAGTATTTTGTCTGGAGAACTTGTCCCCAAATTCAGAGAAGAGGTCTGTCGTTCTCTTCGGTCACCCTCAGGTTCGGGGCTGAGGTCCAAGCGATTTGTCCGAATGGCACCGCGAGATAATTCGGTCTTCGAGCGGCGGCCCGAAGTCGAGCGTAGCGGGCCCCGGGGCCCGGCTCCGCAGCTGACAGGCGCACGATGCTCAATGGTACTTCCATTGCGGTTTATTTGGGCCGTTGCGCCGTAGCAGGGCCGATAGGCTGGGGCCAACATCAGATCATGTCGAACGGTGCGCCTCTCCCCTTTCCCCCCAGTTTGCGCACGACACGACAGGAAGGGGCGGTCAGGGAAACCCGGAAGCGAGGCAATAACCCCCCATGGAATTGTCTGAGTCGTTCTAGTGCATCGCCGCTGATCCTTGAGGTTCCAAGCTCATGTTATGGTCTTATGTTGGCTCAAAGCAGAATGCGAAGGTTCCAGGTTTGGCTAAAATGTGAATTCGCACGGATAAGGAGCGTGGGAGGGTGGGAAACGGCAGGGCACGCCGCAGGATCCCGACGAGGTGGATGCAGATCCCACGCTGTCAACGGTTGCGTACCTTGCCAAGTTGCCAGCCGGGCAGCGGGCTTCCATTGCCTCACACTCACGGGCAGGCAGGGACAAGGGTTAGGTTGGTTGGTACTGACGTGTTCTAGGCCTTATGCTGCCCAGAACTGTCACTTTTTCCTCCTGCACTCTCTCCCAGAGGACCCAAAATCCACAAACCACGTACGGAAACGGATGCTCAGGGCGGATACGTTCGCTTTCTTCCCTGTTCTGCCCTGAACGCGGGCAACTTTAACATCGTCCCATTCTATTGTCTCACTGTTAGTAGAATGTTGCCTTACGTCGAACAGTGACAAGGTACCAAAATAAATCTTTTTTTCCCTCAGATATCTGGGACCTCACCTCACCTCACCTCACCTCCGGAACCCACCGGCCTAGTCCGGCTTGAGCCCGGTGTATTGGTGACCGCAACCTCCTGTGGCGTGTTCCATTACATCACTCACTGTTGACTGTATCTCCTTACTCGGTGCAATGCACCCATTGTCTGCTCGCCCTCTATGTACTCTATTCTGAGCCGCACCAAAATGGGTCACAACGCTACTATCTCGCGTCTTTTCCCGTCTGGTGCCAGGACCCCCATCTTGGTCCCCTTTCACCCAAATCTTGATCGAGCCCGTCGCATGCCGAGACCCGGTACCCACTGCCTGCGCTTCAGCCGCCTCGCTGGCTCGTAGTATCTTGTCACTTATACGAAAATGGAGCTACGTGAGCTGTCGCCCATCGCCGATGGCCCTGTCGTTTCAATCTGCAATGGCCAGTGGTCTGACTTGACGACCCTGGCCGACCCATGCAATGATGCCGAGACTCGAGTGAGTCCGAGTCCGACTGGGAACAGTAACAACATCGCCATCTCCGCAGGTTGTTGACTCTGATATAAGTCTATACGCCTCTGACCTTGATCGGGTCCCTTTTTCTCCTTCTTCATTCCAGATTTACACAGACGAACACTTCTACAACATACACTCGAGGTAGCATCCAGAGCTACCCCCTCCTACACCATCAGCTGCTTACACGCATATCCGATCATGGCTGATATCAGAACCCAAGGGCTTATAGAGCCTGTCGACGTCGTCGAATACCTGTTCAAGAGACTCCATGAGGTCGGTGTCCGCTCCGTTCACGGCCTTCCCGGTGACTTCAACCTCGTTGCCCTCGACTATCTTCCCCAGTGCGGCCTGAAATGGGTTGGTAATGTCAACGAGCTCAACGCCGGTCAGTATCCCTACAACCTATCAACTTGCCAAGTAAGCTTCGCCGAACTGACATCCTTCAAGGCTACGCTGCCGATGGTTACGCCCGTGTCAAGGGCATCTCTGCCATCATCACTACGTTTGGTGTTGGCGAGCTCTCCGCCATCAACGCTCTCGCCGGTGCCTACTCAGAACACATTCCCGTTGTACACATTGTCGGTTGCCCCTCCACGATCTCTCAGAAAAACGGCATGCTCCTGCACCACACCCTTGGCAACGGCGACTTCAACGTCTTCTCCAACATGAGCTCTCAAATTTCATGCGACGTTGCGCGCCTCAACAACCCCGCCGAGATTGCCAACCAGATCGATCATGCTCTCCGAGAGTGCTGGATCCGCAGTCGCCCCGTCTACATCATGCTCCCCACCGACATGGTCCAGAAGAAGATCGAGGGCCAGCGCCTAAACAAGCCCATCGACCTCGAGGAGGCCACCAACGATCCTGACAGAGAGGACTACGTTGTCGACGTCGTCCTCAAGTCCCTTCATGCCGCCAAGAAGCCCGTCATGCTGATTGACGCCTGTGCTATCCGCCACCGCGTCCTCCCCGAGGTTCATGCACTCCTTGAGAAGACAAAGATTCCTGTCTTCGTGACGCCCATGGGAAAGGGTGCCGTCAACGAATCTCACCCCAACTACGGCGGTGTTTATGCCGGTACCGCTTCGCAACCCGATGTTGGTGAGCGACTCGAGTCTTCAGACTTGATCTTGTCCATTGGTGGTCTCAAGGTAAATTGCCTCGTCGCTCCTAGTAGTTCGAAGACAGTTCATTAACATTCTTGCAGAGTGATTTCAACACCGCTGGATTCTCTTACAGAACATCGCAGCTGAACACCATCGACTTCCACAGCACACACATGAGAGTCAGATACTCTGAGTACCCTGGCATCACCATGCGTGGAGTCCTCCGCAAGGTCACTGAGCGTCTTGACTTGAGCCAGCTTTCCGTCGTCACATCACCCGAGGTCATCAACAGAGTGCCCAGCCCCAACTCGGACCCCTCGCAAACCATTACACAGGCTTACTTATGGCCTCGCGTTGGCAACTACCTTCGCGAGAACGACATCGTCGTCACCGAGACAGGAACGGCCAACTTCGGCATCTGGGATACCAAATTCCCTGCTGGGGTCACAGCTTTGAGTCAGGTCTTCTGGGGAAGTATCGGTTGGTCTGTCGGTGCCGCTCAAGGTGCTGCTCTCGCAGCCAAGGATGCGGGAGAGGACCGCAGGACAATTCTCTTCGTCGGCGACGGATCGTTCCAGCTCACGGCCCAGGAAGTCACTACCATGTTGCGTCATGGCTTGAAGACGACAATGTGAGTTCAACTCCCCTTATTCCTTTGCACCGACTCCAAGAATCTCACGCTAACGTTGCATAGCTTCGTCATCTGCAACGACGGATACACCATCGAGCGCTTCATCCACGGCATGGAGGCCGAGTACAACGACATTGTCCAGTGGCAGTACAAGGAACTTGCGACAGTGTTCGGCGGTACCGAGCAGACAGCCAAGAAATTCGTCGTCAAGACAAAGGACGAACTCGAGAAGCTCCTGACTGATCAGGATTTCAACAACCCCACAACACTGCAGTTTGTCGAGCTCTACCTCCCCAAGGAGGATGCGCCAAGGGCATTGATCATGACTGCTGAGGCCAGCGCTAGAAACAACGCCAAGGTCGAGTAAGGAGACGACAGCAATTTTTTCATAGAAGATGGTTTGATTCCCTCGGCGCAGGAAATGGGTTTCTGGCGCATGGCTGGACGTAATTGGTTGATTATGTGGTTATCCTTGGCTTTAGATTATTGGTTGGTAAAACGTAGTGAGACTACTACGGCTACCTAGATTACATATGAAGTAGATGGGTATTTTATTATTCTCCCGCACCGGATATTATTGATATAAGACGATGACCCACCAAGTGATGACTTGCAGACAATAGACACACTCGCGCACTTTAGCACGAGGTCTTTGTCTTTCAAGCCATCGACATGCTTCAGCCGTGCCATGGCTCAGGTATTTACAATGAACAAAAGGAAAGTGTGATAGAATACTTTTTGTATTGGAGAGTAGTTTGAAGACGACCGCGGCGTAAATTACATGAGAGGCATGCCTGGGCATAAGTGCGTCTTCAGTTAGCGCTCCAAGGTTGCGCAGAATTTTGGCAGTTCTGTGTCTTCATTGATATTTTGAACTGTCTCGTCAAGTGGAATTGAGCTGTAGCTAGCAACTAAATGACAGGCGCGGCGTCTCTCTCCCTCCGCTGTGTCTCTAGTACTCACAGGGAGGCAAGCTGAAGCTTGAGCAACTAGATACATATTCAAGTGCCATAGTCCCACGCAGCTGGACATTGACTTCCCGGCAAGTTGTCCAGCTTTAGGTCCAGTACAGTCAATTTATGCAATTGATAACATCAGCTGAGTTTCCCTGGCATAAGACTTTAGTCAAAGAATTGTGGGATCAAGGTCCAGAAACCGTGACCGAATCGTATTTTGTCTGCCGGGTTCTAATTCTCAGAACGCATATTGGCATATTTGAAGGCCAATCGCTTCAACGATAGAGCATTCATCTTCGACTCGTTTAGAAACAAGCCCTACGATGTCAATTGAGAAGCTTCTATTAAGCACCATCGAATTGATGGCTGTTGACGATGGCTGGTTGTTGGGAAGTGACCCTCAGGCTGCAATAAGACGCAGAAGGTATAGCGGGTCCAGCTCGTCTGATTTCTTGCCTTTGGGCGGTGTGGACTTTTTACCTCTTCTAGCTATCTTCAGTGCAGCACACCAAGCTACCATTCTCTCTCAGCCATCCCACAAGGCACAATTTCAGTACTCACAGCCCACAAAGGCTTCGGCGCAGCACTTCATAAAATTTCAGAGCTGCAGCTCGCGAAGCTCCTACAAAATGACAGATGCGAAGAGGAAACAGTCGGGTGGCGGTAGTGGCCATCCCGCTAAGAGAAGCAAGGTAGGGTTTCATCTGATTTATGTATATTGCACTGCGCAATTAATTCTTCCCGACCCTGCCTGAATGATCTTATGAGAAGACTTACTATTCTTCAGTATAAGTTCATGGCTAATGAGAAAGTAGGGTGGGCAAGGCTCCGGCAAATGGCAGACGCCGCAACACAAGGCGAAGGTCGCCAGTCTTCAGGACAAGGGCGTCGCCCTTGGGGTTGGCGACAAGGGTATCTGGGTCACATTTGCCAGAGGCATGGACGGAAAGTCCATTAGCGAATTCAGCACACTTTGTGATGAGGTTTGTTGATTCTGCCAGCATTTCGCATTTGCGCTCACTCATACGACTACGCCTCAGTACGCAAAGACACTCTACGGCATCGTTCCCCCCGGGGAAGAAGTTGAATCAGATGAGGAAGACGAGGACATTGAAGCGTCTATCAAGAAGGAGCTCGACGGTATCAGCGACGTCAACAAAGGCAAGACTAAGCGTACGTTCAAGGCCATCAAGGCCGGGATCGAGTGTGTCTTCTTCATGAAGACAAGGGATCCCATCGACCCCGTGGAGCTCTGCCGTAAGATGTGCGTAGACGCCAGCGTCTGCACTGATCTCAAGGAGAGGAAGACAAAGTATATCAACCGACTGACGCCGGTCACCTCTGTGGACAAGGCATCTGAGAACGGCGTGGTGCGAGTCGCTCGAAAGGCTCTGTCCGCGCATTTCGATCTCGTAGATGAGACAGCTCAGGCTGCAGAAGGCGACGAAGAGAAGGTTGAAGGAGGGAGTGATGCTCAGACCGAGAAGCCGGCCTGCACAGTACGTTCACTCATGACAAATGTTGACCGGGCGGTTTAGGCTGACATATTTGGCAGTATGCCATCCGACCTTCCATACGCAGCAACAACTCACTTGATCGTGACACGCTCATTAAGCAAATTGCCAGCGTTGTCAGCCCGCGGCACAAAGTCGATCTCACCAATGCCGATAAAGTCATACTTGTCGATGTTTTTCAGGTAAGAGACGACTGGTAGGATAGAGCCAGTGAGCATCAAACTGACTGGTCTGTAGAGTTTCTGCGGTATGAGTGTTATTGAGCGCAGTGACTGGGAGGATCTGAAGAAGCTCAACGTCAACGAACTGTACAAGGCGTCTCCTGGAGCACAGGCAAATCGCCCGGTACCAAAGGAAGGTGAAAACAAGGCAGCATGAGTAGTACATGAGGTGGTCAAGGATACACTTGGGATCACCCATCATCTAAGCGATGGGAGCAATTACCGTATAGCATTCGTGAAACCCCAAGCGAAATAGCTACTTGGTCTTGCGAATACCAGATGATGAGAGTTGAGAAAAGGCATGGTTCACTCACTTGCACCTTGGCAAGCACCGTACCCCCTGCATGACAATAACATTCGAAATTGGTGGGCTTTTGTCTCACTTTTGGTTCCTTCTGACAACATTGCGTAGCAAAGAAGCCGATACGCCCCGTCCAATACATTGAGAGGTTTATTCATAGAGACCCTCAATGTTATACTGTGGGACTGTGTGTCTTTCCTCCTTACGTATGCCCACTCGTCCCTCGAAGATGTTCAGAGCCTGCGGCCCGAGACCTGGCGTTTCGATTAGTGTTGCTTGGGTAGCCTTGGTGAAGGCTGCTGGCCTTACGTACGTGACGCGCAAACTCCAAATAGCCTGCGACAATCGTCGAGCCCGGATTTGACCATACACACTGGAGTGTTCTCTAGCACAGATTTTGTGCGGACTGGGCTGCTATGAGTGTTCGCAATCTCAGGGCTTCACCACGGCAATTTGATGGGAACCCGGCGCTGTTTCTTGTGGGATGTTAATCGTAGGAGGAGGAGCAGCAATGAACGACCCAGGCTCTACCGAGTACCATAATGGTCAGATATTTCTGCAACGTGATATGGGATATGGGGAAATCAATGCAAACATGGGGGCAAATGCGGTCACGTATGTGTTGTGTTGGTGGAAAAGTAGCAGCTGAAAGCCGAGCGCTCAGGGTGGAGCGAGGTGTAAGCCGTGTGGAGAGTGCGCATCTGCGAGCATGACGGCGCTAAGCCTTATCTGTATAAATTTGACGAGTCTCCAGCATATGGAACGTTCCAAACTTCTATTTGGGACCCAGATCCGTCCCTTGGCCGCTTCCACCACATCACATCAGCTGGCAGGGGGGCTAGTGCGTTGGAGCTTGGGGTCGGCGGTCGATCCGGAAACTCAACATTGGCCATCATTGCGGACCCGGTGCATGTAAATATCAGGCCTCTACAGCATAGCCCTTTTCCAAGTGGATTCCATCTGGCTGGGTGAGAGGGAATTTGGAATGTTTGATGCAGAACTTCTAGATCGCCCATCTCTTACCTTACCTACCTACTGTTAGATACCCCAGCCGTTAACTAAGGTACCTTACAGGAAAGGTACTTACAGAGCTTTGGGTTCCTAGATTACCTTGGCTTACTAAGTACCTTCCATACTTCCCTTTCTGCGAGGTGTATGCGATTCGCACAATGCGACCACCTGACCGGCTAGGAGGTATGTGATTCGGAGGTCCCGTTAGAACATTCTACCTTGACATTGAGGTGTGAGGTGTAATGGCGACAGAAACCAGAGAGTAAGAAGACAGTAGTTCAAGTATGACTTGCAGCAGCATGCTTCACCAAGTCGGCTTGACGCTAGCAAAAGTTCCTGCGCGATTGGGCTGGATCTTGGGCTTGCATTTCCGACAACTTGCGTGAGCGTCGAGGCAGGCATTATATCTAAAGAACTTGACAATCCAACATGCGCAGCGTTTGTGCGAGAAAGTCAACATGGCAGATGTTTCAATGGCTCACGGCGTGCATTTGACATACCTCATCGCAGGAGAAGGCGACCGCCAACTGAAGATTCCCAACTTGACCATAGCTACCGGATCCGTACACTACGTCGCTACTTGGCATTTGACGACAATCCGGGGTATCAAAGCTCCCATCTCATCTCAAAACACCTTGCCTGCCCTTGGATCTTGAGGTGATTGTTCATCCGTTGGCATGGGTCTGTATCCGTCCACTGTATTCGAGCTAAGGCACCTTGCTGTGAGAATGGAACAGTGAGATGAGATGAGAAAAGAGTGGGTGAGTGGGTGGTGGCCGCCCCGACGCTGCGGGCGGGGATCCGAGACCCACCAGTTTCGCTTAATCGCATCCAATCAACAAATCCCCGGCTCGCTTGACGATGCAGAGTCTCGCTGGGGGCTCCCTGTCCACCTCCTAGCCCCCGTCCCATCATGAGAACCCTGCGAATAGATTTCCTCCATTCGTTCCACTTCTTCACCAACCTCACCTCCCCAGATCGCAGACTACCATATCTTCATCTTTTTTTTTTCTCCCACAACGCGGGAAAATGACAAGCTTGTACCTGTGTTCCTGGCTCGCACACTCTGCTCCTCCTTGAACTTATTGCAGAAATATCTACCTCACTTGCCAGTGCCTGCATAAGGTGAGGTCAGGTAGCCTGTAGGTAAGCTATGCGGTTGTGGAGATCGTCAACTGCACGATTAGTCCAGACTCGACGCTTATCCTCTCTTTTATGGGAAGTAGAAGATGTTCATCTGCAACCTCGCTTGACTTGACCCCAAGTAGCACATTCTTTCGTATGCTGTTGGCATCCTGCGTTGCAGAGCCCCTCTCTAGCCCCTGCCTGTCTTCTCCTTTACCGACATCCTTTTCATCGACACTACGGTACTTCATCTCTCTTCTCGGCCTATGTCCGTAAGATCCATTCACAATTCTTCAATCGTTTTTTTTTTTCTTTTGGTCCCCCCCCTCCCTCTTCCTTTCCGTCTGTCTGCTGTACGTGTATGTGCACACTTACGTGTCAGTCTCTCTCACACACATACACATGCTCATGGAGGTCCATGGGTCTTGCGTGCTTGTTCCCTCCCTGCGCACCTCATGGGTAAAGTAACTTGTTAGCGAAAGGTAGGTTGTTAGCAGACGGCCTATACGTTTCTTATACGTTGTCGCTTCTTAGTGTTGTCTCTCTCGCTTATTCCTCACACGCTCATTGAGCGCATTTCCCCCTTCCCACCCATTCAGCCAGTGTTGCTCCTTGTACGACGCCTCGCCCGTCACCACCGAGCCATCGCGCCTTAGTCTATCAACCTCTTGCTCTCTCGCCTGTTGCGCCTTCTCATTAGTTCATCTCGTGTGTTGGCTTGTTCTCGACCGATCTCGCTTGTCCTGGAACAGCTCAAGGTCATCCTCATTGCTTGGCTACCTCATCAAGCTCATGTCCTTGAGCCTGGTTTTTGCGCCGCCCGCCCATCATGTCTCGCTTCTCGCCTCGACCGCTGCAATGCAACTGCATAGCTTAGCTTACCCTGTTCCTCTCACCTGTCTTATCTTCACCTTTGAGGCGTACGGGGACACTTATGCTGGCTCAAACAGGTGCCGCCCCGACCTCTGTTCGGACGGTTGCCGTCTTTTCTTGCGAAACAAGGATTCGTGTGTGGGCCAGCTTCACTCACTCCATCGTTGGCATTGGCCTTTCCACTCAGACCTTCACACCCCTGGGCTCTCAAACACCCTCAAGCTCTGCTCTGCTCATCGCCGAACATCCTTTCGCTTATGGTCGACTCATATTTCCGTGATTTCATGTGCAAACCTAGTACGCTACCGTCATCATCATCATCCTCCTCCTCACCATCCGGCTCGGATGAGATAAGCGAATAGTCCCCGTAAACCTCACTTGCCGGCTCACCCTTCGAATCCGCCTCGCTAGACACCCCGTTTCTATTGGAGTGATCTCGTGGTGTTGCCCTTGTTGGCATGAAAATGTCCAAAGTCCCCGGCCGGACCACTCCGTGTGTCCAGATTACGCCGCAACACGACCTTGCAAACCCCCACACCTTCGTCTGGGAAGCCGTAGAGGACTCGCTATATCTAGCTCCTTCGCCCAACCCCTACCACATGGCTCCTGGTCGGTGTCACCGCACTCACACCTCGACTTCACCTTGCATACCATTCGCCTGCCAGAGCGTTTCGCAAACCTGCAGCATCCCGCCCGTCACGCATCGACCTTCCATAGGGCAGAACCTGTATCACAATACAGTGTCAACGACGTCCATGTGTGCGCCGCCTCCTCCGGCAAAGCCCATACAGACCGTTATAAGCCGTTTGGTACCCCAGGCCACCGTCCAACAAGTTCAGGTGATGCCATCGGTCCATTGTCAACGCGTCTATGGAGTCAAAGTCTCCACCGGAGCGAGCTTGGTTCTCGTCGTTCCTCCGCCGCCCATGGTCAAGCTGCTGCGATCCGAACGAGCCTCCGTCATCTCGGAGGCTGCCGTATTGAGATGGCTTGCTGGCAAAACTGTCGAGACGCCTCTTATCCGTGAGAAAGTTACGGAAACAGAAGACTCGCCTTGGTCAACCTCTCCTATAGCCACTTACGAGAGTGGAACCACGAATTGTTCTGATGTCGCGGTACAAGAACTGCGGGCTCTGGTTCCAACCCTCATATCCCATACGGCCGCCACGAACGAGCTGGGCCTCGAATATAATCTCGTCAAGCCAACGCTAGGTATCCCCATCTCCGAACTCAGTCCACCACTCTCATCGGCCGAACGAAGAACAATTGATTTTCAAACTGGTCAATTATACCGGCAGCTTTGCGAGCAAGTGTCACCCACTGGGCGATTCGGACCTGCATTTGCTGTTCTACCTCCATGTGCGCCATCACCAGCTACAGACTCCGCGAAGTCCACGAGGCGAGATGTCGCCGCGAGATTGATGGAATCAAGAGGCGTCCACTCCTGGACTGTGGCCTTCCATTCAATGTTAGAGGCCGTGCTTCGTGACGGGGAGGATATGCAAGTAATGTTGGGTTACAGTGCCATCCGACGGCAGTTCAAGCGTTTCGAGCATGTGCTGGATGGAATCAAAACACCACGGCTGGTGGCTGTTGACGTCGGCAAAGATGTCAACACCCTTGTGTTAAGAAAACGAGGCTCCGGAGACGACGCATCTCTGGCCGAGTACAGACCGCAGGGAAGGCTAAAACACACAGACCGCCGCGGTAGTGAAGCAAGTAGCGAGGTTGGCGATGAGTATGATACCGGCTCGGATTCCGGAGACGACAGCGCGTCACTGGCTCACCAACACGACGATGGCATCGTCATGGCTGGCATGAAGGATTGGAGCAACTTCGTCTTTGGAGATCCACTATTTGCTCTCAATATCGGTCGTGAGCCCAGTGGTGAATTTCTTGCGGGATTCAACGGGTCCTTAAACACTCGACACACCACCATGCCAATGTTTTCCTCGGATCTGATTGAGGACAAGGAGAGAGCTCATGTCCGACTGCTGCTGTACGACTGCTACCATACAATCACGCACATTGCGAGAACATACTTCCGCCCGCAAAAAGACATCAGCGGACGCGAGCTGGAGGCACGAAAGAGGTTGAACACTATACTGGCGCAGCTTGATGCTCTTGATGACGCCGGCACAAGGAGGGGAAGAAGACCAAGCGGCGAATCAAGCCCGGCCAAGAAACGGTCGAAGAGCGGGGAATCGTCCGACTAGTAAAAGATGGTCGTGTATCGAAGGGTGATGCTTATGATGAACGAACATTCTTAGAACATACTTTGGGAAAGACACGTCTAGAGCCTGGCGTACGGTTGCTTCCTGGAGGAAGATGTATTCGTCGTTTCAATAAAGACTGATTAATGACCTATAAGATCTTGGGCGTTTGTCTTCATGGCTTCTTCTTGCCTTCCCCGGCGTTGTCGTCCTCGTCTCGCGGAAGCTGAAGTCCCATCATGCCTAGAATGTTTCCAGCCGGACCCGGCATACCACCCTGACCCTTGAAGCTTTCGAGGAGGTTCTTGGCTAGATTATAGTCAATGTCAACTTCGTCATCTGCCTCTTCATCATCATTGCTTGATCCAGGCCCACTGCCTTTCCCCTTCCCTTTCTGAATTAGGGCCCTGTCTCGAGGTTGGTCCAACTTTAGAGCACCGTGTTCATTGAGCTCAGCTTCCAACTCAGCGGTAAGCTTCCGAAGGTCATCACCGTCAGGTTCCTCGCCTCGCCCGACGGGTTTAGTATTCTCTCTTGCCGCAGGCGATTTGCTTGGAACATCACGAACGTCGAGCTCTGCGGGTGCTAGTCCCATCATTTCTCTCATCATACGAGAGAATTCCGCTTCGTCAAAGCTGACCGCCTTGTCTTCGTCTTCGTCATCTTCGTCTGTCTCCATGCCCTCGGATCCGTCGTCGTCGTCATCGTCATCAATGTCCATTTCATCGATCTCGGCACCGTCTAGTCCTGCATTCTCATCGTTGAGAAAGGCCTCGAACCGGGAGACGATTTTGCGCAGGTCTGCTTGTGTTGTGGCATCTCCAAAGCTTGAAATCGGCTGAGATTTCGTCCCGCCTTGGCGTCCTGAAAGCTCTCTTTCAAAGTCTTCGTAGTTGATGTCCATCCAGGACTCGTCATCATCGCGACCGGCGTCCTTCCAGCTGCGAATTTGCTCGTCTGTAGGGAGCACTGAATCTCCATCCTCCTCAAGGTCCTCTACAGTGATACTAGCCGCCCTGGCTTCACGACTATCGGCCTTGTCAACATTGTTGAGCATTATTTCGAACCCACATGTGAGCTTCATGCCCATCTCCAAATGTGTGTGCTCGACCCCCTCGACCCGTTGAATAAGACCAGTCCAAGGGACAGGAGGCTCGAACCTTTGCGATCTGAGTTGGGCGAACAAAACCCTGGTAAATCTGACGCTCACTGTGACAAGATCAACCGGGGGAAAAGTAAGATTCGTTTTGCTGGACAGGAGAGTGTTCAGATCTAGCGCATCGCGGAGGTAGAAGGACTCCACAGCTGGTGCAACGGCCTTGGGAGTTTGGCGTAGGACGTGGACAAGTCTTCGAGGAATTGTCACGAGCGAGTGGTGTATGGACTCGTGAATCTGGCCAGGGTACTTTTCAAGGCGATAAAAAGCCTCAGCCTCTATGAACTCCGAGTGCAAGAGAGAGTCGGCGGTGGATTTTATGACGCGCAAAGCGTCCGATAGTGCTAACAGCCGGGTTTTAGTGCCGTCTTCGGTTGTGTGAGGGATGATTCGTAGACGGCCATTATTAATCCAAACACGGTTCTGGTCTGTCTCAGGACTCAACCATTTTGGAAGAACGTTGGCCGCCTCTATGAGGAGAAACTCCCCATCAGCGTCAAATACACGGATCCATGCAGTGGGTTGAACTTTGGAAAACTCTCTGAGGATAAAGACAATCAGCCATTCGTCCTCAATCGAATCTCCGTAGTCAGTGGTTCCTCGGAGAAACGAGTTGCCTATCGGAGTCTCAGCACTCAAATTTTAAAGATGAATCATTCTGGGGGGAGGACAAACCTTGCTCTGTAACCACATCGAGAGTGAAATGGCCCTTTTGCCAAATATAGTCTGTGGTCAGGGAGTTTGCAAGTTGCAAAGCAGTTTTTCGCAGATCTTCGAGTCGGGAAAGTTGCTTCAGGGGATTACTCGAGGCGTTGGGGTCAACAAAAAAAATGCTATACTCGACGCAATTTTCTCGCAGGTCGGGAACATTTTGTTCGTTGCGGTCCCCTGCTTCTCCAGCTCCTCGTTGTGAATCAGCCATGACCAATAGCTTCGAGATACCTTGGCTCGCCAGATGAAGTTGTAAACGCGCAGACAGCGGACAAAGCTGTTGTTGCTGTTATTCTGTTGTGGCAGAGCCGTAGGTTTTAGCTCGTGATTTACTCAGTCGCAGGCAGGGCTGGTATTTTGAGTGGAGGTTGGATGACTTCTTTCAATGGAAGCCAAGCGATTTCGAAAGATATTCGAGAATTCTTGAGGACTTTCGCATTAAATTCGTGATTGCACACCAGTAGACCTTTAATCTGGAGTGTGCAGGCTTGCCTTGCCTGAATTGTTCACCTCGATCTATCTATTTGATAGAGCTCATTCGATGGTAACTGCATCCCAGACCTTCGAGACTATTGGTGCAGGAACACCTGCCTATGGCAAAGAGAATCGTCCTTCAGAAGAGCGCCCCACAAAAGCCCCGGTCACCTAAGGTAAGGTACCTTAGCACAGTAACTTTGAGAAATGCCTGCCCGGAGCACTGTACGCGTTAAGTGCTCGATTAATGGAAGGTGCAGCCAGACATACCTTCCAGGTTAACTTACCTTACCTTACCTCAGCCCCCACCGCGTACAACCACACATTCGCGTTCCGCCATCCGACGCGTCGCACGAAGCTTTCGTGGTCGTTCAATCCGGAAGGCTACAGCCCAAATTATCCAACGACAGGTACCCAAAATCTGCGTCCACCTTTATCGACGCCCAGTGCGATAGGCGCACTGAATTTATACTGCCCGACGCTGCAAGATCTCAACGCAGGCGCATCTTCCGAGCTACTCGTCATGGCCCCCGCGAAGAGATCCCACGCCGTCTTGGAAGCAGGCGGCGGGGAGGAGGAGGAGGAGGAGGAGGAGCTGATTGAGGTACGGCAAAAAAAGTCCAACCTCGCTCAGGACGCACCCGTAGGTTTCTCCAAGAATATGACTTCAGAATATTACCGATGAGATCGACTGACACTTCTGGAATTCTGCAGTCAAAGCGGGTTCGACTATCAAACACTGCTCAGCCGACCAAGTCGATCCCCCCAAGGGACGAATCCCCAAGCTCCGGAAGCGAAGACGGTGCGGGCGAAGAAGAGGAAGACGGACAAGCCGGCCGTGAATCGCCTCCCCGAACCCAATACGAAATCGCCCGGGACGATGGTTTCAGGCACTTGCAGTACGAGGATCAAGACGATCAGCGTGCTACGCAGAAAATCAAAAGCCGGCCGCAGCGCATCGGGGACAACCATGCTGCCGAGAACGGTATTATTGAGAGTGTCGAGTGCATCAACTTCATGTGCCACGAGCGCCTCTTTGTCGAGCTCGGTCCCCTGATCAATTTCATCGTCGGCGAGAATGGAAGTGGCAAGAGTGCAGTCCTCACAGCCCTAACCTTGTGTCTGGGTGGCAAGGCTAGCTCCACCAACAGAGGTGGAAGTCTCAAGAGTTTTATCAAGGAAGGGAGAGACAATTCTGTCATCATTGTGAGGATCAAGAACCAGGGCATTGACGCCTACCAGCCCGATCTGTACGGCGAAACCATCAGAGTCGAACGCCATTTCTCCAGGGCTGGCGCCAGTGGCTTCAAGCTGAAGAGTGCGACTGGGAAAACAATTTCTACAAAGAAGGCCGACGTTGATGAGATCTCTGAGTATTGGGCTCTGCAGGTTGACAATCCACTCAACGTTCTATCGCAGGACAATGCCCGACAATTTCTGAATTCTTCATCACCCTCTATGAAGTACAAATTTTTTGTTCGAGGTGTCCAGCTCGAACAGCTTGACAACGACTACAAACTCCTGACGGAAATTCTCGAGAGTCACGAGGCAAAGCTACCGAGCCTAGAGGAACATGTCCGTCGAGCGAAGAGAGAGCATTCGGAGGCACAGAAGCTCAAGGACATTGCTCAGAAGAACGAAGAAATGAGAAAGACATACCGTCGTCTCCGTAACCAACTTTACTGGTCACAGGTAGCTGAGCAAGAAGATGTGCTCCTCAAGTACAACGATGAGGTCGCTGCTCTGGACAGGGAAATCCAACGCGCTACTATGCTCATTGAGCACACAACACAGGCTTTAAGTCAGCGCGATGAGCACCTTGAGCGCGCTCAAGGTGCAGTCGAAACGGAATCACAGGAAGCCGGTACTATCCAGGAAAGTATCGCCCTCGCCGACGAAGCGTACCAAGAGGCCAAGCAATCCGTCACCGACATACACCATCAACTCAGAGATGTTCAACAACGGCTCAAAAGCGCCGGACAAGGGGTGGCTGAGTTTGAGACCAAGATTGACGCCGAGGAGCAGCGACTGGGCGCTGGAGCTGGGAGCGCCCGCCAGGAACAAGAGGGTCTTCTGAATGAAGCAAGAGCAGAAGAGTCTACGATTAGACAACAAATCGCCGACGAGAATGACACAGTACCGCAACTCAGGGCAGAACTAAATCGTGCCCAGAGCGCCTTGCAAGGGGGCAAGGCCGATGTCGACAGGAAGAGGGCGGAAATTACCTCAGCCGAGGGACGTTTGCGCAGCCTGGAGCAGAACAGAGGCTCTGTCTGGGCTGCTTATGATAAGAAGATACCTCTCCTTCTTCAAGCGATCGAGCGAGAAAACGGGTTTCACGAAAAGCCCGTTGGACCCATTGGAGCCCATGTTCAGCTCACTCAACCTGAGTGGTCCCCAATTTTGGAGACGGTATTTGGCGCAACGCTGGATGGCTTTCTTGTATCCAACAAGTCTGACCAACAACGACTGACAAAACTCATGCAACAAGTCAACTTGCAGCGCTTTCCCCCAATCATCATCAGCAAGCGGCTGCCACTTAACACCCACTTGAGGGAGCCGGACGCAGCCTTTGACACTGTTCTCCGGGTGCTCAAGTTCGACAATGATTGGGTCCGCAGTCAGCTCATTGTGGCACACACCATCGATAAAATCGTTCTAATAAGAGAGAGGACGAAGGCAGAAGATGTCATGATGAGCGATTCACCTCCTCCAAACGTCCAAGCTTGTATTTCTCTCCATGATGGCGCGGGTAAGAGAGGTTTCGGCCTTCGCATGGCCCGGTCAAGCGGTGCAGGATATAACACAGGGACTATCAACCCCTTCCCCCGGGCGCCTAGGATGAAGTCTGACGACCAAACACAAATCAGTCTGGCAAAGGAATCGTTGGCTCATCTACGTGGGGACTTACGCTCGATAGAGCTGAAGCGGCGGGAGCTCGACCAGACAGTCGCAAAATGCAACGCCGCTCTCAATAACCAGCAACAACAGGGGAAATCGCTGGAGCGGAAGTTGTTGCGGGTCCAGGCCAGGATTGAGAATATCTCTGCTGAATTGGACCAATACGAAGGAGCAGATGGTCGCCTTATCTCTCTCCGGGAAGAGTTGGAGAAGATAAAAGCCGAACGAGAGCATCACGGAACCCAATATGGCGAAATGCGACTGCGACAAGATGAACTCAATAAGAAATGCGAAGAGTGCAAGAGGACGCTTGCCGATGAGAAGGGGAGAATGAAAGACTTTCAGGCTCGAATTACGAAGTTGCAACTCGCAGTCCAGAAAGCGGAAGACCTGCGTAAAATGGCAGTTCTCGAAAAAAATCGCGCGTTCCAGGACCGTGATGATGCGGTCCTCGAGAAAGAACGAGCAGAAACGAGGCGTGACGAACAAGCTGAAGTGGTCGCCAACTTCACTCAACAAGCCATGGACAAGGCGCCGCAGCGAGTGTACATCGAGGAAGGCGAAACTCACAGGAGTATCGAAAGCAAGTACGCTGTTATTCACCAACAGCTGGAGAAGAGGGCTCAAAGATTGGGAGCGTCGGACGAGGAGATCAAGGAACGTGCGGCTAGGGCTGAGGCTGCATATGAAGCTTCACAGCAACTCTATAAGGGCCAGCAGGAAGAGCAGGCGGCAGGCAAGCTCAATCTGGAAGATCGACTCAACAGGTGGCGACTGTTCCAGCGACATATCTCGGCACGTGCTCGCATCTGCTTCCAGTACTTGTTGAGCGAGCGAGGTTTCAGGGGCAAGCTTGCCATAGACCATCCGCAGCGCCGGCTGCAACTCTTCGTGGAACCAGATGAAACCCGCAAGGGCACTGCTGGCCGGAGCACAAAGACGTTGTCAGGTGGTGAGAAATCATTCTCATCCATCTGCATGCTGCTGGCCATTTGGGAGGCAATGGGCTCGCCCCTGCGATGTCTGGACGAATTTGATGTGTTCATGGACAATGTCAACCGTACCATCAGCACAAACATGCTTGTAAGTCTGATTCCTGTTCGTGTAATTGTCGTGTAATTGTATCTACCATGCTAACAAGAACCCCTTCTCAGATCACCGCTGCTAGACGCTCCGTATCCCGTCAGTACATCATGATTACACCAAATGCGATTGAAGGACGAGCCACGCTTGACAAGGACGTCAAGATCATCCGGTGCGTTGTTCTACTTTGGAGGACAGCCCTCGCTTTGCTCCTCTCTGAGTTGCGGCTAACATACGTAACAGTTTAACCGACCCCCGGCAGCGGACGTTGGTTTGATGCCACAGCTGGCTAGCTTCGTTCACAATTCCATAAGCAACGGCGTTCAAGTCAATCAGTTTTCGGTTATCAAAAAGCGCGGGTGAAGGGACAAGCGATTTCTTGGCAGTGACAGGCGTTTGGGCAATATACCCCCCCCCCCCCTCCTCATAGTCATGGATAAGGGCTCATCTACCTTAGTTAGGACGTGTGGGCTCAGCATTTAGTGAGATGGCTGGCTGGAAGGGCGTCAGGGACATCATCAGCGGGTAACAAGGTCCGCGTACTAGAAACAATAATATACAATAGCATACAAAGCGAGACCTCGGCCTCGGTATTTCCTGTTATACACATATCGTTGCCGCTGAGGAGGCCTAGATTCGAATCCCCTTGCTCCTCAGGACGTTGACACCCGCGCTAGCTGTGAACCCAACCCACTGTCCAAGAGAACCCATAACACCACCAGCTTCCTTGACCTCACTCAGTCGCCGCCGCAGGAAGTCTCTGGTGTCTTTGAAACCGGCCGACTTGTCGTTGGTCATGAACAACTCGCTCGACGCGTAGATCATGGACAGGCTGGCGCGCTTGGTATACCATGAGGGGTCGACGGCAGTGTCGCCGGAAAGGAACCAGATCTCATCGACCAACTTGGCGAGTTCCTTGAGGGAAGCAGGCACATAGCTCGGTTGTGCCATAACCGCCAGGGCCTATTGCATCCATCATAAGTATCAAGCCAGAACAGTGACCCAAGCAGACTCTAGAAAGGAGTGGTACTCACCTCTTGCCATCGGTCGATGACGGTCTTATTCTCTAAAAGCCGCTCCCAGGCGAGGAGTTCTACTTTTTCACTGACACCAACTTGCGAGCTCTCTCCGAACAACTCCTTCTCCTTGTTGGCCAGGCCTTCACGTTTTGTGACGAGGTGGTAACGAATCAAGCTGAAAGGACCGTCCGGCAGCACGCTGGTGCTGATGTCAAGGTATCCCGTGTCCTTGGCGCCGAGGGCGAGGGCCTTTTGTGAGAAGCCATACTCTGGGACATGCTTATACGCGGCGGAGAGGATCGTCGATTCGTGGGGGTGGAAGGTTGTTATCGGATCCGGGTGGTCGTAGGAATGGTAGGCACGAGTCGTCCGAGGCGCGATTGCGGAAGCTCTCGGACATTGACGCAGGGAGCGGAAGGCCAATCTGGCACTTGAACGGCAAGGAACGGACATGGCGACGGGGGAGCAGGAAGCGGGCTCTTTGACATACGGGTATTGCAAACCTGTGGTTTCGACGAACGTTGGCTGATTCTAGAGGGTTTTTTTTTTTTTTTTTTTGCCCGTCCCTCTCCTAAGCTAAGCCATCCCGAATGGTTCGGGTGAACCCGCCCGGGCGACATACGTAGTACATGCACTCCAATTGCTCCAGGGATTAAGCTAAGCTCCCCCTGTACCTCACCCTGTGTCTTTGAGTCGGCATACTTCACTGAGGACAATTAACGATTCACCACTACCAAGCTAAAAGGTTAACGACACATGGTCTATGAATCAAGAGCCGTAAGTAAGGTACCATCGAAGAACATGAAAAGCTGGGAAGAATACATATTGAAGCCTCCCTATGGGTACCTAATTGGGACGTAGTCGAATAGGTAAGGAAACCTCCCTCGGGTTGTCCTCAGTAAGGACGAGTAAGAGGCAACCTACCTTACCTAGTAGTCACTGCGGGACGCCTCATTTTCTCACCATGGTAACACAGCATCTGCGCCAATATGGCGGTCCATTCAAGCAACTAGACTGATTGGATTGCTTTCCAGATGCTGTGATTCAGGCCACATTTACGCACCCACATCGATGTGGCTACTTGAACACTATAACACGCCCCTTCCAGTTGTAAATAAAGGGCCCGATCTACTTACCTTATGTGCACAGTATCATTAGGCTGTGTTCGCGTCTTGGTGAGCCATCCGTCGCAGCCAACTCCGAAAAGGTATGCACGAATAAGTAATAGTCCACCACATCGACGGGCCAAGGAAATGCATTGATACTAATAGGCAAGGTCGTATTCGGGTGGGAAACAGAGCAGAACGGTTGAGGTACTAAGGTAGTCGCCGGCGAGCTGATGGGATGCTGCAGTGCTGCACAGTTAGACGTGCTTTTCGATCCACATCAAGGCTCTCCCGCCGGCTTTTGTCAAAAAAACACCCAATGGACCGTACTTTTTACATGGTGTCATGATTCAACCCGTTGTGGAAGACTGGATATTACCGACTCTCAGCAGAGGCTGCAGAGACTGCAGAGCTATCGCGATGGCCCTCAAGGTTGCGACTGGACAGGGAGGAGAGTCCTGGAGATGTGATACCTTGGTAGACAGAGTGGGGAAGGACCTTGAGGTAGGCAAGCAGGCACTTAGCGTAGTAGGTATCTTCCATGAACCTCAAGGTCCCTTGGCCGTGCCATGTCTCAAACCGCGATGCTGTCAAGCTTTTCGACTCTTTGGCAATTCATGTTCCTACCTACCTTATGCGCGAGGCAGCCTGTAGGGCTGGCTGAGATTTCTTCGGGGGATAAAGCAAACGAAGTGAAACGAATGTCAAATGACTCCCATTTGCAGGGTCTGTGGCTGGTGGTGCTTTCTTGGCATCCGTAGATAGATGCTAGTAGTATGGTAACTTGACAATGGTAGTTTCGATGTCAAATGTCGGGAAGTATCCATTTCTGCCACCATTCGGGACCTTCAGACCTCACTACTACTGTGCATAGCAGGTAGGTACTCATGGGGGTGGTGTTAGCTGAGTTGCCAATGCTGCGTGCTCTGTAGTGTAATAGTCGATGTTACCTTGCCGTACCTGGGTAGGTACTTCGTAGATGGTAGTAGCTGCAGCAAGCTGCCAAATTGAAGAGCATGATGCATTCCCGGTGCTTAGGCAGTATTCGTAACGAATTGGACAATTCTCTCCACCAACATGATTCGTCATCTAAGGGTACTGGAGCTCCGCCATCTGCTGTGCCTGTTCAGTGTTCACATTAATTACATGATTACCTGCAGCTCTTCTCCACAGGCACAGCTCACCAATGGCCAATGAACGTGGAAAAGCTCGTTTCCGTGGGAGAGTCGTCGGGTTATGCACGGATCAAGATGGGAGCTACGGGCGCAACGTCGAATCCAAAGTGAGTACCGTATAGAAGGTCCAAGAAGTTTAGGTACCTTGATTGTCCCGTCTTGACGACGAGACACAGGTACTGCGTACCTTACGGAGTAAGGTAGTGAATCTTACCCTAATGTACCTGAGTACCTAACAAGGTAAGCAATGCGTGGTATATCCGTATCTAAGGTAAGGTAGGTGCAGGTAGGCGGGACAGGTGAGAAATCATGAAATCCGATACCTAAGATGCTTAGGTAGCCGCTGTACTTTCACAGTCCACCTGCTTTGCTTGTATCATCTTCTAGGTCTTTGTATCAAGATGAGAAGTATGGCAAGGTATGGAAGGCGTCAAGCTTGACCACCAACATGATAGGTGCCTGATGGTGTCTGGCGCTCTTCGAGCCTGCCTTCCCTCTTGAGCTCCCAAGCTCCTAATTGGCTGCAGTCGCGCCGAGATGGCCTCGCCCGGGTTTGTTGCCCACATTACTCCGTACCTCAGTACATACCTACCTTGCCGTACCTAGGTAGGTACCGTGTCTCTCGTGCATTTCGCCTTTTTTTTTTCCTTTCTTTCTTAGCAGACCGGAAAGGCACAACATCCTCCGTGCCTCTTTACCTTACCTCACCTTACCTTCTTCCCTCGCCAAAAAGTTCCCCATCCATCGATCCAGTGCTCCATACAATTGGGCACCTCCATCCTTCCATTGGCATCATCACACCTTCCTCAGCAAACCCACTTCACCTCTGTCAGTTACCTTAGCATCTTCAGCGTTGGATAAACCGCCTTACTACGTAGCTTGGAGCCTGAATACTGACCGATGGCCACCTTGCTCTACCTAGGCAGCTAGCATACCTCACCGACCTTACTTTGGCTCACGGTCAGGTAGCTCACCTCAGGTAAGCAATCTATCTACCTTTCCTCAGCTCCAGTCACCAACAATACCGTCTGGATCCAAGCTTCCAAGGGACTAGTGACGCCGCCCCCACGCGAGCGCCACAGCTTCCAAAGCCGCGTCGTTGAGGTTCTTCCGACCCAGCTCGTGTCGAATCACTCCTTTCCGTTTTGCTTTCGCCGCCCACCTCACTGTCCACTCACACACCTTTACACCACACCGTCGGCGACACGCGCAGTCAGTCAGTCAGTCACTCACTCACTCACTTAGTGCCTTACCACTTAGGTACCCGCCCAACCTCTTCCTCTCTCTCTCTCCCTCACCTCTCTCTCACCTCTCACACACGCGCGTACCTCGCACACCACACGCAAACACACACACACGCAAACACACACACACGCACACGCACACACGCGCGGGGAGACTGGACCCGTTGTCCTTTATTTTTGCGCTACCCATCCTTTCCCCTGCCAGGACCTGACCTGACCTTACCTTACCTGACCTTGGTCGCCTTGCTCCTGCCGCCCACATTACCTCAACACCCTTCTCCATCTACGCATTACCTGACCTTGCCTGACCCGACCTCAGGTATCTCTTCAGGACAGTAACGCGCGCGCGTCACATCACTTCACAACGTATCGCATCACGGCAAGCAACACAGCAGCAGCAACAACAAACCAACAACGCCTCACGTCGCAACACGGCACGACATACGCTGTATCGAGTCGTCAACCAATCTTTACCGCTCTCACCCCCTCCCTCTCTCTCTCTCTCTCTCTCTCTCCGCATCGCCCGAGTCGTCCGTCACAATGGGTAAGTCGTGATCGAATCTCTCATTTTCTCCTCCGTCAATTTATTGCCTACGCTTTGTTGCCCCCCCAGCACCACCACCACCACCACCACCATCACCACCACCATCACCACCACCATCACCAGCTTGTCGTCGTGCGGCTCGCAGCTTGCGGCTTGCCATCTATCCTTGAATGGTCACTCTCACACCTCTGCGTTCTGCTTCCCCTTCCAGCATTGATCCTCCACCGTGCTGCAACTTCACCGTGTCTTCATTGCCCTCAAGTACCTTCCCTCGCTGAGCTTCACTCGCTTCCTTCCCCTCCTCCTATATGATTACCAATTCGTCTTTTGCCTTGTTACATGGGCCTTCTCTGGATCCAAATGTACTCCATCATCATGTTCACTTGACCCGTCCTGGCACAGGGTTGAAGCTGGAGCTCTATTCTTGTCTCCATACTCGTCCCGGAGTAGGAGCCCAGGCCGACTCCATCCCTCGAGGATGTTGGTCCGAAACGACGCAACACCTCTCCAGCTTGGAAACCACGTCCATTGCTGTCACGAACACTTCCCTACCCCCCTTCTCCTACCCCCCTAGGTCCTGCAGCTAGCATCTTCCAAGCAGCTCCTGTCACCTCCCCTACCTTACCATACCTTACGCTCGCCTCACACACTCCCTCCTGTCGCTGTCCTGGACAAGTACGGACAGGACAGTACGGAGTATTGTCCAGCCTTACCCTACATATACGTACGCTCGCTCATGCCTACCTACCTGCCTGCCTTTTGTACACCCTTCGTACACGCGCATACCTGACTTGGGACACATGCGGACATCCCTCCATCCACCCAACCGTTCACTCCCAATCATCCCCCCATCCGTTGATCCATCATTTCATGCCAGGCCTTACATATGTGTGAGAAGAACGCCGGCCTGCCTCAGCCCAGCCCATATCTCTCTTGCCTTACATAGGCTTGATGGTCCCCCCCTCCCCGCCACATCCTCCTTCTCCCACCCACCCCTCCCTTCTGCCTCCCCCTCGCTTTCCCACCCCCTCCTCTACAGAGAGAAAGAGAAAGAGAGAGCACGAAAGACGGAGCGAATACCATTTCTTCCTTGCGTACTGTCCGCCAGCTGCATTTCCTTCCTACTCCTTCTCCACCGACTGGCCTCGTACCCCCCTCGTCCCTCTTCGCTGCTGCCCACCTTTCGAGTAAGGTATCCAAATATCCTCGCCGGTACCCTCCTTCTCTTGCTTCTCCTCCTCCTCTCCTCCTCTCTCCCTCTCCTCCCTATCTCCCCAGCCATCTCCTCTTGTTACTATTGCTTTTTTGTCCCATATACTCTGGGAATCTCCTAGCTTTCCGGCAGTTCCAACTAACTCAATCTCTTGTAGCTGACTCCGGCGACACCTATCGACCTGTGAGTGTAAGATCACCCCAGTTCCTTCTGTTGTCCCAAACTCAAAGCGTCCGTCCGGAATCTTCGTCGAGCCGGTACCTGGCCCTGTGTTTCCCCCGTTCCTCTCCGCCCGAGCCGGTGTCTGTGCCTCCGCCGCCGTTTCCCTTCCCACCAGCGTCTTGCTCGCAAGTTGTGCCGCGCCGTCTCGAAGAAGATGGCAAAGCTTAGCAGGCACTCCATCACGACTGCACCTTCATTTCTCGAGTTGCAGTGGCTATGCGACTCACCGACGCTTGCTTGTTTCCGTCTGGTCATTCGGGATGAGGAAAGTGTCGGAGGTGGTGCAGCGCCTGCCTGAACTGATTCGGCTGGCCTTCCGGGTGCACCTTCTCTGCTTCGCAGACATACCTACCTACCTACCTACCTTATTCATCTCCCTGCCTCCAAATTTCACCCCCTCACCCAAGCTGATGCCATCAAATCACGCTTACTGCCAACCACTTCTCACCAACGTCAAGTGACTTGCGAAACACCAACAGAGTCTCTGGGCATATACGCTTCGGCCAATGGCGACGTTCATCGCTAATCTACAACAGAGGGAGAGATCTCGATCGCCTCGACGTGGACGTTCGCGCAGTCCCAACCGCGCATCAAGACGCCGTTCTTTTTCTCCTCGGAGCCGATCCCGTAGTAGAGACGAATACCGCGGAAGGAGAGACCGTTCCCCCATGACTGGAACCGGCGCTCCGTCTGGAGGATCTAGCACTGGCTACGGAGGGGCACCGCCACACCGATCGTATGAGGAGCGCGCAGCCGCCCGCGAGCAAATGATGAGCAATATTAGGGAAACGTCTCAACAGGATCGCCGCGTCTACGTCGGCAATCTTTCCTACGATGTGAAGTGGCATCATCTCAAGGACTTCATGCGACAGGGTAAGTGCAGTCCTTTGCACTTTGGCCCATGTTGCGCAAGCTGACTGGTTGGGGTGGTACAGCTGGAGAGGTTCTCTTCGCCGACGTGTTATTACTTCCAAATGGAATGTCGAAGGTGGGCTTCTACACGTAGTCTATGGCTGGTTTTTTCTTTTGTGGACTCTTCCCTCTGGCTATTGATGGAATCGTTGGGTTGACGGGTTGGGACTTGTGTCCGTGGGTGTATGTAGGGATGCGGGTAAGTTCATATGCCATCTCGGATTCAACCGCGGCAGATGCTAACGGCGAAATTGCAGAATTGTGGAATATGCGACGCGGGACCAAGCCCAGAACGCTGTGGCCACTCTCAGCAACCAGAACCTCATGGGTCGACTTGTCTACGTTCGAGAGGTACGTTTTGAATAGTGTTTTGTGGTTCATCGAATACTGTCTAACTATGCATTTATAGGATCGCGAAGCTGAACCCCGTTTCATCGGCGCCACTGCCAACCGCGGCGGCTTCGGTGGTGGCGGCGGTGGGATGAACCCCGGTGGTTTCGGCGGCGGCGGTGGTGGCGGCGGCTACAATCCCGGAGGGGGCAGTCGACAGATCTATGTTGCCAACGTTTGTTCCCCCTAGTTCTGACGTAGGATTCTAACGCTTCCCGATACTGACGGCAACTACTCACAGCTTCCCTACACTGTGGGCTGGCAAGACCTCAAGGACCTGTTCCGACAGGCTGGTAAGTAGAACACTCAAAGCTTCTTCGCCAATCAGACCTATTGGTGCCCCTCGCGATGAAACTTGGAGACTTACTATCAAATGTGCTAGCTCGCAACGGAGTCGTCATCCGCGCAGATGTTCATCTAGGACCTGACGGCCGTCCCAAAGGATCGGGAATCGTCGTATTCGAGAACCCCGACGACGCTCGCAACGCCATTCAGCAATTCAACGGTTATGACTGGCAGGGGCGTCTTCTTGAAGTCCGCGAAGACAGATTCGCTGGCGCGGGAGGGCCCATGGGCTTCGGAGGCCGAGGCGGCTTCGGCGGTGGCATGCGAGGCGGTTTCGGCGGCGGGTACGGTCGAGGCGGTTTCGGCGGCGGCCGTGGTGGTTTTGGTGGTGGCGGCTACGGTCGTGGGGGTTTCGGCGGCGGTGGCCCCGGCCCAGGCGGTCCCGGCGGTCCCGGTGGCCCAGGCGGCTTCGACGCCGGCAACGCTCCTTCGGTGCCTCCTAACCCATTTACTGACTACGCAACCGCTGGAACCGATCGCAGCGAGGTCATTTACACACGAAACGTAGGTCCACTTGCTCGGTTCTCTGTAAAATCACACTGACACTGGGTAGCTTCCCTGGTCCACGAGCAACGAGGATCTCGTCGAGCTATTCACGACTATCGGAAAGGTTGAGCAGGCCGAGATTCAGTACGAGCCGAGCGGCCGCTCCCGTGGGACTGGTGTAGTTCGTTTCGATTCTGCAGAAACCGCAGAGACTGCAATCGCCAAGTTCCAGGGGTACCAATATGGTGGCCGACCATTGGGACTGAGCTTCGTCAGATACCTCAACGCTCAAGGTGGCGGTGATAGCATGGACACCGATGTCCATGCAGGCTTGACGCAGGATCAGATCATGTAAAGGCTTCAAATGATGCGATGCCCCAGCAACATGGCATCCAAAGGCCTGGACCCTAGCCTCGTCCTTTCACCCCCGGTTTAGCCCGGCCATTGGACGTGGTAAGCTGTCACTGAACGGCCTGCAAAATTGTTATTGTACTCGTCACGCATTTCCTTTACAGTCTCATTCACTTTCAAAATGGCAAAATCTCCTTTCCTTTTCGAGTTGCATTTCGGGTATGCAAGGCGGGATGGACTCAGCCATGATTGGCTCCAGGGTACAAGTCGTCGACCATTCTGAATCGACTCCTCATCACGCAACGTCGTTGTTATCAGTTACTTATGAGGTTTCTTTCTGCCTCAGTCGTACAGTCATCGCGGACAAGCACTCTGGCAGCTTCTGCTCAAAGTGGGCTTGCGAGAAAAAAGTTATCCTTGGATGGGGATGCATGTATCTTCCTCGTCTTTTCCGAGGGCAGCTAGCGAGATAGGAGGTGAATCAAGCTCCTCAACCTTGAATGAATTTCGAATAGAACTCAAATTCAAAAACGGCGGAGGTCCCCGTCCATCAGAGACTGGAAGACGGTGACATGGCGATCTAAGCAGTATACATACAGTCCAACAAGGATCGCATGAGCGGCGCCTGAGACTTCAGCATGCTAGACCATCGGTTGCAAAGGTAAGAGGGATTTAGTATTTGTGTTGTGAACATTTCGTTCATCTATGCGGCCCAGTGTGAAGGTCTGATGCATTGAAGGTGATGGGTTCACCCACTGGCGAAGGTTTGTCAGAACCACGTTGTGTATTCCACAAAGCAAAATGTCTTCAGCAAACCACAGGTTGTACAATATGAAATCTGCGGCTAGTGGCCCTGAGTTTGCAGCTCAGTGCAAACTGAAACGCGAATAGGTCTCTCCCGTCCCAGTCAGAGTATCTTCTCTTTAACTTGCAGTCCAGTTCTCATAAAAAGATGCCAAATCGCTGGGTAACGTTATGAATAGAGCGGACATTTTCAACCAAACCTTTATCTCCCGGTTGATTCAAAACCACTACTTGCAAACGAGAACCACCTTGACTCTTACCTGTATTCACCACATACTAATGCTATCAACATGTGCGAACTCCACTTTTACTGGTGCCCAAGGTGCCGGACGAGGTGGCAGAAACGCAAGAGACTAGCGAGTTGCGAGAGCAGAGAGCAGGCGTCCAAGTGCCCAGAGAGCCTTTGCATGTACGTCGGAAACCCGAAAAGTCCCAGACGAGAGGAGTGCGAGAAGTGCGCATGTGCGATGGAGGCCGTCGAGGGGTTCAGCGAAGGCTTATTTTTTATACAAAACTCCTGTCTCGATTGTTGAGCACAACATGACAGACAAGATAGTGGTGATTAAGTTCATGTAACATTTGATGACACATAGTGCATCACCGGCTAGATACGACTCAGCCTTCATAGGTTAATAGGTACTTAGAGCATGTATTCCCCCTTGTGACTCTTTCTATACAGCCCCGGATTGTCATCTTAAGCCCTCTGACAGGGACCGACGATACTTGGGCGGTACGATGGGAAAGCGCCTACTTGTGGCCACGGGCTCAGGACGATGGATACCACGTACTGTGCCAGAAGCGTCCACGACGTGTGCGTGATATCTGACTGCCATCTCCTTCACCCCATTACAAGGGATGCACTGCCTTTCCGGGGGACAAAAAATGGCGGTATATAACCCGACTGTATCGGTGGCACAACGGAAGGTCAAGTCAAGCCATCCTTCCCTCACGCCGCAGCGACGGCCGTGACTGCGCCTCCCTTCTTCTTTCTGGACTTGGCCTTCTTCTTACTCCGATCCCGGGGCTTGAGTGCGGACATACCCCCCTTGCAGATGTTGGCGTAGCTGGCGAAGAAGGATTCCAAAGCATCGGGCTGAACGATTGTAGACAGCTTGATCTTGTCGTCTCTGTGTTTCTTCGACTTGCCGTTCGTCGCGCGCACAATCACAGGGAGCGGGTTTGCGGGGCGGAGATCGGAGAAGGATTCATCGCCGGCTGGTGGTGTCGAGGCCGTATCTTGGCCGTAGGTTACTAGAGGAGACGATGAGTCTTTGGGTATCTCGGGTGCGGCCGTGAAGTAGTGGACCTACATCTTTTCTGGACGAGGAATATCGAGCCACGCCCCTTGCTCTTGCGTTGTTCGAAAAGCTCTGCCAACTTGCCGAAGAACTATGGCCGAGTTGTTAGCAAGACCATTGACTTATAGAAGGACACATCAGATGCGAGAGGGGCGAAGGAGGAAGAAGCATACCTCTTCATGACTGAGGTGGGCTGACATGGTCACCGAAGCGTCTGGCGTCGCGTGCAACCAAACGAGGCACTACGATAGTAGAATAATGCAGCTGCACGGTGTGTTATTTCATCAGAGAGGCCGGGAATGATGGAATGTCGGTATACAAAAGCAACCAGTTTGGTGAAACGGGCTGCTAGGTGCTCATGTGCGGCTTTGGTCATTCCCCGCAGCAAGGCTATGATAGTGAGCAAGGGTATATGGGCCCCGGACAGTGGGGTATACTCGGAGCTAGTGTATCTTACCCAGTATGCAAGGTGACATACTTATATGGGACCATCAGCAGTGAAAAGCGATTCCAATAAGTTTTCAAGTTATTCAGCAGATATGAAATACAAATATTAAGGGCAATAGAGTGAAGCTGAAATATGAATACCTATGTTATACTAAGCATTCTTAAAAATAATACTCAGTAAAATTCTTCTACTTACAATAGATATTTGTACAACACAGTATAATATATTAGTTATAAATATTATTAGCTATGCTAAGCTGATATCGTCAGACTATGTCGAGAGCCGTGAGATAATATCAAAAGATATAAATACTAGCTAAAGCTTCTTAGCTCACTATAAGAAATGGAGGGGTGTGGCGTGACCGCCCATCGGTGAGTCGGCGAATCGGTGCTCAGGTACCCGTTTTCGAGCTTTTACCCCACTAAAAAGTTTCTCGACGTCGGCATTTGCGCAAGAGTTTCTCGACAAGACCTGGTTGTGTTGTTAATGCAAAATTCGGAGAACGTGTTTCTACACCTCACCATCCGACGATATGCCTCCAAAGCCGCTCGCCTTACCCACTCAGCTGCTCAAACAGATCGGTGCGCCGGATCAGTCTGCCACCTCAAGATCTAACCCTCGCTGGAAGAGCCAGGGACAGAATAGAAAAGATCGACGGAAGGCCGACAGGCAGTCGAAAAAGCAGCGGCAGACAACAAGAACAACAACATCGCGGGACCACCTTGAACAGATTCAACGTCCTATCAGTAACCACGGAAAGGGTAATGATGGCAAACGTCCTCTCGACGAGCCAGAGGAGCCACGCAGCCCAGCCCCGAAAAAGCGCAAGCGGGAGCATATCAGCAAATACCAAGACGAAGACGACGACGATGACTCCGAGGAGCCTTTAGTGTTGAATCAGCCGTCTCGCGCCTTGCAGGAAAGGCTGGCCAAAGATGACGCCGAAATCGAGCAGCTTGAGCGTAAACTAGGATTGAAGAAGGGTCGGAAGTCCATCCCCAAGGCTTTCAAGGACGACGGACTCGATGATTTGCTTGGCGATCTCAACGACGGCAACGAATCGGACGAAGGAAGCCACAGAGTCAAGAGCGAGGCCGATGCATGGCTTGCGGCAAAACGAAGGAAAGCGAGTCAGGTCCAAGCGAAAATCAAGTTTACAACGGGAAGCGACGACGACGATGACGATCCGAGGTTTACAGACGAAGAGGCATCAGACGAAGAAAATGACGAAGACGACGAGGATGAAGATGGAATTTTCATGGAAGATCAGGGCGATTCTGATGAACAGGGCTCACTGGGAGATTTCGACTCCGAAGATGAGGAGCCTGTCCAGGAATCCAAACCTATCAGAGAGAACCCATATCTCCCACCAGTCTCAGCTGGCACGCAGCTTCCCAAGTATATTCCTCCGTCGTTGCGAGCACGATCAGGCGGCGATGCAGATCTTGAGGCTCAGATCCGAAGGAAGCTGCAGGGCCCTGTCAACAGAGTCACTGAAGCAAACTTGGTATCCATTGTTGGTGAGATCGACAGGATATATCAGGATAATCCAAGGGGCCACACCAACAATATCTTGACAAGCCTGCTGATGGCTCAAATTTGCGATCCTACAAGCAAGCCCGATACGCTACTCGTCCTGTCAGCCGGCTTCGTTGCTGCTCTTTACAAAGTCATTGGTATCGATTTCGCCGCGCATTTCCTTACCACAGCTGTGGAGCGCTTTCAGGATGAGAGGGACAAAGCAATAGTAGCGGTCAACGAAAACCGCATACCTACGAAGGAGACATCAAATCTCCTCACCGTGCTTGCGGAGATGTACATGTTCCGTGTCGTCGGTAGCAACCTGATATTCGACTTTGTGCGGCTCCTTCTCGAGGATTTATCGGAACTGAATGCCGAGCTCTTACTGCGGATTGTTCGCGTATCAGGCCCTCAACTACGAAAGGACGATCCATTGGCGCTGAAAGATATCGTCAGTTTGATTCGTCCTGCGGTAGCCAAAATCGGGGAGAGCAACCTGACGGTTCGCACCAGGTTTATGGTCGAGACCATCAGTGACCTCAAGAATAATAAGGTCAAGGCTGGCGCACAGGATCTAGCCATTCTTGGTGAGCATGTCACGCGCATGAGAAAGGTTCTGGGGTCTCTTGACGCGCAAAAGCTCAAGGCATCAGAGCCCCTTCGCATCGGTCTGAAGGATATCGAGAACGCAGACAAGACGGGCAAATGGTGGCTGGTGGGAGCCAGCTGGGCAGGCCAGGATACACGAGCGGCAAATAAGGATAAGGAGAGAAGCGCGACCACAGGAGATGTTGACGATGTGGTGGTTGCGGATGCTGACGATCTGGCGACTCACGATTACACGCAATTGGCAAGAGAGCAAGGAATGAACACTGATGTTCGACGAGCCATCTTTATCGCGCTAGTTGCGGCTGCCGACTATCAGGACGCGTACATGCGTATTCTCAAGCTACGACTCAACAAATACAACAGACGCGAGGTGCCAAATGTCCTTCTCCAGTGCTCAGGAGCACAGCAACACTACAATCCTTTCTACACATTGGTATCCAAAAAGTTTTGCACCGATTCACGGATCAAGCATGCATTTCAGGATACCTTATGGACGCTATTCCGCAGACTTGGCGAGCCTCTGTTTGGAGAGGAGGCCGAGGAGGAAGACGAGGAGGGGGTAGACGACCGACGTCTCATCAATACTGCTAAGATGATGGGAAGCTTAGTTGCTGATGGCTCTGTCAGTCTTGGGATTCTCAAACCACTCAATCTGGCTTACGTCAGGGAGAAGACCAGCTTGTTCGTCGAGGTAATGCTCATCACTGTGCTTCAAGAGTGCAGTCACGTGAAGGGCAAGAGCCTGGAGCAAGCCCTTGGAGTGTGCTTCGGCAGTGGGTTGGCGCCAGCCCTCGCGAGGAGCGTAGGCTATTTCTTGCGCAAAAAGGTCCGGGCTACAGACCTTGTTGGCGGCAAGAAAGAGACTAGAAAAGTGAAGGAGGCGTGTAAGATGGCGGAGGCGTTGCTAGAAAAGCCAGACATGGGCGAAGATGCGTAAATCCAACAGCTTAAACATGAACGGGGAAATTTACAACCTGACAAAACATCGGTTCGCTCGTGCCTGAGTCCAAGTAGCTCCGTGATTACGATCTGAAATCTCTCGAAGACACTGAAGACAGCCGCAGGCTAATACAAGGTCTCCAGCCCTGCCAGCTACAACCACTCTATTTCGGGTCTTCTGTTTTACTAATCACAGTACGGAAGGTATCATAGACAGATGGAAATACCGAGACCGACTTTGGGTAAACTTTTCCCACTACTGCTGATCGTATCTCACAGCCGGCAACGCGCAGTGTAAATAAATCAGACAGCGTGCCTAAGCAGAGAGCGGTCTATCCACGCCCGTACATACCCGTTCGGATGACCCTGGTCACAGGATGGTATGCCTAGAGCGTTCGATGTAATGACGAGTCCCTTTCCTGGATAATAACCCTCTAGCTGGCGTAAAAACGTATGCTTATGCTACAAACTACCTTTTCGAACTTCTATCCGCTGTCCCTCAGGTGATACAAATTACATGCTTCGAATGTCGTTGTTTCAGGACGCCAAAGCTTTCCACCACTCGCACCATTGCATCGCTGTGACTGGCCTTACATGTGAATTGGCTTGGAGTAAGTGGCCATAGCTGCCTCCTTGAAGGCCTCAGCCAGGGTGGGGTGAGCATGGCAAGTTCTGGCGATGTCTTCGCTGGACGCACCATACTCGAGAGCAAGAGTGGCCTCCGCAATCATTTCGCCAGCATTGGGACCAATGATGTGGACTCCCAAGATTCTGTCCGTTTCAGGGTCGGCGAGCATCTTGACCATGCCCTCGGTGTCCAGGTTCGTCTTGGCGCGGGAGTTGGCGCTGAAGGGGAATGAGCCGACTCGGTAGGGGATGTCTTGAGACTTGAGGTCCTGTTCACTCTGGCCAACCCAGGCAACTTCGGGATGGGTGTACATGACAGATGGGATGACGCCGTAGTTGACGTGACCATGGCCCTTCTTGATATACTCGACCACAGCAACAGCCTCCTCCTCGGCCTTGTGCGCCAGCATAGGGCCAAAGGTGACATCACCAACACAACGGATGTGGGGGATCTTGGTGCGGTACTCGGAATCGATAATGACACGGCCTCTCTCGTCGAGGTCGAGACCAATGTTCTCGAGGCCCAGTCCGCCCGTGTAAGGTCTACGACCAATCGCGACAAGGACGACGTCGGCATCGAGCTAATAAACAGGTCAGCATCTTCTACCAAAGCGATTTCTGGCCAAGTCTTACCGTCTCCGGCTTGCCACCCTTGGCAGAGTCAACCTCCAACTTGACCTTATCGCCACTCTTATCGCCGCTCAGGACCTTGGTGCCCGTCTTGAAGGTGATACCCTGTTTCTTAAGAATCTTCTGAGAGCTCTTGGCAATCTCGGCGTCCATTCCCGGGCCGCCAATCTGGCCGAGGAACTCCACAACAGTCACCTTGGAGCCGAGACGGGACCAGACGGAGGCCATCTCCAGACCAATGATGCCGCCACCAATGACAACGAGGGATTCCGGAATCTTGTCGAGAGAGAGCGCACCAGTGCTGGTGACGACGCGCTTCTCGTCAATCTCGAGACCAGGGAAGGGAGTGGCCTCGCTGCCAGTCGCGATCAGGATGTTCTTGCCCTTCACAGAGGTCTCGCCACCGTCATTGAGAGAGACTTTGATCTCGTTCTCGTTGACGAAGGTGCCGGCACCCTTGATGTATTCGACACCATTCTTCTTGAAGAGGAATTCGACACCCTTGGTCAGGCCGCCGACGGCGGTGTCCTTGGCCTTCATGAACTGCTCCAGGTTGACCTTTACGTCCGAGACATCGATTCCGCGGTTCTTGGTATCATGTTTGATGGTGTGGTAAAGGTGAGAATTGTTGAGGAGTGCCTTCGAGGGAATACAGCCAACATTGAGGCATGTTCCACCGAGGGTACCTCGCTTTTCGATGCAGGCAACCTTCAGGCCCTCTTGACCAGCTTTGATCGCAGCGACATAGCCGGCAACACCACCGCCAATGACAACTAGATCGTTCTCCTCTGGTGACAGGGTCAGTGGCCTCACAAGCAATATATTCGGGGTATAGGCAACGTACCAGAGGAAGAGGCGTAGGCACGGCTCCATCTGGAGAGCTGGGGTGCGACGGCGGGGAGTCTACAAACAGCTGTCAGCTTGGAAAGAATGAGGCTCTGCTATCAGGGTCCTTTACGAGGGTTTTCTGAAAGCCGACTTGGCTGCAGCGCGCGGTATCAATCGACTGGAGAGCATAGTGGCCTATTCCGATGGATGCTCGGATGTGGTGACGAGAGGAGGATGACAGTGATGATGGAGAGGGATAGAATGCGCCGGGCTGATAATGAACGGCGATTCACGGCAAGTGAGGGTCGACGGGTGGATGGGCGGATGAGTTTGGACGGGCTACGGCTGTGCAAGCTTCGGATTGAATTGGAGCTCTCGGCCATTACGATTTTTTTCGTGGCTGACAGGTACTTCTGGGACACACCAGGGTGGAGCAGAATCAATCGCCGCTTTCGCTTGTAGCATCTCATCTCCGGGGTTTTCGCGTTGAGAAATGTGCACGGTCAACGTGAAGGTAGAGTAACGTAAAGCGGCAAGGCAAAGCTGCTTGATACTTAGTCACTGGCTCAAGAACTGCGATCCCATCATGTGTTTGACTAACGGCATTATCCTAGTGCTGATAAAGCGGCGTGTGGCCGACGTTGCATGCCTGAATGAAAGACCCTTTCCCTTCTTACAGCGGCAACCCCCAACGTTCTTGGATAGGTACCTAGTTCATTGCCTTGCCCCAGCTACAGTGCCGTTATCTCCCGCACTGAGGCGCGATTAGCCGCTACGGGAGTACTCGCCGGTATCCCCACCTGTAACCTACCTTGGGGTTTTAATAGAGGTACTATAGAAAGTCGTCTAACTCGTATTTAAACTAGCCCGTGCCTACCCTATAAGCGCTTGAATAAAATATCACAAAAGGGAACTCGAGGCAGGTCGGAACGCTACTATATTAACTTAATAAACATAACTTAATATAAAAAGAGAAAAAATAAATTAATAAATAAAATCTAGGGTACTAGGTTTTTAAACTTAGTAATTTAGTAATTACGTAACTTATAAAGGGTCTACTTAGTACTTAAAGCTCGAGCATATAAGGGCTTAGTACTTAATATTATAATATTACCCCCCCCCCCCTTTTAATATAAAAAATATTATTTATAGCGCTTAATTATTTATTTAAATTTTTTAAATTATCTTTTTATAAATTATTAAAATTTTATTAAATATCCGTTACCTTTTTATTTTATTATTAACTAGCGAGGCTTAATATTTAACCTTTTATAAACGTTAATAAAATAAAGGTTAGTATTAATATAAGTTTAATTTATTAAATACTAAATAATAAAACTATTATAAACTAAGGTTTATTTTTAAAAATATATTATAAGTTTTATAAAATATTAATAATCCGGGTATTATTATTAATATTTTTATATTACTATTATAAATAAAAAAATACTAACTTTATTAAATATTTTTAACTATTATTATAGCCTAAATATACTAATCCTTTATTATACCTTTTAATTATTATTTTTAAATTTTCTAATTTAGTTTTTAAACGGGGTACTAAATAACGTAATTTTATAATTATTAATAATTAAAGCTTAAAAATAATAATAAAAATATTATAATTATTAACGTTAATTAAATAATTATAATATAAATTATAGATTTTATTATTAGTAAATAATATTTCTTAATAATAAATATAGGGCCTTTATTATACTAAAGGGCTCTAAAATAGTTAAATATATTTAATACTAATAATAATAAATCAAAATAAACTATAATAATTATAATTAATTATTAAAATAAAAATTCTTTATTAATTTTAAAATTAATTAAATTATTAATAAAATATATAATTATTATAATAGCTTTAACTATCCGTAGCTCACACTGCATATTACGTAACCTCGGTTATATAATTACCGAGGTTTATACTTACTTATACCTCTATTTTAAAACAAACCTTATACCTATTTTTACTTTTAATAAATAACTATTTTTATATTTAATATTAAACCCTTATTATAATTATATAATAATTATAAGCCTAGCTCTAATTTAGACCCTAAACTTTTATTAAAAGTTATTTTTAAGGCTACGATTTATTATATCCTTTTTATACTTAATTTTAACCCCTTATTACGCTTATAAAACCCATTCTTAAGTAATTATATTTTTAAAAACTTTTAATATAATTAAATATAAGCTAATTACTAACAAGATTAATTAAAATAATACCTCGCTTTACGAGTTAAGGCCTAATTAAAAGATATTTAAAACCTATTAAATTTAAATAATACTAAATCCTTTTAAACCCTTACTATTTACTAAATTAATTTTACTTATTAAAAATATATTAAAATATAAAATACTATTTAAAAATAAGCTTACTAAGTAGCTATAGCTAAGTATAACTAATAACTTAATTACTATATTTATAAAAAGTGTTAAAAATAATACTTAGAACGAACTAATAAAATAAAACGGCCTCGTAAAATAACTAACGCTCCTTATAAAACCTAAACTAATTATAATTAATTAAATATGCCTTTTTAAAAATATACCTCTTTATTTAATAAATAATATCTAAAATAATCTCCTAATTATAAAAAAATTATATAAATCTATAGATTATTAAATTATTAACTCTATTACTTAAAAATCCTAAAAATATAAAAAGAACTTATTAACTTATTAAACTACTCCTTTATATAATAATCCGGTTTTAAATAAAAATATACCCTAAGTAATTTAAGCTTACTTATAATTATTTAAAAAAATTTAATATAGTTATAAATAGAGTAAACTTTAATATTAATTTTACTACTTAGAAGATTAAGGATTTTTATTTAGTTTATTACTAAATAATATAGCTCTAACTACTTAAAGTTTAAAAATCTCGCTTTTAAATCGTTTTTATATAACCGCTTATTACTTTGCTCTAAACTAATCTAATTAAAAACTTATTAATATTATAAAAATAAAATAAAAAGTAAAATAATACTTAATATAAGCTATTATACTAAAATATTTAATAACCTTTTATATAAAGAGGTAATATATAATAAAACTTATAAATAAAACTTTATAATTTTTATAATATTAATAAATTACTTAGACTCTAAATAAAGTAAAATAAAACCTAACTCGTTTATAAATTACCTATATAAAGGGTCCTATTATTAAAAACTAATTAAATATATAAAAATAAAATTTACCCTTATTAATAAAACGAAATAAGAATATATTTAATTAAATATACCTGAAATTAATAAAATAATTACCTATTTAAATATAAATAAATATACTAATTTTTATATTAACCTTATTTTAAAAAGATAAATCTAAGTAAGGCCCTAATAAATTTAATAATAATTAAAAAGAAATAAAAAGCTAAATAAGCTTAATAAACTAATAAAAAATAGGATTTTAAAAGTCTTACTCCTTAAACGTCGTAATTATAATTATTAATATTATTCTATTATTAAAACTAAATATAACGGATAATAAGAATACTAATCTTATTATTTTTAATCCCCTCTTAAGCTTATATTTACTTTCTAAAAATATAATTATAAATAACTATAATACTATTTACTTAATTAATAATTAATTATTACTAAAACTAAAATTAATTTAATAATATAATAGGACTAAGAATATAAATTCTAAAATAATATTTTACCTTATATTTATTTATAAAACGAGGATTATTTAAAATACTTTTATAAAAATAAAAACCTAGGACTAAAAATTTAACTCTTTAGAATATTAAATTTATTAAGAACTTCTATATTAATATTATATTAAAAGCCCTATTTTAAAAACGGGTATTTAATACTTTAGTTTTAATTATACTCTTCGTTTTGATAACTAATTTAAAAACGTTATAATTAAATAGCTCGTTAAAAAGTTAACTTAATCTTTTTAAAATATAAGCTTTATTTATCTTACTTTTATTTAAAAACCTCTCTTTATTAATAAATATAACTTTTATTTATAGTTATTATATATCTCGTTTTTATATTAAATAAAGAGTAACTAAATAAACTTTATATAGTTCTAATACCTTTAATCTAAATATCTTATATTAATAATACTTAAAAAGCTCGTATTAATTACTTAGGAAGTAAAAATTAAAAACTAAGTTATTTAAAATATTAATATTACGTAACTACTTATATAAAACAAATTATCTTAAAATATATCTTAGAACAAAAATAACTAAACTATATTTTAAAATCTCTTAAGACCTTTTAACTATTTACCTACTTATAAATAAAGTAAATAACTAATACTAATTAAAAATAAATATTTAGATAAAATCTTTATTTTCCTAAAAATCTTAAAACCTATAATATAATATTTAAAATCTTATATCTTTTAAATAATAAATATATACCTAAAAAGTCTTATTATTTATAAAATTAAATAAGATATAAAACGTATAATAATTATAATTAATAATAAAACTTATTTTTAAACCTAAATTAAAGAGTTTAAAATTAAATTAAAATACCCTCTATATAAAAGCTAAATAGAAAAAGGAGCGAACTAATTAAGAAATTATTAATAAAGATTAATATAATATTAATAACTAGCTTATTAAATAAGTTATAAATAAAAACTATATTAATAGTAGCCTACTTATATAATATTAGCCCTAGATAACGTACTAATTAGCTTTTATTAATTTAAATTAAAAAGTCTAGTTTAATTACTATTTTAAGTAATAATAACTTTAAAATATATTAAAGCTCGCTCGTAATTTACGTCCTTATTAAAAATAAATATATATATATAATTATTAAGCATACCCTTTTAAAAGAATTATAAAAAAATTAATAAAAATACTTTAAAGTAGAGTAGAGGGTATATTAGCTACTTTATAAATTACGTAATAAACATAATTTATATAAAATATAAATCCTCGCTTTTAAAAATTATTATTATATAAAATATAACGTTTAATAAGATAATATTTTACTTAAAAATAATATAAAAACTATAATTTAATTATTTAAATTATAAATTATAATAAATAAAATCTAATAGTTATTTATAATTATTAATCCTAAGCTCTAATTATTAAAACTTATAAATTAAAAGAGGCTTTATTAATAATAAACTAAAAATACTTATTATTATTTACGCTCGCTTTATAAAAAAAACTAAATTATAAAAAATCTAATTTATTCTCGAGTAAAGGAGTAAGTAATTACTTACCGAGCCTATTCTTAATTTTTAAAGTTTAAAAATAAATATAGCCCTTATATAACTAATTAAAATTATAAATAAAGTTATAAAAAGCCGATCTTTTATTAAAAGTTAAGGACGTAATATATATATAAATAAAAGATATTATTCTTTTAAACTCTTATAAAAGGGCTTTTTATTTAACTAAACCCTAATAAT